CACACACCTTTCGCCCAGTTAACATTCACATTGTCACTCTCATCAGGACCGGAGCAAAATGCCTTTAAATTCTATGTATAGCAATCGATCAACAGAAAAATTGGACAATAAAAGTAATTTCCATTCCATATATTTTTCATTAAAGCCAGGAAGTTTGTGGTAATAAATTGATAACTTAATGAAATCATCAAACTACGTATCTATCTATCCTATATTAAAGGTCTCCTTTCGCCTTCAAAAAGGAATTGAAAAACCTTTCCATATACTATATCAAATAAATCGATTGAATAAGTGTAGGTACCGATAGACTATTAAAATTACTCTTAATTTAGAGTATCTTACCAGGACCTTACAGGATCTTACATGCCTCTCACTGAATATTATTGTGAATTATTATCTTATATACTAAGAAAAATCTCAATTATTTACTATAATTCGACATATTATATCCCCCAATCCCCAAGCATGCATTGTTAAGGATACATCCTGTTCATACAGATCAACAATCAAGCTGAGATGCTTTCTGCAGTTTTTCTAAATTAATTTTTGCCAATCCGGTACTGCTTTAATAAAAACTCATTTTATTTTAAGTCGATCTTTACCCTATATTATCCTCGCTTATTTGCATTATTCCATCATGTAATTTCGATATACGTCTTGTATACATTTTGTATATCTTGCGTATATCGCAGCTAATCGATTCAAACTTTTATCAACGGCAATATTCGTAAACAAACATAATTTCGAATTTGCGGCAGGTGCGCCGTTTTTTATTCCGGGTAATATATGGCGCGCCTGCCTATAGTTTCGAGGCATATCGGAGCGGTGGTAGTTCTGGTTTTGAAAAATTAGTGGACTCCTGGTTGGAAATTAAAGATAACCACTGGCGAAATTCGTGAACAGCACCTTGCCTTTTACTGAATTATTCATAAAAACGGGGGAGTGGAGAGGTGGCGGTGCCTTCCGGACGGGAACCCTCACCTGTTCGGGTACCGTGCTTGATTGATATGCCTTTTTAGCTCCGAGACGGGACCGAATCGAGCTTGCCTATTAAATGTTAAGTTAGAAGGACCGGCCAGCTACGATTGCCTCAACATTGAACATCACCAAATTTGTATAATTTGCGCTTTCGTCTAATTTGAATATACAGTAGGTATCCTCTATAGGTACCATTAGTTAAATGGGATAGTCATATTGGTACCTGAGGTAATATGATGCTTGGAAATATTGGTTAATAATAGATAATAGGTACTCGATTTATTAATTAGATTATTTCAAAAACTTTTAGCTCAAGTGAAAGAAAATAGTACAAAGTGGCAACATTAATGCAGTACCTATACCTAATCACATATTTCTGACATCATAACTTGATTAGAATGACCGTAGGTACTGTTTGTAAAATTCTCTGTAGTTTAAACATTATCTTAATGATATTTTTTTCAAAATTTCAGTGTAGGTATAGGTAAGGTAGACTGGGGCAAATCGGTTGTAAAATTTGAATAGTTCAAATCAAATCCTAAAATGTGGCTTTATTTTTTCTCTTATTAGAAATGCTGATACCACATTAAATTCACAACTTCCTAAACTAAAGAATCGAGGTATTAAAAAGTTTTTTTGAAAAAGGAAGAAAACGATTTTACATATTTTTTAAAATGTTGACAATATGTTACCCGTACCATGCAGGGGTAAATGTAACAAACGGTTCTAAAGTGCAATACAATTATATAGAAAAACATATGGGGCAATTGTAAAAAAATATTTGGTTCCTCTAAAATTTGATATGCTGTTTATTTATTTATTTCAAAAAATAACAGAGCTATAAAATAATAAAGAAAAAATAAGAAACAAACCCTGTCTAATAATGCACAAAAGAACTATAAAAATAATAAAAACATTAACATAATAAGTAAAAATATTACATTTACCCCATTTTTACATTTGCCCCAGTCTATACCTTACCTATTTTTTAAATTTTTTTAAGGCTATTTAATTTATTTGATAATTCCTATATTCCTCAATATCACTAAATAATATCTATATAAATTTTTCTAAATAAATCATCGTTACTAATCAAAATCAGAAGTCGTCGAGATGCTATCTAGCCCGTTAAGTAGCTATTAAATGTCACCTTTCGAGGGAACGCGTGTGGTGAATACGATAGTGCATTTTCATCTGGCGCATCTACTTACCCACCATCAAATATATTAAAATATCCATGTCTGATGCGATAATGTGGGAACGAAAACCATTCTCGAGAAGTGGGTAAGCCTTCGGGGAACCGCGGGTGTATAATCTTATAGGCGTGTTACGTTACCCCGCTATACGAGGGTTGCGTACGTTATTTTAAGGGTTAGATGGAAATTTGTAAGCCGTTTTCGTAACCCGAGGGACTTTTGTTTTACATAATGTTGTTTTGTGTTTTTTTGTTGTTGTGTGGGCGGTCGCAGGACGATTTTTCTCAGATGTTCTAAGTATATACCTAGTGTTAAAAGCGATCATTATTAATCGTGGAACTTAACTTTTTTGTGCCCATATAACTGGAACTGGAAATGTTCTTGCCTAGATGTAGGATCTTATATTTTACATTGCTTATCTTTCGTCTCATCAAATACAAAATCATCATCACTTAAATGATAATAGGAAACTTTGATAACATGAACTCTATTTTTGGCATTTCAGGTAATTTTAGCTTCAAAATGCATAGAAAAGTTATCAAATTTATCAAGCAATTTCTGTAAAAGCATATTAAGTAGAGATATTACATGGCGATCATATACTAAGAAATGTGGATTATTGACAGTATATACGATAAAATTCCTACATAAGCCCACCATAGTAGAAGGACGAAGGGGCTTCTTTGAATGCAAATAAAAAAGGCAATATGAAACAGGCATGTATGGCAGGGAAATAAAAAAGAGACTTAAAAGACGCCGCCTTATCAGTCCTTTGTTATAGTAGTCAACAAATTTTTAGATAAACGTATCGAGACATTTATAGATTACCTTTCATGTGAACCGGCGCAATTTATTTAAACGGTAGCAATAAAAGATAAAATAGCATTTACACGTTCGTTTATCCGCTTGGAGGACTCTTCAAACGGTTAAATTAAAGATTTAGGTACTTTGTTCCAAAAATTGATTAAAAATTTGAATATATGTGAATTTATATGTAATTTAATTTTATCTACATGAAATCGGATCAATTTTGTTTGGATTATTAAAAAACAATTAGGCGAATTAAGAAAAATAATCCGTTAAACTCCAATTAATGTATTATACCTATTTATAGGTACCTACTTAGATTGTTACATTTATATCTTATTATTTATGGAAAAATACGAGCTGTATTTTTTATCGTTGATTATAAGACATAAATAATTACAACATTCAGAATCTTTTAACCAATAGGTATATATCAAAAAACAATGTTTTATCCAATATTTTAATAATTCCTATGTACACTCCTTTCATATTAGATTTATTAATCATCATTACCTAATACACCAATCCAGAGATTGACATTAAATTTGTAATTTGTTACTTATATCCCATTTTAGATTAGATGGCGGATTCCTCGAATTGCGAAAATAAAACTAAGGAATTAGTACAGAAAACCGAAGATAATACACGAGTCATAATAAATCACTATTCATGCACTCGTCATACACAAACTCGTTACACAATTACTATTATCCATCATCTTTATGTCATGTCATAATGTATGTGTTAAATGAGCGACATAAATTCCACGGAAGAAGAGCAAATAAATAATAAAAAATCTAGGCTGGGTATAAATACTATAAATATTGTATACCTAATTGTATAAATATTAGCAGACGTAATCAATTCAATCGGTACCGAAGACGGTTTTTCCATGAAACATATTATAAAAATATTAAATCTATTATTTTACAACACCTTCAAACAAACCAAGAACAATTTTAGAAGCTAGTCGTTAAATTTACAACAATGCTTTTACGACAACGGAGGATTATTGCTATTTTTATAATGCCGTTATTATCTATTAAAAACTGTATGTTACTTAAAGTGAGTGGGTGTATTATAGGTATCTATAATAACCCAAACAAGGTTAATATATTGGTATAATAATTCTAGATGTAGTAAATAAATAATAATAGATTTGCATGTTGTTTCACTTTTAAAGTTTAATATAAACTATAAGAACTCCTTGGTGAGATTTGACTGTTTAATTTTAGTGTATTCAATGCGAGTAAATTTGTGTTGATTGTATTGCATTTGAAAGAGTATTTTAGACAAAATTTCTCGAAAAAAATTGCACATTTATCTCTATAATAACATATCAAGAATCTCATAAATCTATAGCGTCTATTATACCTAAGAACTAAGTATAGATAATCGTCCAGAAAATTATAGTCCGCACAAGTTACAAAAAATAAATTGTACAACATACCTACTTAATTCCCTCTCTGTATATTTTTTTGGCATTATGAGAAATGGACTGTGAATCTATTTAGTACATAAAAATCGCAAAACCTCCACTAAAATTCCATCCCCCGATTTCTACAACTTACATAATAAATAACAGATTTTCCTCATCTCATTGCAAGCAAACGCCAGCGTGAAGGCCGAAAAAAAAATCAGATCGAATTACAAAATCTGTCGGAGGCCCTGCGTACTCTCACCTGTCGCCGGAGCACAGCTTCCTAAAATCGCCACCCCCGAAATCCTAACGATTTTCCCTTTCCAGCGGGTTTTTTCGACGACGCCGACCAATCGCGCTGCGGCGGTTCGAAAACGAAAGGCGGACCGAATCGGATTCGAGAGCTACCAGATCAACCAGTTGGTAGCAAACAGTTGGTTGTAGTTGCAGTCACTTGTCTGACACCGGTCTAGATATTGTTGGATCACACTATACATATACAGTGTGTTTCTTCGAACGCGTCACGATAGTCTAGTAGTGATTTGTTTAGTTATTGTTGTTGTTTGTTTGTTAGCTATTGGACTTTTTATTTGGAAAATATGATGAATTTTAACCAGCAAGGTATGCATAAGTTTTTTTTTATCCATCAAATACACAAATGATGCAAGTTATACAAAATAATTAGATCCAATAAAATAGCTTATATAAATAATACTTCAGATCGGATCATTTGAAAAGTTTAGATTTTGTTATCTGCGATAAATCGAGCATTACTCGTGCAATGAATTCGCAATATTTTAGACATATGTTTCGAAACAATAAATTCTAAAGTTAAAAATAAGTAGCTACCCTTTATTCTACCTACCTTAGGTATGTAAAATAATTTTTAAATATTTAATGCTTTACGTTACAAGTAATTCTATTCTTAATAGAATTGAAATGTATTACTCACCAGTTACCTATACGATTTTATTTATTGCAAACATTGTTAGTTTCTCTACATTGTTTTACCTTGTAACAAATTCCCGCAACTCCTTGAAAATAAAATAATACCTTCATTTTTTCCCAAATTAGATATTTTTCGCACAATTTAATAAAAATCATGTTTATTGCAGGATCACCAAGAACCTACGATTTCAATCATATCAAGCAGGAGCCCGACAGCACCTCGCCCATCCTGACACCCCCTCACACGCCGACCTATTGCACCATATCACCGCCAGTGACCAGTTTCTATCAAAACTGCTACCGCTACGAGCCGCTCGATCCCAGTTTAAACACCATCAATTACAACGCGGTATTCATGAATTCGTGGTTCCGAAACGCCGCCGCCATCTACCACACCAGAGACCACCAGTACCAGGAGCTGAACGTGCCGAACAGGCTGCCCCCGACCGGCCCCAAGGCGCTCGGCGCCGGCGCCAGGCCCAAGAAGCAGTTCATTTGCAAGTACTGCAACAGGCAGTTCACCAAGAGCTACAATTTGTTGATACACGAGCGTACTCACACCGACGAAAGGCCGTATTCCTGCGATATTTGCGGTAAAGCGTTCAGGCGGCAGGATCATCTTAGAGACCACAGGTTGGTGTTTGTGGAAACGTTCTAATTCCCTAATTTTACCGTTGTTTTTTCTTGAATTTTAGGTACATCCACAGCAAAGAGAAGCCGTTCAAATGCAACGAGTGCGGCAAGGGCTTCTGCCAGTCGAGGACGCTGGCCGTGCACAAGATCCTCCACATGGAGGAGTCTCCCCACAAGTGCCCGGTGTGTGCCAAGGCCTTCAACCAGCGGTCTAACCTGAAGACTCACATGCTGACCCACACGGATCGGCCGGCGGAGTGCGCGCTCTGCTCCAAGTTCTTCGTAAGTTTGGCGGAGTTGAAGATCCACGAGAGCTCGCACTGCCAGCGGAAGGCCTACGGAGTGCAGATGTCGAGCTTGGTGGCGGCGACCTCCACCTGCCTGGACCTCACCACCAAGAAGTCCTCGGGTGCAGAAGGTCAGACGAAAACCGCCAACGTGAAATTGGGGTTCTCCATCGAGGATATCATGAAGCGATAAGCGCTATTTTGTACTAAACTTCACTGTATATTAGGTGTTAAATGTTCTGTTGCCAAAGATTTCGAAGTTCGTCTACCTCTTTTGAGACTGAAAGGTCGCCGGAGTTACCTACCCTCTTGTATGGATCTCGTTCGAATGGAAAATGAAATTATCGAGAGAGTTATCTGCGTGTTAATTCGTGTACATATAAATATTAATATATTTTAAGTTTCTGTAGTTGTAAGAAGGAAAACGTTTTTATTCTTAATCAAAATAAATATTTATTTCCCGACGCTTATCTCTTATTTGTTCTACCATTTAAGTACCGCGATGGTAAATATTTAATGGCGTGTTTGTTTACCCGACTCTGTATGTGACCGATGCCGTATTCAATAAAAAGGCTCGGTATAAGTAAGTATTGTGAAAACTGAAAAATAAGTCATAAAGCGGTTAAAAAGGATTTCTAAGGAATTAGCAATGTGTTAATTTAATAGTTCAATTGTGAAATTTTTGCTAATTTCATTATCTAATTGTAAGTAAAAATATATTCATTTTTTTATAATTTAATTAGACATCATAAATTTGTTGAATTTTATTTCCTCAATAAGAATTAAAATTATTAAAAATACTGTATCTAAAAATGTAACCATTCAAATACAATTATTAATGGTAAAATAAGATATCTATCTTATCATAATAGATATATAATTTTTTTTGAGAATATTTATGAGCTGCTGTATTCAAATTTATTTTGACTTATAAATACAGGATGTCTCTCAAGAAAATTCGATTAGAATATTGACGTTTCAATGCATAGTGCAGATCCTATAACTATAAACTCTATAAAAATGAATCTAAATTTATTTAGATAGTATAGGATTGTTGTACACTACAGCCAACTTTTGAATTACGGACGAATTTAAAAGTAACATTGATGGTGATGAATGTTAAAAAACAAAAACAATAAAAAAAGTTTTAAAATGAAATTACCTATGAAATGAACTAATAATTTCTTAAATCGTCCATCAGGTAAAAAATCTGTAATATTTTAAGGGAGCATCATCCCTGAACTTTAAAATATATCAATTGATCTCTCTCGTAACTATTAATTGATGCTCTTACTACACTCATAAGTCTTATAAAATAGGCATACATTCATACCAAATTTAGTTGTTTCAAGTTTAAGTATTTAGGGAGATATTATTTTTTTTAATTTTTAACTTCACTTTGAAAACCAATAATTTCTCAAGAATGTAACTTTGTAGTAAGTTAATTTGGATTAAACAACATATTTTACAACATAATCCCAACAACATATTCCCCTACATGCCCCTGTTACGTGTCTGTTCTTATACGGGACACCCTGTATAACTAACCTATGTATCGCAACTTAAATTGAATAGTTTTTACATAGTTTAAGAACAACAATCCGAATATTACCGTGGCATTGAGGAATAGCTCGTATAAAACAAAATCTGAATGTTCAAGAAGCATTTATTTTGGTATTTTGTAGATGACAATAAAATTTTAGAGGGGCACACGTCGATTGGTATTTTGAAAATTTTACTGTTGTCGGTAGCAAAAGAGATCGGCCCGCTTTGTAGGTTGTAAAGAAATAAATGCCCAAATGACGGGGAATTATAAACGATTTTATAAGGGCAAACGACCTACGGGGTTCGTAAATGGACGGGCGTAAAACTATAAAATAGTGCCCATATTACCTGTGCCTACTTACTATAGTATTTATAAAGAAGCAGTTTATATTTTTTTAAATTTTTCTAATACTCTCTTAAAGTAACATTTTATTTTGTTGCGATCTACATCTAGTACGACTTTAGGCTGTGGTTATAATAACCTTTTGAGCACAAAAAAGGGAAATTGTAAGGAAAATTTAGTCTTCATATAATCCTATAATTTTTGAGAAATTTTGATAATTTTCTTTAATTATAGTGTTACTTGGTATTAGGACAAAAAACCCACCTCACTGATAAATCTTTCCTGAGGCGTCTACCCTAAATATCTTATACCTGCTTAGAGCCAAAAATGGAATAAAATAAAGGCTGTTTCTACACCAAATCGCCTATAAAAATTTTAAATACCGAAGGCTACTGAGGCAATTGACAAAACACCAAATTGCGTAGAGCCGTTAGAGAACGAAAATAGTTTGAAATAAAAATATCCTGCCCATTCTTCATATACAGCGCGTCGTAAAATTCTCGGAAGCTATTTCAATATTCGACAATCAGTTAGTTACGAAATAACCGTTTCGTTAAAAAAGGATCTACTTCTTCATAATGGGTTTAGTCAACAAAAAAAGTGGAGCACAACTAGTGTGAACCGAAAAAAAAAATCATCAATTTTTATTGCCTCCCGATCGTCGTAAATAACTGTTTTTACGACTCGAAGAAATAAAAACTCGTATATAGCTGTATTTGTAAGTACAGCTTCATATATTTTAAAAAAGGCCCTATTTTATATAAAAAAGTTTCCTTTGGATGAGAAAAGAGGACCAAACTTCTAGAGCAAATCGATGCTGATTGATTGATTGAAGTATTGATTGCTAAATGATGATTAGAAATGATCTAAAATTCATTACTATTTCGATAGCAAAACATTTTATTTAATGGTTCATATTCCATCCAAGTTAAAATGCATCTTTCGTTTCTGAAGGTGCAACTACTTAAAAATATCTTAAAAGTGAAAGTCGTTAAATTAGAAGTGGCTATTAAACGTCGGAAAATGGATTTTGAATGTGTTAAGTGTTAATAATATCTACCCTATTAAACTGAACACTCGACTAGTTACCACTAGATAAATGGAAAAGAGTGATTTTAATTATGTATTTTAAGTAGACATAAGATGATTTTTACCGTGAGACTGATACAAAATCATCCCACTGGATTTCACAAGTTAAGAAAAATTTTAGTTTTTTCTTTTGCAAATATGGTATTTGGCAAATTATTTTTCTTTTACCTCCCTATAATAAAAAGTAATTATATGTATGTAGGTATCTATGTATGTATAAAAAACTAGTTCAAGTATTCAGTAAGTATATTAATAAATTCAAATTGTTACATTTAGTTCAAAAGACCATTAATTTAATCAACAAAAATTATTTCTTTACTTAGATATTTTGATTATAAAGCGTAATTGCATAAAAAATCGACGTGATAAAATAATTATCAGGCTTTTAACGCCCCACAAAGTGTATGTGGAGATATCTGGGCATCTTCAGTTCCCAGTAAAGCGTTTAGCAGGTAATAATCTAATAAATAATTCTTTTATCTCTCAAGTGGTGAAATAGCTGTGATATTTGTACGTTTTTTGTTTGCATAGAAAGCCCTCACATTTGCCACATGGCTCGGGTCCAAGCCGAAATTTATTCTAGAAAAAGGGTCGCTTAAGGGACGACTCAATAAATTAACGCTTAAAAGTGGCGTTGTAATGTTATCTGCGCCCTTCATGGGCGCACTCGCTTTCCTAGATAATCTCTTGATAGATCTACAAGGGTTGTTAATGGGAAAATAATTACATTACATCTCTTATTATAGGATGAATAGATGTTATTGCTTCAGCGTTTTTTATTTATACTTACATAATAGTGCCAATATTTTATGTTGTGGGCTTTGGAATACCTCGAAATGTTCGTGTAATTGCCATAAAAATCTAACCCGATGTTTGTTTAACAGACGCCACTGAGAGGACTTCAATTTTGGTACATTCCTTTGCTGATAACACATTCAAAAATCCCAGTCTGCAGATGGATTATCGCACTATATCAGTATATTTTTTGTTTACCGTTCGAAGGGTGTTGTTGACAAGAAAATAGGCCGTTATCGATTCCAAATAGCGAAAGATTTAAAGAAAATTTCGTGAATATGCCTACTAAATAATCCAATAGAGGCGATAAGTGTTGATGGTTCGTTAAATATTTTATTACCCCCAAGATTTTTCTATCAGCCGATAGTGAGGATTTTTGCATTTATTTAGCTGCATCTATTTCTATAAAATAAATAAAAAAATAAACGGAATTATTACTGATTAGGGCAGATAATTAAAAGCAAAATGTGATATTTAAATAACAGTAAAATAAACTCACAAACAGCAAAACGGTGTCCGGATTTACCGAACATATGGTTCTGATAAGACGGGCTCAATGTATTATTCCGATTTGCACTGACAATATTTTTCTATTACATTACTAATGTAGATACGGTGTCGTTTCGGATTTGTATGTATTTGCACTGATCTTTGTTCGTTTGTCAGGTCTAGATTTATTCCAATTTGAATCTACCGCAATTCCGAAAGGATTTTTTTAACAACTACAGGACCCAGTACTAAAAGTAGAGCTTGACTTTCTTGAAATTATTGTTTGGTCAAGAAACATATGGCTAATTTTTAGGGTTGTTCTGAATTACCCTGTACTTTTACACGAAATCGGGTATTTGTAGGTGGCATATTTTTGCAAAAAAAAAACTAAGAAACGTCCCTGTGAAGCTAACCAGCATAAACTGCACGTATATTCTTCGACACCAGTAAACAATCACGGCGTATCCAATCAGTTGAGCAAACAGGCCATAATCTTCCGACAACAATTCGAGCAAACTAATAGCGAACGTTATTTCGGTGCCACGGAAAAAGATATAAAAGTCTTTTAATCAAGCCTTCGCGACAGATGGGCTTGCCAATAAGCAGCACCAGCTATTGCCTATCATCAGAAGTTATATTGTTTGCAGTACATGATTTGGGTAGGTTATTTTCAGGCTCGTAAACTCCGTATTGTCCGTGTCACATATATCTCGCGTCTTATTGAAGGGAATGGAAACTTTGCTTACTTAGAAGATGGAGTAGGTACATAAAAATATGATTAAATAATTCAATAATTGGGATTCCAACAGAAGTAGATGCAAAGCAAAGTATACTGCTCCACAAAAGTTAAGGAAGTTCATAAATATTGAGATTAATTTAAAAGTTGCAGGTTTTTTCTTCGCCAAATTTAGTATGAGTTGTAGAGGTAGGAGCAAAAAATCCACTCAGATATGTGAGAAAACATTTAATTTCCCATATTTGAAAATTTGGTGATCAAAAACTCTGTAACTTTTAAAATAATCGCAAATTTTGCGAACTTCCTTAACTTTTGTGGAGCAGTTTAGTTTAAGATATTAGAGAAATGATACAAAATAAAGCAACATTTCTCCATGCATGCAGCCTTAATACAAATTAAAACTGTAAATAGACTTTTATTTTTTCGTTAGAACCGCGTCAGCAACTCCGACAACAAATAAACAACTCGCCATCAGGAGCTCGTAATTTCATTAAATTCGTCTGCTATAGGAAGGCAATTAAAATTTCTAATAAAATAAACGTTCCAATAAGTCATTAGAACGGGTGACGGATTTCCAATAAAACGGGTAATATACGCACACTTAAATCGACCGAAAATTAGTTAAGCTGGTGCGTGTGTAATAGGAGAAGCTCGTATAATGGACGAGAAAGTCACATAATGTTTAGTTGTTAGTGCTGTTTTGTAAAAGAGTAGAATTAAAACTTAGTTACGCATATGAATATTTTAATATATGAATATGAAGGAACTCATAAAATTAATGAAGCAAATTCAATAAAATTTGGCAAAAAAATCTGGAAAAAACGATCAATTCTAAGTCACTAAATTTATTAACGGGAGCTTTAATAACTAGTTTTCAAAAAGCTTCTAAAAACACTAATATTAATGTTATAAAATTTAATAAAATGAGAAGATAAGTTACAGATACATAAAAAAACATTTAAAATTACATCAAAGTACTCCACAATCATATAAAAATTTCTAAAGTTGAAAATTGAAATTGTATCACTATTAAAAAAAACCTTAAAATACCATAAAAAATCATTTTAATAAACTCCAAGAAGAATAACTTATACAAAAAAGCAAAGGTAAATAGCCATTTACGTACTAAATGCACCTTAAGATCCTATACAGAAATTATACTTCCTTGCAGGAAACCCAACAGAAATAATATTTCAGTCACATAAGAGGAATGTTTGACAAAATAATTACGACAAAAATCACCTTCCAAGTAGTCGTTTTTACAATCAGCAAACTACTCGAAAACGGCCTTGCCCCAAATAAGATCGCCAGTTTATTGACTTTATTACTTTACGATACTTTTACTTTCCTGTAGGAAAGTGCCTTTACGACCCCCTTGCACGCTTACGCGCCTTTCGCATCGAACGGAGCGGACCTTCCGCCGTCGATTCCATTGTACGGCGAGAGTAAACAAAATTATAAAGGTCCTAAAGCGGGATTGTCGGCGCAAATCGGCGTGACTCCTTCTGGGAATCGACCGGACTCGATGCGACATTGACCAGAACCGGGAGGCCTCCGAATGCAGACCAAGCCATTCGAACGGTTGTTAAATTCGGATCGGAGCTGAACCGTAAAATTCTTGTTTGCAAACTGAATTTCACGGTGAATGTAGAGAAATTGGTGCTGATGGTGTCGAGCTAATTCGAGACACTTTCCGTGAGGATGAAATTTATTGCAAACGTTGGTTTGCTTCGGATGACTGTATAGAGGACATGTTTATTGTAGTCTGCAAATGGACTACAGAGACAGAACAATTGGAAGGATATTAATTTATAACAATTCGAGAAAATTGATGATTCTAAAAATGCTTAATTAGAACATAAGATATATTCTACCTTACCAGAGTGATGCTCCACCCTGCATATAATCATCTTTAGTAGTATTTAGTGAATTTCAGATTATTAAAAAAACTCTAATCAGCGTTTACATCAAAATCGCTGCCCTTTCATCGTCGTTGATTCGAATTAATAGCGCCCTAATGGCAGTTAGTAACAAACAGATGTCGGCTTTGGAGCGTCGCAACGAGAAAACCCGCCCTGGGGGCGAAACGGCGTCGGAAAGTGCGGAAAACCCATCCACCGGTCCGGAATCGAGTTATCCTCTTCATGTGGCGTTCGGATTTTGCTTTCCGGGCACGCTTTGATGCCGCGGTGGAATATAAATGGCAACCGCTGTCGATGCAAATGGCTGCCTGAGCTGCGCTCCGGTCGTTTGGGGGCTTTGGGGATTAGAATGTGAATCGAGCTTCGTCGAGGAAATTCCGATAGGTAATAGGCTGGAAGATGAGTTTCCACGAATGTTACCTACGCCTGTACAGGCTGTGTTATAATGGAAGATATCAAACCATTAAATGTATTATCAATGTATGATCAAATTTATTTGATCTTAAAGCTTATGTTGGTAGGTTCTTTAAAATTATAATAATTTTGTGAATTACCTAAAGTGCCTATTTATCTGAAAATTAGTTTTTTTAGCTTAGGTATACTAATACAGCTATATCATATTTGAAATATTTAAATACTTTTTCGTGTAACAATGTAACACTTTTTGAAGCTTTCTGAAAAAATGGAGCATCCCTTATTTTTATCCACTCGATTAATACTGCAAATACCAGTATTATTTATCTATATTGAGGATAAAAGAATAGAGGAAATTCCTGTTTATTCGCATAGTACGATTGGAAAATAAAGTATAAAGGGTCACATTCTGAGCGCTTCGAGTCGAAATTGAAACGTATCTCGCTGGAAATGAAATTGTGCGCGTCAAAGGGCGAGGTAATTTTGTTGCAGGGATTTTTTGATAGAGCATTATTATTCCGGCGAGGTAATTCGCTATGCAGATTAGAAATTGATAGTCGTTTTAGATACACGGTGCAGATAGCGTTTGAATGGTCGATGTTCGTTGGGGGTTGGGGTTGTTTTATATCGATTTATATTATTTTATTTAGTGATATACAAGATATTTGATCATAATCTTTGATTTTATTCAATATTTTATTTTTAAAAAATGAGATTTCTTATAATCGTAGGTACCCACCCTCAAAAACTAGCTCATACCTAATTAATAGCAAAAAAAACATTTTGAACAAACATTTTTGAAATCGGCAACTTTCATTTAAAATATATAACTTTGGTATTTTTTTAAATTCGTTCTCAAATTTAAAAAAAATGAGTTCTGTAGCCAATCAAGCTAATCAAGCAAGCAAAGCTTACCAAGAGCTTTTTTTACAATTTATTAAACCTTAATTTTAGAGCTCCTTTTAGAAATAAGTATTTTGGGTAAGAAATTAAAATCATAATTTATTTATAAAATACTTTATTTAAAATTGCAGAAAATACATTCCATCTAAAAATACAATCGATTAGGTATTAAAAATATAGTCGAAATATAATACTAAAGTAAGTACATGAGATCGATCAGACGCTAGTAATCCTCAATATTAACATATAAAATTTAACATTTTAGAACATGCTCTTGGAATGCAAACTACAAAAAACATTTAACGCTAAAATCAAATAAATTATAAAAACATTTTTTACTTATATTTGTACCAACGTTATTTTAATAACAATACCTACAAGACCTAAAGAGCTTCTACTCCTTTCAGCTACAAACTATTACAATGTTTAACGCTATTTTATTTACATTAGAAAATATCGATGCGGGCTAAATTGTCACTAAAAAGTATTTTGTACAATCAAATACATTGATAAATTCATCAAAATAGAGCAAAGTCCCTAAATAAATTAGTCAATTAGTTACAGCTTTCACCATTTATCTAATAACAGTAAATCGATCTTAGTAATTTTATAGCTACAGAAACGAGTGCTTTAATATTTTTTGCAATTGTGTTCAATGGCATTGTAGCTTATTAACTATACATTTTGATAACAATACACATTGTTGCTATTATCCTTTATGATTAAAGTTATATTTTATAATACTATACCTGGTATTAAAAATAACAACAAAAAGTACTGATTTAAATGAGTTTAACAAGTATACTCTAGGGACTTAACTCAAAACTTATTAGTTAAAATAATGTAATATTACATGAAACCATCATAACAAATTTGTTGAACTGCATAGACATTTACATATGCATATGCATAAAGTGCATTATAATGCAACATTCCTCATTAATTTGGACTATAATAAATTTACATTTAGTCATCTTAAAGTAGGATTCTAACAAAACTATATGTACAAATGTACAGAATTAAAATTTGTAAAACAACAAATATTATTTAGAGAAATTAACATCTTCTCCAATAAATAATCGCAAACCGGCCTGAACCAATCAACACGCGTTAATATCATTATGTGACTGATTACAAACTGGATTTGGAAGATTTTATTGGTTCGGATTAGTTTGTAAATTTAGAAATATCATTCGTAGGCCACTTTGTAGGTACAAATCACTGGGGATGTTATCTCAACGTTTTAAACATATTTTACAATTAAACTAAATAAAGCTTTCTACAGTATTTTTAAATTCGAAAATCTCAAACTACAATCGTTTGGTTCTAACAAGTGTAACATTCATATCGTGCTCTATTTTCAAGTTCTCGATAAAATTAAACTTATTCGAGTTTACATTAAATTTCTTTCATTTTGTATACTTTTATGTCAAGAGGATGATTGAAAGATGTAATACAAATAAATCTATTAAGCATATTGGTAATTTAAAATAATTAAATTTGTTATATCAATATCAATTAAGTAGGTACAAAAATATCAATTTTTTGTATCTTAATATTGAGTCTAATAAATTTGTGTGCTTTTAAAAATTTGAAAGCATTTCCACAAGAAAATGAAATAGAAAGTTATAAAAAGTGAAAGAAATCCAAAAAACTCTATCATACATATAGGCAACTCATCTATAAATTTGTAAAAAAATACCACATCTTTAGAGTACATTAAAAGGTTGGTTTATCTCTAAGAAATTTCTTAAAGATGTAAATTAACACCAGTCATCATAATGATAGCTATTATACACTCACAATTGTAATGAAACTTCTTATTTATATTGTAATAATAGCTATCATTACACGATATTTGCATAATACATTACTACAGTAACATGCACATTTAGATTTCTAACAATTCTTGAGTTACCTATCTAATAATATTCGCTCTAATATCTATAGTGTAAAAGACCACTGTATTTGTAACATTTATACAATTCAATTCTTTTTACAAAAAGTCGCTTCATAAATAAAATTTCTCTCTAAATCGTACTATCTCCCCATAATATCAGCTATAGTAAACCCGGTCATCCGGTGCGGCGGCGGGTTCTGAGGAGGCGGCTGCGGCGGCGGCGGTTCGCTCTTCTTCATACTCAAATCACTAGCGACGTTATTACCCCCGACGTCCTGATGGGCGCTCCTCAACAACCCCGGCCTGAACACCGAGCTCCCAGTATCGGGCGGCCTGAGGCCCACTTGGGCGCCCATCAACACGCCCGGGTTGCCCCTCATGGCCGGATGGTAGCCCCTGAGGTTGGGCGGCGGCGACAGCGGTCGCATCGCCCCGAAGGGCGGCCTGTCCTGGTCGAAGTGCCGCTTGCGGGAAGGCGCCGGCGCGAACCCGCCCTCCTGGAGCTCGCTCGTCACCGTGCTGGACTTGGGGGTGGGCGCGCGGTGCAGGTCGCGCCTTATCTGCAGCTGGGGCATCGGCAGCGGGTCCGGTTCCGGGTCTTTTAGCACCTCCGAGCAGTCCTCTTGTCCCGGGTCTAAACAAAAAGACTGATTTAACAAGAGCGCAGTTCAATATAAGAGGTTCCAAAAATCTTCCTTTAGGTACCAATGAATATTGCTCATCAATAACTATAAATAACTTATTGAATTTAGTATTACATTGAACATAGTGAAATCATAGTCAAAATATCTAGTCCTTGTACCTATTTCAGGATCCTCGTCCAAGTCTTCGTCGTCGGTATCGTCCTGTGCTAGACTCCTGTCCAATGGAGGTCTCATTGTGTAAGGGCTGGACGAGGAACAAGGCTCGTGACATTGGGTAACCCCAGGAGCCGGGGAGCAGGCTCTGTGATCTCTCTCGTCCCTGGAATCCACGGATAGGCTCCTCGGTCGAGGCGACATTTTTTCTCTATCTTCGCAGCCTAAAAGCAGAACCAAATGAAAATCTAAGCCTTTGAAAACGATGATATTTTTAGTAAGGATAACATACATGGTTAAGATGTATGTTAGGGAACTTGGTAATAGAGATATTAGAGAATAATGAGGATAGAAGGTAGTGATGAAAATAACAGGACATTAAGATAGTATAACTTTATGATGAGAAATAAATAAGCAAAAATTAGAGCAGGGTAAGAACAGGATACGAGGACAGGAAAAGAAGACAGAATAAGAAAACAGGATAAGTAGAAGGATAAGAAGACAGGATACGAAGACAGGATAAGAAGACAGAATAAGAAGACAGGATAAGAAGACAGGATAAGAAGACAGGATAAGAAGATACAAGAAGATACGATAAGAAGACGGGATAAGAAGTTGTGACAAGAACACATGATTAGAATACAGGATAAGGACACAGGATAAGGACACAGTATAAGAACAGGATAAAAGCATAACTAATTGTTTTTCTATCCTGAAGTTGAACATATTTTTACAAATAGTTCAACTACATTTGGCGGTGCAGCATCTATGCAATTCCTAGGATTAAAACAGGGCAAAGGTACTTGCCTGGCATGAAGCCGTCGGCGAGTCCTTCGGGAGGGACGTCGCCGACGGCGTGCGTGAGGGCGTGCCGCCGCAGGTCGCAGTTCCTGCGGAACACCTTGCCGCAGGAGTTGCACTCGTACGGCTTGTGATCGGTGTGGGTGAGCAGGTGGGTCTTGAGGTTCGACCGCTGGTTGAAGGATCGGCTGCACACCGGGCACTTGTGGGGCGACTCCTCCATGTGGAGGATCTTGTGGACGGCGAGCGTCCTGCTCTGGCAGAAGCCCTTGCCGCATTCGCCGCATTTGAACGGCTTCTCCTTGCTGTGGATGTACCTGGAGAATTTTTAATTCTTTAAATTGAGCCGTAAAGCGTACGGGTATTTGAGGAATTTCAAAAAGGTAGTTAGTCCGACAAAATGGGGGTAATAAACGTTCCGTTCGCGCTGTTTTTGTTTGTTTTAATTAAGTCGGAAGGGAAAAAATTTCATCTCGAGATCTCGAGGTGTACTCTTGTTTTTTTTTAATTAAAATAGTTATAGCTCGTGATAATGGCAGGAATCCACCGTGGTAATAATTCATCATTATACAGACTGAACCGAGTCCAGTCCCTCGACCCTGATGTCTTCAAAACAGGTGTGCTGGCAGAGAACGTATAGTAAACAGTGACGCACCGAAATTTGTTGTGCAATGGGTACATGTATTTGTAGCCGCCATTTGTGAATTGTGATATAATCAATTTGGTTTTAATTGATTTTCGGGTTCAATAAGGCGAAAGAAATTATGTAATTTTTGCGGCATATCTAATTGGCAGGTACTCATTTTTATGTCGTTTCAACTGTAATATAGGCACCTACATGTGCATAACAAACAATAGTTTAAACGATTGTGGGTGTGCTAGTGTTTTATACTGGATTGGCCTTCTCTATGTTTGTAGAATTGTAGGGAGAAAATTAATTGTACTAGACCTGCTATTATGATTTCGAAATTTAGGTCTGCAATAAACGAAATTTTTTAAATCAGTAAAGAGGAAATTGAATCTTCTAGAATTTCATAAGCACTTGAAGATACATATCACTAAATGTTATTTAAAACCATACGTTAAAATTGAATACAAAAAGAATGCAATCAATTTCTTCACCCAAAGGAAACCACATAACATTTTTTCAACTTTACTACTGCAACCTGAAGAGCTGTTTGCAATTAATACATTAAAAATGTGTGTTGCACGATAATTAAAATTAAATTTTAGTTGTAATTTCGAGGAAGACCCGCCGCTGTGGTTGGTGTTAGTGCCATCGGTGTTTCCTTTCTGCCTTCTTCTTCGGTCTTCGGCCACTTTTCAAGGCTAACCGGCTACGGCCAGTGGATGCTGTTGTTACCGATAGAGGCAGAAATGGAGACGGATGTAAAACGTGGCCGTTAAAAAGATCTCGACTAGTCGATTTTTCATATTCCTAGTCCGGTTTGAGTTTTATTTTTTCCATGTGCCTTATAAATACTCGTTTTTTTATTGTTGTATAGTGTTAAAACATATTCGGTTTGATGTAGGTAATTGTACGACAGAAATTTAAATGCATAAAATTATGTTAATACAGCATGTAGCAAAAATAATATCTTCTACCCATATGATTAATGACTTATGAAGTTACCGGACTGTTCATACCAAAAGTGTTTTAGAAGCTCTTTGTTTTTTTTATATAATAGTTTTAATTGAGCGCTAAAAGTAGGAAACTTTGGTGGACTGGAAGAAGTTTATTAATGTCTCTATACAGGTTGTCCCGAAATTAATCCTGTACCTAAAATTTGACCATAGATCTCTACTTTCCAAATTACACTCCCTGAAATTCTTCCCTAAAAATACTTTCTTTATATCTCATGAGAATCCGAGAAGAGAATGGTTTCCTGAGTAGATAATGCTCTAATGATTTAGCAGTTCTTTAAGGTTTTGCATTGACTTTTATACATGAAATTTAGCTTAATGAGATAATTCATCACTATTTATCTTCATTTCCTGAGATTCACCTCCATCGCTCATCTCTCTGAGCTTGATGATTTCGGCGCGACTTTCTCGCGACCCTCGTATATTACAAGCGATTATAATTCGTATACGCTACTCTAGATACGGATGGAAATTAGTTCAATCCACGAGGTAAAAATGTATCGAGCATCGTACAGAAAGTCGTCAGGCGAGTTTCTTACGGTCGATTGAATATACATATTTTCAATCTTCGTCGAGCCGACAGAGGTTACACCAAGCTCCGGCCGGCCATCCTATCTAGCAATGAGAAATGCGAGGAGAAGCGGGGAAACGGCGTCTGGCACTCGCAATGCCTACGTTAAATAATTAGATCGAGTTTTATTACACGGCCGCGAGTATTCGCAACAGCGAAAAAATACCGTGTGCACCGATTCGTCACGTCTGCGCCCGCCGAACAAAGATTAAAAAACGTTGCGATACGATCGTACTTATTGAATAAGTTCGAAAACGTGGAATTGCCCACACCCACGACTACAGCGGCCCGTGGAAAGCGAGATTTTTTGCGCCAACTTGGCTGTTTCTTAAGCAAATTACTTGCTAGATATAAAATAGTACTAATAGATCAACTTGAGTTAGTGTGGGAATCAAGGCCATGACTAATACGCTCTCTATATCCCAGATTATTCAAGATTTTAGTTTTTTTAGAAGTATTTTGTTTCATTAGAAAGTTCTTCATGAATGTGCAATTTGGAGTTTATTGAAAAAGAATATTTATTGCATCTTTTACAACCACTTTTTTACAACGACTAATATTTACTGTATATAATTTTCATTTTTTCTGTTACCTCATCCAACACATGAAAAACTATTTCAAACGTTCAATAGAAATCGTTTTCTCGATCATTTATGTGCAATTTGGAAGTTTATTGCATGTTTTACATTGACTTTTAATAAACTGCCCCACAAAAGTTAAGGAAGTTCGCAAATTTTGCGATTATTTTAAAAGTTACAGACTTTTTGATCACAAAATTTTCAAATATGCGAAATTAAATGTTTTCTCTCATATCTGAGTGGATTTTTTGCCCCTACCTCTACAACTCATACTAAATTTGGCGATCAAAAAACCTACAACTTTTAAATTAATCTCAATATTTGTGAACTTCCTTAACTTTTGTGGAGCAGTATATTTACTGTATATCATATACAATTTTCATTTTTTCTGTTACATCATACAACACATGAAAAACTATTTAAAACGTTCAATAGAAATCGTTTTCTCGATAATTAATTATTAAGATACTACTTTGACATTTTCCTCAAGATTTCTCGAGATGCTCTGAATTTGTCTTTCGAACGCGTAGATGCTCCATGGACCGTATCCGATAAACCTGTTTCCTCGCAACTCCGCTGGCTCGCAGAGAGCAGAGGGCCCGCTGTCCGGAGTCTAGCCCCGGCGCATTGCTCCGGTATTTCGACGGAATGTCGTGCACCGCGTGCCAGCCGGATTATATTCTACAAACGGATCGGAATGCTACGTTTCCAGTAAAAGAGCAAACAGATCGCGAGCGAGTCGAGGTGGATTTTTGAAAATTTTGTTGAATTCCGCTCCGAACACGTGTAGATGCTCGTAATCTCGGTGTTTGATAAGAGATGTAAATAAATGGGAGTAAATTTTCGGTCCGGTGGAAAAGGGTAAAATAGTGGTAATTTAGAATCTTTTGCTATATAGATAACAAAATACATATCCCTTTAAAAGCAATTGCCAGATAAATGTGACAGAATGTTATTTACTAGCACCTCATAACAGATTCTTTGCACTACAAAAAAAATCATATCTTTAGCAAAAATGCTTTCAAATAACTTCATCAAGTAGCAAAAGTAGCAAAATTTTCGCACGCGATTATTTAAAATTATCTTCAAAACTTTGTATAAAAAAGTGTGGGTAACAGATAATAAATGGTTATGGTCAATTTCAGCTAAATTACTAATGACTTTTTCAACTCTTTCTCTCACTGTATCTCATTAAAAACGGGCATCGGTAGTGGATTTTGTTAATGAATTTCTAATTATGAAAATTGAAAACCAACCACATTTCCATCTAAATGTGTACGTTTATGTCTACCGCCCTACAGGCGCCATCAAAAGGCTATAAAAACTCGGAATTTATGTTAAATAAACTAATATTTTACAGCCGTAATAGTGCCTATAGTGTAGCAACTCTTTATAAAGCGAGAATGAGCTCAATTTACATATGAAGGAAACCAAAAAAAAACTCAACTAACTAACCTGTGGTCTCTAAGATGATCCTGCCTCCTGAACGCTTTACCGCAAATATCGCAGGAATACGGCCTTTCATCCGTATGAGTACGCTCGTGTATCAACAAATTATAGCTCTTGGTGAACTGCCTGTTGCAGTACTTGCAAATGAACTGCTTCTTGGGCCGCGACGCGCGTCCCGGCGCCCTCAGCAGCCTCCTGTCCAGATGCGCGTGCATCTGCGGCGGGCCGGGCGGGAACAGCGCCCCGCCCCCGGGAAACGAGAACGACGCCGGCCCGGCCGGCGACGTCGGCAGGAACCCCGAGTACGAATGGCCCTGCGAGCCGCCCGCGGGCTCCAGCATCCCGGCGGGCGGCCGCGGCCGGTGCGGCAGCATGAGGGCGGCGTGGGCGGCCGCCACGCACACCGCCTCCTCGCGGAACTGCAGCTCCTTCCGCTTGTCGGCCATGATGGCCATCAGGTCGAAGCCGGAGGACGAGGGCTTCCGGGGGAAGGGGGACGCGCCGGCGTCGGCGGCGGATTTGCCGCCGTCGGAGCGGTCGCGGGACTCGCGCATCAGCTCGCCGCCGAGCAGGGGGTGGATGTCGCCGGCGTACATCATCTGGTGGACGTTGCGCGAGGGTACCACCGGCACGAAGGCGGAGCTCTCCCTGTGGTGACTCATGGTGCTCTGGAGAGGCACCTGCTGGTAGCCCAATTGGGCGTCGTAGCGGCTGGCTGATGAGGAACGGCTGGCGCTGCCCGGTGAGGGCAGGGCGAAGTCGTGTCGGGCCAGGGAGAGCGGGCGCTCTTCCACTGGGGAACTGGTCGCTGTTTCCGGCATCTCGATCTGCGATGAAAGCAAGAATTAGGATTTCTTTGAATGTACAAAATTGGAAAAAATTGGAGCCAACGTTTGAATTCATACTTCGAAAACATGTTGTAATTTACCCTTTACCTGTTGGTGTACTATTGTTTGGCTAAGCTCTAAGCAGTATTAATAGAATTTCTAAACGCAGGTAGCTCGAACATTTCAGTATACAAAAAAACCTTATTTTCACCTTCTTTTAGACACACCTTCTAAACTATATTAAATATTTTCTCCTACTTAATTCTTTTATATTCAAGGCAGGTTTCGCCCCTTTCCTTACATCTACCTACATCTGTTATTCTTTCAACAAGAGCACTTCCTTTACATTACTACTATATTCCTCATACTTTCAACCTTTTGAAACTCAAATATTCCATTATTTTCGAGGAAACCTCTATTATTAATAACATCATATATCAATTTGCGAACGGTATATAATATGTAGCAGGAAAGTTAATCTGAGTGGAAAGGGGTAAATTTGCAACCATATAATTCGTCTTGCATATTTCCTCATAATATAATCAACATTGGCAAAACGTTGGAAATTTCACCGGGGCAATACCAGCCTTATAATTTTACATCTATTGCACCAACCTCCAGGGCAGAATCTCCTGTGCATCAAATATAATATAAACATCGAAATAACCGGCCATCAGCGAGAACAATACATTATATAACAGTGAAAATTTTTCGAATCCGTCGACATTACATCTGCTCGAATTATTAGCAGAACGATTTCTCGTTGGAAAACCGCTAAACTACCCGTTCATCTAATTAATAATCCCATTTAGCAACGCCGAATTAACATTATTTTTAGTGATCTCGCCGCTACCGATTCGCCCGGTTCATTTGAATAAGAATGCTCGCAGACGGAGAAATTCGCCGAAATTTACGTGCCCGGACTCCGCACAAGACCCGGGAATTTCCACAAGCCCTATTGAAATGTAAACTCTGTCGTGGAAACCACAGACACTGACGTTCCTTTTCACAAACTGGTCATAAATATTTTACCAATGATTACAGTTTACAGTAAGTGAATAAGTAGTACCAGCTATGTTCATTGTTGCCAATGTTTGATGAACCTTGGTCACTTTATTTGCAACAAAATTTAAGCCAATTTATCAGCCAATTAAGCACGTTTTGAGTTATCTTTTTCTTACCAATTAAGTGCAGTTTTATCTCATTTTATGCACACTTAAGTGCATACATTTTTAAGCGAAACTTCGATGGTCGGTGCATAAGTATTTATTCTGCAATTAGCCTGGTTAAATATAATTTACGTAACGAGCATAATAGCGCGAATCGACATAAAAAACCCGTATTATTACGATTCCGGGTAGATCCTATCTGTCGAGGCGACCGCAACGGATGATATGCATAAATTTATAAAATTAAACTATGCGGTCATTCGATGGTATAAGTACGATAAAAATGTATGTAAGTATATCGGCAAAGGCGTAGTTGATCGGAATGAAAAAAATCACTTAAGTATGAGTAATGGGTAATGGCATTATAACGTCGAGATTGATCCGATAAAGGAGAGCTACAGAGAGAGTTAGATCGTTGGTGATTTCTAAGAAGTTACGTGTAGGCACTACGGTCTGTATAACGAATCGGCCGAAATGAGAATTAAAAACTGATCAAATAAATGAGAGGAGAGAGGAAAAAAGTACTACTTAGTACTAGTTAAAAGAAGAAATACGATTTCCAAGCGTGTAATGTTTCTTCCTGTGGCACAAAGCTTTCTAAAATTGCTGAATAAACATTATTTCGCGGGCATTCAGTCACTTTTAATAATATAATTTATTATTTAATTTCTAGAGAGATTGAATAAGTTTGAAGAGAGAATTAAGGTAGAATACTATTTGTTCCCTACATGAATAAAAGTTTTATGAATTGTTAAATAAACGTAGTTAGCCTTGGACGTCAAAACTGACAGATAAAAGTAAATATGATGGTCAGTAGGTATTATTTTAATTGCTTACAAATAATGGAATCTATAAATTAATTCGCTTAATGTGCATGATGATCTCATTGAGCAGAAAAACTACGGGGTGTACCTACCAATTTCTAACAGATTAATTTTTAGTTGAAACACCCTATTCGAAAATACCAGTTGAGTTACTATTTCTTATAAATGACTATTGATTGTTGCATATTGGATTTCGTTAAATACATACATACATAATGACCCAGAAAACGATGGTAAAACGACATCACCAAGAGGAATTTTATTTTAACATGCCTCGGCGGTTTATTTATTTTGGGCATATTTCGTCAGTTAGAAATGTATAAAGGACCATCAGGCAAGTGTTTTTTTTTCTTGTGATATACAGGGTTAGTCGCAAAGTGAATACACATACACAAAGTAGGTAATTCATTTTGTTAATAATTCTATATGGGTATGTGCAAATTTGTTTGCATTGTAGTCAATTTTATGAGTTGAACAAAGAAAGGTTATTGAAATAACGGTGGTTAGAGTGAGAAAGTTGCAAACTTACAATATCACTCTTTCTTTTTTCTTTAAGGGAGACTAATTGAAGTTATCTTTGTTGCACCCATAGCCTATATTGCAATCAATTTTGCATCTACCCTTATAGTCAATTCTATGAGTTGAACAAAGAAATTCTATCTTTTTCCTTTATATGTAACTAATGGAAATTGTCTTTGTTGTACCTATATACCTACCTAAATAAGATGATAAATAGTGAAAAATGAGGGCATTTTAATTCAGTTTTATAACATAGGTTTCGTGGTTATCAATTTATTTGTCAATTTTCCAAAATTTTAGCTTCTTGTAAATTGATATAAAATTTAAGCCAATTATTACACCTCACAATCAGATTATTTCACAATAAATATCTCCAAAGATTACCTTAATTACACATATTTACAAAAGTCAATAAATTTGTTACTTTAAATACAACACCCTATATATTTTGGTATTGAGTATGCACGTATCTACACAATGGGTATTCATCAACACCTTGTATACCGCATTTTCAAATTGAAAGATCTGTTGTTATAGAAAAATATCAATATTTCTTCAATCAACAGTACTATATTTTACAACATCAAAGTAAAAGATAAATTTATTTGCGCACAGTTAATCCGCCCAGAGACTACTGCAAATACGTTTATAGTGGTAAAGGTCATAGCAACAACCACATCGAATCGCCCTGTATACAACGTGTAGCTGAAATTAGCAGTTTGTATGTGCATACTCACGATTTAAAACAGTAACAGTAACTGTAACGAAGGTAGACGATTGATCCTCGACGTCTTCGCCGCGAGTCGATCGGTCGCGGATCTAACACAATAGCAAATAAAATGTAACACAACCTGTCGCCGTATCTCCAGCATCGGGCTTTATTGCCATCGCATACGATTACAATATTAAATCAAAAGTCGAGTAGCCGCCTAAATATGCAAATGTAATTTATTCACGGCAGATCGAACGACACCGATGATATATTGTCGGCGACAGCGCGTACCCGACGCGAATAGATAAAACAATTAGGTAACATCGCATAAATTACGCGACAGCTTCTCGATTCCCAAGAGGTTTTTTACCCAGATCTGTTCCGCGCTGACTTAAGTCGAACCAAGATGGCGAAGCGAAACGCGCTCAAGCAGTACCTGCGTAAATGTAAACTAACAGTACCTGTCTAACTTGGAAGCGCGGCAACGTCGTCTATACTATATGGTACTATTTTTAAGCGATTTACTTTATTAATCCGTGCTCGTATTTGTTTAATACAGCGAGTGGTACTCGGTAAAATTGTTAAAAGTAACCAACGATTGTTCTTACCTAAACAACGAGAAGTTTATTCATCCAAACCAGTTTCATTTCAAACGAGCAAAGAACACCTCTAGTTCGTATACCGATTTTCGAATGCACACCGAATAACCACCTAGCACAATACTACTGTATACAGGTGCATAATAGCGCGTCGACCGCCGACGTAAAGTGCAATAAACGGACAAACCCCAAGAAACAGAGGGTACCACAACAAAAAAAAACAGGTAGATTAAAAAGCGACCCGAAACGCATCGACGCTCGTTCGGGTTCGGACTCGCCACAACTGCAAGAAGCAAGAAGTCGGCCGGCGCGGTGGAAGCGGAGGTCCGAGGAGGCGAGAGAGGCGAATCAAGTTGGCGGTCAGGTTATAGCCGAGCCCGAGCCACCTGAGACATCCGATGGAGAGTACCGAGGAGGGGACGCCGTGCACACGCACGCACAGAAGTTGCGGAACGAACGGCAGCAGCGGTGGCGTACAGTCCACCATTTCTTTTTGTGCGCGACCGCCGCCGCGCCGGGCGACAATCTCGCGGTGGTCGTACCGGCGGAGCGGAGAGGCCCGGGCGGCGCTCTTTATTAATATTCATCGGCAGAAGTCGCTGGGAACGGCAAACAAAACGCCATGTACCGAACGCATTATCGCTGAATATTTAGATGCGGTCCTTTGGAATTCCTTCGGCGACGCAACTGAGAGAATTGATAATGCACACAAGTCTGCTAATTGGATGTAGTTGTGATGAATTTGACACCGATGACCAACTCCAATGGCTAAAAGCGAATTGGTTACATACTCCAATGGTCATTCTGAATCAATGGAACCAACTGGCGATGAATCCTCGGGGTCTATAGAGAACAAGAGCAAGATTTGAGCAAATGCAATAAGAGATTCTCTCCATCTGGAAGAAGGCTTTGAAGACAAATGGGTAGATTTAATTGAGTGATGGTCAGCTACACCAAGAAGTAAGAAGTTTGTACGACTGAAGTAGCATTATAAATAACTAGCAAAACGAATGATCAAACTAGAGAGAACAAGAGCAAGATTTGAACACATGCAATAAGAACTTCTCTCCATCTGAAAGAAGACCTGTTGTCTTTGAAATCAAGTGGATAGATTTAATTGAGCTATGTTTAGCTACATCAAGAAGTTTGTATGACTGAAGTAGCATTATAAATAATTGGCGAAACGAATCCTCTCGAACAAACTAGAAAACAAGAACAATATTTGAGCAAATGCAATAAGAGCTTCTCTCCATCTGAAAAAAGACCCTCTGTCTTTGAAGACAAATGGAAAGATGTAATTGAGGTATGCTCAGCTACACCAAGAACCTTGTGTTGTTGAAGTAGTCATTATAAATAATTGGCAAAATTAATCCTCTCGATCAAACTAGAAAACAAGAGTAAAATTTGAGCATATGCAATAAGAGCTTCTCTTAATCTGAAAGAAGACTTTGAAGACAAATGGGCAGATTTAATTGAGATATGTTCCAGCTCCTCCAAGAACTTCGTTAGAATAAGCCGATACTGAAGAAGTTATTATAAATCAATACAAATTAGTAAAAGTAATACTAATACTAACACAAACGGGTTAGAAAGAAAGAACACATAAGATGTTCCTTGAGAAGGGTCGAGTTGGTCAAAATTAAATAATTCCAGGCTGAAGAGAAGAATAAAAGATGTGACATTGTGTTTTTGAACACGATGATATGAAAGCAGATTTCTTTACAGATGACAAATAAATAGGTAATCAAATATATTGTCGATTTATCAAGACACCAGAAGAGGTAAAGTCAATTTGATCCATCAAAATCAACCTTGACGCAAGTTTTATGATCAAAATTTAGCCATGTCCACCAAACAATCAGATAGAAAAAGGGACAAATGTAAAAGCAAAGGGTTACAGCGCGTTTTGAAGTTGATTTTCTGCTGCGTGCCATCGTCGTCGAAGGTAAAAACTGGTTCCAATTAAAAGAAACACTCTATTATACCTTCCCTATTTTAGGTAGAAGACGATGCATTATACGACGCGCCCAAAATGGTATCATCTTTCTGCCAATGCGAATGCGACCAACAAACCAAAACCACTGCTACAGACGAGATGGAAATATCGAAATGCTGCCACCCACAGAACGACATCAGCATCACCAGCGGCGCCGACGGAGACATGAAATCCCCCTTGGAAAAACTAACGAATCTAATAGTCAGCCTCGACCACATTTACGAGTTCTGCTCGAAGGAATCCGAGCACTTTAAGAAACTGTGCGCGTCCAACCGAGAGAGCAGAACCGTGGACTCGGGAATACTCGTCACCGATTCGGACACGCTATTCACCAAATCCGACTTGCACATCAACCTGACGGAGGGCTCCAGCGCCGAGAAGATCTCCAAAGACACCGACGACGGCATCTTCGAGAACTACTCCAACACCCTGGGGTCCTTCACCGGCACCGTCATGGAGCACATCTCCAACATCAAATCCGAAATCGAGAACATCAAAAACATGGTCGCCGACAGCGGAAAGGCGGAGTTCCCTCTGATCGGGTACGAGAGGGAGCTGGCCGACGACCAGTGGCTGTGTCGCGTCGAGGAGTACAAATTCCTGGAGGCGAAGATGCGGGCTTCGAATTTCTGCCGGTTCCACAGGCTGGGCCAGACGTGCGATAAGAAGTCGAAGGGCGGGAGCAGCCGGTTGAAGTGCGTTTAAGTTGGATTTTGGTTGATTGGCTGGAATTTTTTTTGGATGGAAATTTGTAGAGGCCCTCTCGACGATGCGAAAGCGCAGTTTAGTGCTTTTTTGCGATGTGGCAATCGCTATTCTAAATCTACCTACGAATTATTTGGAGCGGGATCTGATTACGTGCCAATTTGTAGAGAATGGATATATCGCATTTTTAATTGTAATTTGAGCAAGTTTTATTAAATTGTCTTAAGTCTTTATAATTTTTTTGCATTGCCAACAGGTGATCGGATAATAGATGAAACATATTTAAGACTATAAATGCTCTTATTTTATTTACAAATATTACAAGCGTTCGTTTAAAATCAAATTGTAACAATTTATAAAACCAAATGCAAACCTAGTATTTTACAAATTCTCGGACCACATGGCACCACCGGCTTTTGAAATACTCCCTTCTCTACAGTCCAAATAAACGTTAGGATAATACATTTCGCATAATTACAATTACATAAATAATAATCACGATTCATTCTCCGCACCTTCAGAATTATTTTCAACATCCGAATCATCGTCTTCAATGGTCTCGCCTAATTCCCTTAACCGCTGTTTGAAATTGTTTAACTTCGAATCCTGATCGGTCATGAGTTCCAGCAAATCGTCCTGGTCCTTCCTCACCCTGTTCAGCTCGTTCTCCGCCTCCGATTTTTCCTGCTCCAGTATTTTAATTTTCTCCAACAGAACTGATTCGTTCGAATGTTGAACCGGACTGTCCACTTGGATAGGTCCATTTGTGACTACAGAGGGATTCACGGCTAGCTGGGCTTTTAATAGAGTGTTTTGGTCTGTTAGTTGGGTGTTGGTGTCTTGTAGCTCCTTCATTTGTGCCTAAAACGTGAGAATCTTGTGTTAAAGGCAATGCGAAATGACTAATAGAGAGGACACCAAGGAGGCTAAACTGACAGAAATTTTACCTCTAATGTGTGGTTGATTTTTTGCAAATTATTAATAGACTTTTGCATGTCTTGCAGCTTCTTGTCTTGGTCCCTGATGAGTTCCTTGTATTGTAGAAGTAGGGCGTTTTCGTGCTCGTTTAAGCTCAACTCCGACATTCCGTTGGAAAGCTCCCTTTGGACGCCCAATGCTTGAATAATGACGCCTTCTAGGGACTTGAGAAGTTTGCAGAATTCGAACTCTACAACAAAATCATCGGATGAATGTCGGCGAGTTTTTGTTTGGAATTGTTTATTACCTAATAGAAGCTCGCTGGAATGTTTGGCTTTAATTTGTGGTTGCTTGGCGGCTTTGGCGTACACTTCGTGCCTGGATATTTCCACCAATTTTTTGCAATAGGTATCGATGCCTACTCGCTTCTCTATCAGCTGACTGAGGTTCTCTTTGGAATAGTTTTGAATGGAATTGTCGTTGTACAGCACGCACAAACCCATCAGAAATGCGCACAACCCCTAAAAAAACACCGAAATTAACCGTTTGTTAAAATAACCACACAAACGTTATTTACTTGTAATAATTCTTCGTTGTTGTCGAATTCGCTAGCGGATGTTTGAGCCGTAAGAAACGCCATGGAACCCGGTACATTTAGAAATACCCTAACAGCTTCCGGTGAGTACGACATCCACTGAGCTAGCAGCATCATAATGCCCAATTTCGCTTGAAGCTTGCTCGTGTGTTGCAAAAATACGGCGCTTTGTTGCAGCAAACTGATGGGCTGCGCGCCCAAGCTGGTCGCCAGCAATACTCTCAGTAGCTGCTCCTTTTGGGCTGGATTTTCGATCAAACAGTGGGACAAGGCCACCGCCGAAAACCAGATGCTCAAGTGGTCGTTGCTGAACAGGCCGCTGCACAATATTTGGCCCATGCTTAAATTCGACATGCCCGAATTGCTGGGCAACAGGGTTTGCACCACCAGCTCCTGGCCTATTTCGTTTTTGAATAGGAAGCACTCGAAGCAGTAGAGAACGGCGCATCGTAGAGGAAAGGGTTGTTTCTCGTTCACCATCGACATTAGTAGTACCACGATGGCTGGTCTGGGGGGATTCGAGGGGGCTAAAACGTTGGCGAAGTATTCTTGATTTGTTAGGTTTCCTCTTATCACCTCACCTAGAAGATGTATAAACAATTTTGATAGCAATTTTCTTCGATAACAACGCAAATTAGTTATACTTACCGACTGCGTTAATAGTTTCTGTCAGAATATCAGCGGGCACGCCGCTGGCCATTAAAATATTACTCAAGGCTTCTAATAAGTTCGTATTTCGTATAGTTTTTTGGCAAGCCGTGATGATTTGTGCGGAGTTGTTGGGCGACACTACGGTGCGAATCAATTGCAAAACGCACAAAAAATTCGAGATTTTCTGCGGACTCCAGCCGATTTCCTCCAAATTCGAGGGCAGTTCGAACATGGGCGGGATTTTCTGCAGGTAGGCGCCTTCGTGGAAAAAGTTGATGTTGCTGTTGTTGTTTTTTAACAGGTTCAGCATGAGCAGCAGGCAGTCTTCGACGACGATTCCTCCGTCGGTCCGACCCTCGTCTTTGATTATGTCGAATAATCTGTCGAAGGCGTTCTCGAACGCTACTATCTTTTGCATGTTAGCGTTCGATTTGGTTAAATTGGTTAGTAACAGTACGGCGTCATTTCTAATGACTTCGCGATTTTCTAATAGCAAATCCATTAACTTGGAGACGCCCATCGGGCTGACTAGTATTATATCTTGCACATCTTTCGGTTTCGAGGACACCAAAGACGTCATTAATCTCACGGCCGGCCATCGAACGCGAAAATCGTACTCTTCCAAAAAACTAAGGATTAAAGTCACATTATCGGTATTTTTCAGAAACATTTCCGTAAATTGCTCGCCTACGTTTACGTTCATGTTTATGTTATTCTCATTTTCTTCTTCGAACGTTTCTTTAGACGTTATATTACACAGCGTATCTAAACAGTACCCTATGATTTCGCAATCGCTTCGATCCAGCTCTAAAACTTGCTTTAAAACATCCAAGCCCTGGGCGCCTACTTCTAGTCTGTACTTCTTTGATAAGGCCTTTAGGGCCCTGCAGGCGTCCCGGCGATCCTCTAATAAAGTCGAAGTGCTCACCCGGCTCACCAGTCTCTCCACCTAAAAAGTTTCATGATCAAAAACATATTTTAACGATTTTTTCCAAACTTACGATCTCCGCTCCTGTCGGCTGGTTCCCAGGCGTCGAACTGCCGAGTACCGATTTTAAGCCGCTTCGAAAATACTCCATGTTGTTGTATCTAACTAATTAAACATCATTATTTTATAAAAGAGATGTTGTTGTAAATCTAAATAGGGATCTCTACATCAACAAAATACTTGACGTTTCAATTCGTCATGATGTGTCAGTGTCAAGTGTAAAGTCAAGTGAACTGTCAAAACAAGAAATAATTCTTCCTTTTATTTGTAATAATTAATTAGAAAAACCAATTTGAAAAGGGCAAAAAAGTGAAGCTGAAGTGCACCAACAGATCAAATATTACTCAGAAAATAACTAGATTGAACATAAAAACAAAGAATACAAAAATTGGATCGATGTTTCATGGATGGCTGAATAACTGATATTGTTTCAATTTAAATGACATAAATAGAAGATTTTTGACCTATTGCGATTTGACATTGACATGACATTTCGTAAAATTTGGAAATTTTCACAAAATTAATAAATAAAAGGAATTTTCCAATGAAATTTCTTGCAAAACAATGTAATCAGGTAAAATTGGGTTTAATTGCCATTAGATTAAGTTGTTCGTTTATTATAACATCTCCGTTTTTCAAGAAATGAAATAATACACGAATTATGTGGTCACATCAATATGACGAAAACTTATCAGCCAATCCATTTTTCAAGGAAATTAACGAAAATCACAGTGACATTATCGAAGAATCTGCAATACAAAATTGGGTGATATGCGTCCCTAGAATAGGAACTGTTGAACCTGAAGAAATATCATCGGAAGTCATTTTGGATCACATATTAGTTTGCCCAAAGGAGCTCGGTGAATATCCTTTTTTTACCCTAACTAAGAAAAGAATTTGCGTCGAAAACAAACAGATTATTACAAATTCAGATAACAGCAAAGCGATAACAGATATTCTATTCGAAGAAACATTTTACTACAACAAGAGCTCCAAATTCATTGTATGGTGTATAGACAGACCTCTGTTTTTCAAGCATAAATTCTGCGATTCTCATTCCAGCAAAAACTTAATCATATTGCACGACTGTATCGATTTTTTGTGGTGTGAAAGCCTCAGTCACAATATACTCGACTCGATTAAAAATGTAGTCAGCACGTTCAAAACAAACTATCAGTTAGAAATAGAAAATCTCCAAACGCAGAAGGAGATTATAGGCTGCTTATTTTCCCAATGCTTACAAATATGTTTCAAAAACGACGTTCTAAAAGAAAAATGCAGACTCAACGAGCCGTTTATGGAGAATCTCAAAGTGGCTGTAGAAACGTACATGCAATACTGCCTGGGTAAAAGACTGATGTTCAGCATCAACACGATCAGCCACCACAAAGACGGACACTTGAATAAGATCATAAGGAACTCATCGCACGTTCAATACAAACATTTAGGCATCGACAGCGACTTCGCCGATGTAATTTCATCAGCCAAAAACGAACTGAAGCAAATCAACACCTACTGGACCATATTGGATAAAGTCGAATGTCTCAAAAAAACTTTAAAATGTATTTTAGAATCCGGCAATGTAGTCAAGAATTGCATCACCTCCGACAACGTGCTGCAAATACTAGCCTTTCTGATCCTGAAGCTGAACGTTAACAACTGGTACGCCAATTTAACCTACATAAAAGAATTCAAGCTGAGCACTGAGAATTCCGATCGGATCGAGTACTGCATCGCATCGTTTGAGGCCGCCGTGGAGTTTGTGAGCAGCAGCGAATTTTGGTCCATCAAAACGAACACCCACGAAGAAGTAATCGATTTCTTAGAGAAGAAAATCGAATCGGGTGAAGCTAAGACCTTGTCAGTGGAGAAACAGAGCCTGAAGAACTTGTGCCACCCGTTGTGCTCCTGTTCGAATTGCCGAAGTATTTCTAAATGCGAAATATGGTCGGATTGCTTCGGAGATTTGAACGAATGCTTCCTGATTTGTGCTGCCAACGCGGGCAAATGCGATGTTGTCGAATACTTGCTCAATAGAGGAGTGAATGTCGACTATTCGGATTGTTCGGGTAAAACCGCGCTGCATTACGCCGCTAGTAAAGGCCTGCAAAACGTCGTGTTACTTCTTGTAAACAAAAACTGCAATGTTAACCAGCTCGACAACGAGAAAAATACCCCATTGCATCTGGCGAGTTTAAACGGGCACGAAAATTGCATAAAAGCCCTGATTTACTCGTCGCCCGAGGTGGACATCAACGCCACGAATTCCTTCGGTGATTCCCCGTTGATTTTGGCGACGCGATGGGGCTATTTGGACTTGGTGAAAATTCTATTAGAAAACGGCGCGTCCGTTTCGATTAAAAACAAACGGAATCAAACCGTATTCGACGTCTCGCCTAACTTCTACATCACCAGAACCTGCGAGAAGTACAGCGCCCGCCAGTTGAAAAAAATCGACCGAACGACCGAATCCGATTCCACCTACCCAACGAACGCCGTGGCGCATCTCAAAGACGGCTGCAACTCGCACGGAGTCCGTCCCAAAACCACGGAAGAATTCAAGAAAATCGACCTGCTGCTGAAATCCATCGAAAACAACGACCTCCCTCTAACCTGCTTCTATTTAGGCTACACCAACACGGCGACCGTCGAGCGGGGCAAGTGCCACCCGTTGTGCCTCTGCGACCAGTGCATGATCGCCGACCGCCCGGACGCCGATCGCATCGCCAATCAATCGATCAACGTGAACATGTGCGACGCGAGCGGCCGCACGGCCCTGCACGTGGCCGCGGAATTCGGCCGCACGGACATCCTGCGGCTGCTGCTGGACAACGGGGCGCTGCCCAACGCGAAGACTTTTAGGACGCTCCGCACCCCGTTGCATGTGGCTTGCATGGAGGGGCGCATCCGGACGGTGCGGGAGCTGCTGAAGTGCGGCGATTGCGCGGTGGACGAGCAGGACGCCGACGGTAACACGGCGTTGAGCTACGCTTGCGAGAAGGGCGATGCCAAGATCGCGGAGGTGCTGCTGTGCAACGGGGCCGATTGCAATAGGAAGAATTTGGCGGGCAAGAGCGCGCTGTCGCTGAGCGAGGAGAGCATGCAGTACGGGATTTACAGGTTGCTGAAGAACAACGTTCAGAATATGATGGAGAGGAACGTTCGGGTGTCTTCTGCTGAGGATGATTTCTTTTGATTGGGGTTACGAGATGAGATTGTGGTTGTTTTCCAACCAGTGAATTGGCTAGTCATTGTTTAGTTTTCTAAACATTGTTAATTAGTACCTAATTGAATTGTTTTATTTGTTCGTTCGGTGTTATTCTTGTGCGTTTTTATCAAAGCTTTGTATTATTAAAATTAAGCACATAACTCAGATTTTTGTAGACGTATACATTTTTGCATTTTTCAAATAAAATTGAAATTTTTGTAACAGAAATATCCTACATTTTTTAATTCACACCAACAACACTGTGATTTTTAATCAAATTAGCGCTATTACGCTACATCATTTTACTCATTGTGGCATAATATACTACAATTTTTTATTTTTTTATGCAAAACGATGAGTCGTACGGAAAAAAGTCAAGAAATCAAATTTGTTCTAAATTGAATGATGATTCCGAAAATAATTTTTATTTCAATATTAGGCAGTGGAGTACCATTTTTTCTCCATAAATATTACCGTTATCACAGTTATTACAAAAGATTTTTTTTCTTAAAACTTTAACACCCTGTATCTCAAAAATTAAGATGTTTAGGACATAGGCTCATATGAAGTTGTTTTCTTAAAATGGGCCCAAGAATCACCCTCTTGAATATTAGCATGTCATTTTGGAACACCGTGTACAACTGTAAGAGTTTATTAAAGGTTCCAAGACTACTTACAGAAGAAATTTAAAGAAGCTTTCCTGTAAAATTTAATAAACTCAAATGATCAAGTTATGGCATCTATCCACAGAACTACTGCAGTAAATGGGATCTTACAAAAAATTTAGTGTACCAATTAAAAAAAATTACTTATGAATTTTTATACTACCTACATACCTAGTAGGTACAAATTCATGCACTTGAGTAAAACCTATAGCTTACTATCAAATTTATCATTTCGCAGATGATCTGTGGGCTAATTCGATCGGAGATAAACGAAGTTAAACTATTTTATAATGGGCATTAAATCCTACACCGTAGAACTTAATTAGCAATTTCGAAAACTGTTCGAAGATTGTATTTCAAACTAAATTTAACACCGGCAAAATCGAGTAAATACGATTCGTTTGAATTATCTAATTTACGCGGCGGCTCAAACGCTCCTGGAAAATGTTGGCATAGAAGAGGAAGAGGTGATGACCTCTTCCTGCTTTTCCAGTTTCCATAGGAATAAATTCCTTGTGTTGAATGAGGGAAGCCCACTAGTTTGATTCGCTTAGAGTTGTTAATTTTTCGTTTAATTTTCAAACGGAATATCTCGGGTTTTATTAAACTAGAAGTTGCTCGAACTCGTCTACGTTTCAAAAAGTTTCATTTTTTCCAAGCCTATCAAAATAGTGATAATCGTAATATTGAGATATTTTTAGCGTAAGAAATAAACATTTTATAACAACTATTATTAATTCGAGAATTAATTATTGCAATTATTTACAAATATGTACATACATGTGGTAAATGTCTACATAAACCTGGGAAAACTGTATAAAGGTTTATGCATAGATTAATGTATTATTCGGAATTACCTAATTCCAAATCTAATGACAAATTTATCGAAACCAATAAATTATAGGGTATATTAATTTGAGGAGAACTGTTTATTCAGGATTCTAAATCATTGTTCTAATAAATACATGTTTATCGAATATCTCCAATCCTTAGATAAACACATCGATTTCAATAGAGCAAAAAGCATCATTTTGGAATATTCTGCAAGTGGTAGAAGAAGAAATTCATTTAATAGTTACTTAATACTTCTAAGTCTTCTAACTCTATTTAATTTTAAACTATACATTCCTTGATAATGAAATTTTCTTCTAATTTCATTGTTCTTTGCAAAATATTTAATAAAGAGAACAATAATTTCTAGCTTATTAAATTTGTTCCTCCGTTTTTCCGTTATTAATTGCAGTAATGCAATAAGTACGGAAACAATGTTCTAATAAATTTAGTAGATGTATAAACAATTGAATTTTATTTGGAAAAATAAATAATAGACGCAATTCTCGTTGTTAAGGAAGATTTTTTATTTTATTTCAACATTTATAAACTTTTATGTTCAAGTAAAAATTAAACAAAATGTGATACGTTCACTAATTAAGTTCTTATAAGTAAATATGTGTAAGTAATTATTGATTTTATAGGTATAGTAAAAGAATTTATTCAAAAAATAAGGTAAATGTATAGATGCTCCTTGTAAATAACTCATGTAGCCCGAAATTAATCGTGATGAGATAAATGCAGTTTTGTTAATTCCCGTATTCATCGGAATCAGATATGTCCCTCAAATCTATTTCCTGATAGGGTACGTTATTGTACTGTGGTGCTCTGAAAAAAAGGAAACGGTATTTATTAGTCAATGTTTTCGATTTAGCAATGAAACTTTGGTGGGTATAAAAATGTTATACTTCATAAGATAAGATTGATTTTGCAATGAGAACTATGATATACAAAAATGTTTGTTAAAGTTAATAGAATGAAGCTTTTCATCATGCAGAACTATTTCCCAAATGCCCCTTTATATATAGGATTAAGCCTGGATTAACCCACCTATCTTGTGATGATCTCATCGCTCTTTTCCCGAAACATTCGCCAGCCGACAGGAAGCAACTTCTTCGGCCGAAACGCTGTCCTAGTTGAAGCCAACTAGAAGATTCTCGTTCTGGAAAATTCGTGATTACCTGTTATTTATTTTTATGCACATATGTAGGTATGTATACTGGATAGGATTACAGTAGGTAGAAGTTACTAGTTCGTTGATTAATAACTGCGGCGAAAATTTCAATAATTATATTTTTACTGACCAACTAGTACGTGAATTGATCCAATGATTGGTCCAAGAACTGGATTGAATTCATCTTTAATTCTCCAATAGTTTCATCTTCGAATCTTTAAATATGAGAAGTATTGGCATGTTCTTTAATGGTAACACCTTACCTGATGCCTAGGAACTAAATTATCATCGCAGGTATTTAAGTCTTGATTTGATGATAGCAAATAATTGATGAGCAAATAATTTTAGTGTCCTGCATTACTAATAAATAAATCACTTATATATTTTTATTCAGAAATATTTAATATAAACGATTTTGTAATAAATTCCGAAGCTCTTTATATAAACTTCTTCCTATTAAAAAGTGTGGTTTTTGCAGATCAATAGATATATTTATAGACAATTCACTGGTTTTTTATAGAATTGACAGTAAATAAAGAATTAAAATGTAGGTCCTTTTTTTTTCTCTAACATCCACGCTGTTGATGGTAATTCCAATTTTGTAATTAATATTCAATAACAACTGTGCAACTGTTGAATAAATTTTTATTTAAAGTAAAAATAAAGGAGAGTAAAACAAAGTTTTGAATAATTTAATAAAAATCTAGCATGTTCAATTATCTACAAATAATTTCCGATCAATCAGATGTTATATCAGCTAATGCAGTTTTCCCTTCGTTTTCTTCACACTTCGACCTAATAAATTACCGCCCCCGAGATCTCCAGGCAAGTGCCTACCGACCAAATGACCACCTCCAAGTTCTCCGTACAAACTTCTTCCAATTAATCCACCTCCTGCAATATCTCCGGGAATTTCCCTTCCAACTAAATGACCACCTCCAAGTTCGCCGTATAAACTTCTTCCTATTATATCACCGCCATCGTCTTCTCCAGGTATAGTTCTACCGACCAAATGACCACCTCCAAGCTCCCCGTATAAGCTCCTTCCAATTAATCCACCTCCTGCAATATCTCCGGGAATTTCTCTACCAACTAAATGACCACCTCCAAGCTCTCCATATAAACTTCTTCCGATTAATCCACCTCCTGCAATATCTCCGGGAATTTCTCTTCCAACTAAATGACCTCCTCCAAGCTCTCCGTATAAACTTCTTCCTATTATATCACCCCCATCGTCTTCTCCAGGTATAGTTCTACCGACCAAATGACCACCTCCAAGTTCTCCATATAAACTTCTTCCGATTAATCCACCTCCTGCAATATCTCCGGGAATTTCTCTACCAACTAAATGACCACCTCCGAGCTCTCCGTATAAACTTCTTCCTATTATATCACCCCCATCGTCTTCTCCAGGTATAGTTCTACCGACCAAATGACCACCTCCAAGCTCGCCGTATAGGCTTCTTCCAATTAATCCACCTCCTGCAATATCTCCGGGAATTTCTCTTCCAACTAAATGACCACCTCCAAGCTCTCCATATAAACTTCTTCCTATGATATCACCGCCATCGTCTTCTCCAGGTATAGTCCTGCCGACCAAATGACCACCTCCAAGCTCTCCATATAAACTTCTTCCGATTAATCCACCTCCTGCAATATCTCCGGGAATTTCTCTACCAACTAAATGACCACCTCCGAGCTCTCCGTATAAACTTCTTCCTATGATATCACCCCCATCGTCTTCTCCTGGTAAAGTTCTACCGACCAAATGACCACCTCCAAGCTCTCCATATAAACTTCTTCCGATTAATCCACCTCCTGCAATATCTCCGGGAATTTCCCTTCCAACTAAATGACCTCCCCCAAGCTCTCCATATAAACTTCTCCCTATTATATCACCGCCATCATTTTCTCCGGGTATGTCTCTTCCAAGTAGATTACCGCCTCCGATTTCTCCCAGCATGGCTCTTCTGTGGCCGAATTTCCGGTTTTTAAGGATGTATTGGAGTCTGCATCTTCCAACGCACTTTGTTCCATGAGCTAAAATCGAAGTTTACGTGTGAATAGATTTAATTCATTCGTAATTATTTGCGTATGTACAACTGTTACTTACTTGTAAAAGCACTATTTACAGTAGAATGTGGTGTAAACTGCTTATATGTACAGTGCGTTCTATATACATATTTTTTACAAAAAAATTTAGGAGGGAGAAAATGTTTTATTTTAATTAGTTTTTTTATTGGCTACCAGTTTATAACTAAATTATTAGAAATGATACAAAATCGTGTGAAATCGATGTTGAAGTCTTGATAGCCCTAAAAAGAATTCGATTGCATTCGAAATAAAAATGGATTGAATATTGATTTGAAACCGTTAAAAGAAGCGAAGTTGTATTTTATTTTAAGGGCACTTTTTTTATTTTGCCCTCTGTTAATTAATTAGATTTTTCGCCAGCGTTAATTGCAGAACTCGAATTATCGAGCCGATTTCCATACAATTAAGACTTTACTGAGGGAAACATCGCGGGGACGGAGCTTTCGAGAATTAATCGAGGAATTGATAAATATTTTTTACATATCTCTTTTTAAAATTCTACTTAAACTCTGTTTCTTTTAATTGCAATTAAACCAAACATTAATCGTTTTAATAGTTTTTTTTAATTATTTATATCTATTTTAATTCATATTTTAATTCCCTATAAGCTCTACTAGCCTGTCAGCCAAACTAATTAAAAAAAATCAGTCCTCTCGCAACGTTTCTCCTAATATTTCGACATCATCAGAATGCATTCAAAATTTTTAACATAAAGAAACTACTGGAGGTAATAAAGAACTGGAAAATGGTTTTGTATCAAACTTTTTAAATAAACATGCGATTAAAGAGATCATAATGCCAAGAAGCGGGTTATGGGAAATAATAAAATATACGAGTACTTACCTAAAGCGATAATTTTACATTGTAAAACGGCAATTTCGTTTATTTACAGTGCAGAAATGATTGAGCTTACGCTACAGGTCTTTTATTTTTGTACTAACACACTATTAGATGCACAGTGTGTCTCAATTTAATGCAAAAAAGGAGAATATAACAATAATAAAACTTATTTTATTGTAAACACAATTCAAATAAGCTGATATTAAGTAGATAATAGCTATATTTTAATACCAAATTGAGGCTTTCTGAAGAGTTGCTTTTACTTATAAAAAATTCAGTACTCTTATGGGTACAATAGAAGTGCACGATACCAATTCTATCTGAAAGCTGTAATAGGAGTAGTAAATTTTTATTGGGAGTTTCGAATTTTCTCTCCAATTTATTTTCTAAAAATAAAAGGTAGCAATTTGTCGCATTTGCCTTGAAACAGATCAAATATGGCACAATCAAAAAATTCGGACTGCAAAGGAATATTTTGTACCAAAATAGAAAAAGGTCTGTTATTTCGAATGATAAATTGAGAAAATAATTTCCTTATAAAATGTCATTTCCTACATTTTGTAAAATTTTCGGAATGTCTCTAATGCATATTGTATGAATTAAATGAATGAAATTTATATTTAGTTTTAGATTTTTTTATAATATGATACTTAGATCAGTATAAAAGTAACAAAATAGATACCTAATACGAAAAATATATGTTACTTTTAAATCCTATTAAAGGACTTGGTTAAGTTTGTAGAATAATCAAATATCAACTGTGCCAAAAATTAAAATATTTAAAAAAAATCTAGAGGGGATTTAAAAAGATCTCAGGCAAGTACTCGTTATAAACTCACTTCGAAAAGAAAACAAATTAACCGATTTATCCCAAAACAAACTAAAACTCTCGACTTACTTTTTCGCCTAAACTTGGCTTTCAAATATCTTTTGTTGCCGAAATCAACCCATCATCTTAATTATTAACATTTGTAAATAAATTCTGATCCCTTTGTGGATTAATTATGCAATCATTATGTGACGTTTCCCTCGGATTTTTAATTGCTCTACCGCTCAAAATCTAAAGAGTGCTCGCCATCCAAAGAGACAGCCCTTAATTGTAACTACCTTCTCCTTATGTGGCTGAGTTTTCTCGAAAAGTTTCCTCGAAACTCTTGAATAAATTATCAAAGATACTGCCTGATTTTTACGCAGAAATTTACTGAAAGAAATCTCCTGCTAATCATCAATTGCCTGTGCAAGGTATATTGTAGATAATATTGTAATTTATCCACCATACATTGACATTTTATACTAGCTAAATATCCAAATCTATTTTGAGAAAAGTCTTATTTACACTAAAAATGTACCCTTAGTATTTCTTCAATCGCCTATACAGGGTGTTCCATCTCAGACGAGCCACCCTGTATAGTTCTTATCCCATATATTGATTGAAAAATTTCCCGAAACACGTCGAATGATAAAAACGTCAAAAGATGTCCCCCAAACAAAATCATTCGACGTATTTCGTGAAGTTTTTCAATCACTATGGGATAAGAAATATACGGGATGGCTCGTCTGAGATGGAACGCCCTGTATATTCAGACATTTACGTTTTCATTTTCTAAATATTTGTAAGGATCAAACTTTGCAGAAATCTTCTAACCCGGCTTGTTTGGACTTTGGGAAGGAGTAAAAGGGCCCTTTGATGAAAAATTTAAATACCTACTTTACTAGGATGATTTTTTAAGATAATTCGAGTGAATGGGAAAAAAATGAGTCCCTTTTTGGGGATTTGGGGAGATAAATGAATGAGATTTTTTCTTTCAAAAGTTAGCAATAACTTGCTTTTTACATTGTTAACAGGCGAGCACTTCCATTATTAATGGAAAAAAAATCAAATGTATGAAAATTTGAAATCACTAAAGATATCACTAAAATATTGCAAATAATTATTTCTTTCTTATGAAAGAATACTCAAAAATGTTCCTAAATTATTGTCGAAAAATGTAAAACATTACATAATTAGGAAAAATGTTTGAGTAATTTTTATGTCGAGGAAAATAAAATTTCATCCATTCAATTAATATTTCATCAACAATGTTTTTAGAACAATCCACGACACTATTACAATTACACTAACCAAGCGCAGAATATGTAGTAACAGCGTAAAGTTCGGGAAAGTATTTTCCCTGCGGGAAATTCTCGCCAAGTAGCGCTTCTCTTCATTCCTGTTGATCGTCCGAATTTCCACGTAACAATTTCGAAGTATGTATAAGCGGCAGGAAAAGAACGCTTTTGAAGCTTATTTACAAATTTAATAAACGTTTGAAGCAGTGTTTAGCGCGTTTTGTTTCGACTTATAAAACTTTTGTGCGAATGCTATATTTATTTTGTACAGTGTGATTAAAATTGTGAAATTCCAAAATTTAATCGAAATTAGGAATAATATTGTACAGTGCGTTCACGTTAATCCGGCGATGACGTCACATACTACGTTTTATTTTTTGTTATCTACATAATAAATTTTAGATGAATTTGTGATTAGGTAAACTGTGACTTCATCATCAGATGTGAACAATTTTATTATTATAAAAATAATTTTATGGACTTACTTGGATTTTTTTCGTATCCTTGTCGATAGGAGGAATGCTGAAATCAAATATAAAAATTAATCAAACCTGTTAAAATATAAAGTTATTTTCAAAAAGTGTTACTACTTAGGTTTTCATATTTTTTATTCATGTTCCATGCAGTATAAACCGTTGTTTGAATATCAATATAGGTAAATCTAACGTTTGATGGGAAATGGGCGGCTTAGAAAAAATCGCGAAAATGCAAAAAAATATGTTGGATAAGAATTTTTCGGTTGTGGAAAGCTTGAAAAAGAAAATTCAGCAAGTTTGTGTGCAGGTGTATGTAGGAAAATCGAAGGCACATTAAGGGTCAAAGAGAATTTGCATGCGATTTTCTTGCCTTAAATATGCAAAAAATGTAATGAAAAAAGCGAGGAAGGCAGATGGATATAGTATATCTAGTAGGTAAGTATAATATAAAGAAAATATTATTTTTTATGAAAATCAAGTAAAGGTTTTTTTTCTGTGGGTTGAAAAACTCTATACATATTTTATTATTTAAACTAATGAGTAAAGTAGTAAGATAGGGGTAAGAACATCACTAGTAAGAACTAGTAAGAACACAAAAAAATGAGAATATTAGGTATATATCCAAAATTCTTGGAAAAGTTTAGTAATAAAATATATAGGAAAATTTAAATCCCCTAAAACCGCATTAAATCTACGTTTAAATTCTTTAATTATATCGAAAAAAAATCGTGAAAAAGTTAAAATTATTTATTATTTTAAATTGCACGTAAAATGGTTTAAAAAATTGTTAGTGTGATCAATATTTTTGCAGCACTTAACTAGACTAACTATATTAAATAATAACTCCTTAATAATGAAATTTATTAAGATACTGAACAAAATAAACAAAATGCTTCAAATTGATTCAAAAATCAGAATAATTTCGAAAAAAAAACACGAAGCAACAGTTAAAAAATGACCAAAATGATATCTACAAGAATTAAAAAAAGGCTCAAAAATATTTATCATTAAAATTACTTCAAAAATGAGAATTTCAGAAAAATTAAAAAAATCATGTAGAGACCAAGAAGGTAAAAAATATAAGGATTAAAAAGCTTCAAAAATAAAAAATATATTAATCGAAAATTGTTCGAAAATTGTTCAAAGTCGCCAAAAACATAATAAAATGGACAAAAAAAACATTAATTAATCCAAAAAAATCACCTAATAAATTTTAAACGAAAAGAAAGTTTAAAAAGGAGCAAACAAATTGAAGATATAGCTTCAATTTAGATCAATGAAATTTCTAAATAATTTAATAACAATAATTACGCCCGAATGCCCCATAATATAAAGAATATAAACATAACCCAGAATATCCACTATAAAACTACTAACAAACCATTCATCCCCTATCAAAAAAAATCCCAAAACTCACCTCTTTGGGCGCACACCGGACGACAACCAAAAACAGTGCGACGAAAATCGCGACTAACACGACAGCAGACCGCATCCTTCTATTTTGATAAAATTGATACCAAGCACGAAGGGCAGACCTGGAGACAGCTCGGTTTGTGGCGCTCCGACGCGCTCCCCCGAGCCTTTTATACACCGCGAGCCGTATCCCGGCGAATGGGGGGCTCCGGCACGGCGACGTCACGGTCAACGAAAATATACCCACGCAGGTGTGCCTATTCGCGGCGAATGGGAATCCGAAGTCGGAAAAGTCGCGTGTCCTCTTCGGGCTCGAATAGAGCTCGTTTGCTTTTCTATTTTCCACCACTAGGTAAGGGTGTTAGTTGGGTTTAGATGGCATCGTTTCTTTACACACACAAGCCGGTTAATTTGATATTCTCTATACTTGTTGATGTGCTTGATGATACTAGTAATCTCCCTTATTGCTTTACTCCCTCTTCGCCATTTCCTACATGGTAAGAGGCTATTATTGGGGTATTTTTCTCCATGTTAATAGAACAATTGCTTTCCTTACATGATCCTATTGAGCTGATGAAAGTATACCGGGTAGGGAGTATTTATTAAGATGTAATTAGAGGGCAAGGAAGGCTACAGAAATTATGGAAAATTCAATTAAACTTAATAATTTCGCAATAAAAGTAGGCTAAATTATAGTAAATTTACTGGTAAACCAAAGAGACCAAGGTCTAATATCATCAATGAAGGGAAAAATAAAAAAAATAAATTACATTACATTTCCTTATTAAAAAATATGTAGCATTCAATTTCTGATATTTCTTCTTTATTTATGCCACGAAGAATTTCCTTGACCTGTTTGTCTTTCACATTAGTTGAAAGAAATTGATGAATAACTTTAAAGTTAATGTTCCACTTATCGATTAAATCTTCATGTTAAAAAGCAACATCGAAATCGAAGAGTATCTAAAAAAGAACTTTCAGGAAAAATATGATACGTGAAAAAATCAATCACTTACAAATCTATAGCCAGATGGTTTGGCGTAAAATGGCCACTCCTTTAAAATTTCTTCTACTGAATTAGCTTGTTTAACTAACTGAAGTCTGGCATTGGAGCACCCTTTCCAAACGTTGTCGAATTCCTCGGCAGACAAATTATCGAACTTAAGAGATTTAATACAGGATTCAGCATCTGAACAAAAATTTAAAAATCGGTATTAGAAACACAATTTTATTTCAAATAATTTTAACTTACCTGCTAGCTCTTTACCGTGAATTTCAATTAATTTGTCTACCAGTGGAGCATTATTCTTTCTCTTACTTCCAACGCAATTTATCACTGTTTTTATTGAGTTTGATGCATTTTGGTATTTGGAATACAATTTTCCCCGTTTAGCAGTGCGGTAATATTCCTGAAAAAAATCAAAATTTCGTAACAAGTTCAGTTTAAAGAAGTATGCTACTTACAAGTTTCTCATTAGGAAATCGTTCGATGATCTCTTTCTCGATTTTATGACTTTGTGTGTCTAAATTACTAAATTCAACAGAACAAATAAAACAAATCATAGTAGAATAATAACTTAAGTATAGGTACCCAACAGAAAAATGCCCTATAATAGTAATAAGATAATAACAACCTGTAACGTCTTCAATTTAGAACCAGATTGAACTTGTCACTTTATTCAACCGCGAACTTCGATGCGAAATGCGCTAAACCGGCAAATTAGGCGGCTTAGAGGGTGGGGACAAATAGAAGCTTAAATCAATGAATGGAAATACATTGTTTTAATAACCGTGTTCATACATATATTTGATGAAATAATGAATTATATTCGTTAACTCAATACACAAAATATTCATTAATATAAAGAAAAAAAAACATTAATACTAAGATATTTTTTCATTGTTGTAATGAAATATTGCATTTTTAATTTAATGAACGACCATTCATTGATTTAATGAATCGGTTTTTAATTTATGAAAATAAAGTTATTGAATTAATGAAATAATTCATCGATCCAATGATTTTTTTTAATGTTCAGCATTCATTAATATTATGTACAAAATTTTTTCAGTGTAGGTACTTCAATTAGCTGGTACTTGAGCCATTTTGAAGTTGTGATAATTGAAAAGTGTGAAAAAAACTGTATTATTTGGACACAGTTGAAACATCTATTTTATCTTTTATTCTTCTCCAAGTTTTTATCTACTATTCTAGAAGGTAAAAATTTACAGTGTATAAACCAATATTGGCTTTATGAATTTTTCACATAAATTGAGGTACTAGTGCATTAAAATATTTGATGTCAAACAGTAAAAGCATTTGGCACCCTTTTTAAAATAGTGTCAATCATTGATATTCAACCGGTACTTGGAATATCTGGCTAATAAAACGGATTATTTGATTAAAGGATGGATTTTATGCGCCCAATTCGAAGGAGCTTGCATATTGGGAACGCATAAAAGCGATATATCGAGTCCGAGAGGTTCTATTTCTTTGGGGTAGTATCCTTTTTTTGGTTGCTGTTTACTGATGTACTACGAACATTCGGGTTGAATATATTCTTGAATCTTACCGTTTGATATACCGTTAGACCATAAAAGGTCCGCTACATGAAAATTAGTATTAGTAAGAGTTCATATTTTGCACTTTTTTCATTCTTAAAATTATGGGGTAGGTATATTCTTTATTCTATATTCTTGTTTATATAGCCGCTGTTGCGAATTCTGGTAATAATTAATTTTAGGTTCAGCACATATGTTCATATGAAGTTTTTTTTCTTAAAATGGGTCCAAGAATAACCCCCTTCAGTATTAGAATGTTATTAAAAAATACCCTGTATACAGGGTGTCTCAGAACTCACGCCCAACCGGGAAATGCCTTATGGAAACGACAATGGTGGTGCCCAAACTGCAGCCAAAAACATGAAAAAGTTCTTCCTCAGTATCCTGAACCTTTGCTGTTTATTAAATTCTATTTAGGCATCTACGAGTATATTATTAATTAAAATCATTCATATGCCATACCTACACACTGATTTGTTTATTTATTCTAATTAATATATCGATAAATCTGTTAAGTGTACCAAATAAATCAAGTCTTTGTTTGCTTTGCTATTATAACTTTTTATCTGTTTTTGTTATATCCAGTCCTCGAAAAATATGGTAGCATTAACAAAAGTGCACTTTAGGGCATATGTTTACCTGTTTGGTTTTTCTAAATAGACCAATTTACTGAATCATCCTCATGTTTACCGGGTAATCCAAAATATCTCTCAATACCCCGCAGGTGCCCACGAAATGGTTTTATTACAATTTACAAATTATGCATGAAAGGAAGGCACGACGGATTATAATGTAGTCCAGCATAAGTTGGGCGCGTTTCTTAACTTGACTAAACTATACAGCAAAATCCCCTATTTGCATGGGAAATTAGGCGCCACACTTTAATCAACTAACAAAGAAAATCACGACTACAGAAATTCGAGTGACCCAAAGTAAGACAACCCGAGGGTCGTCAACAATGGCTGATGCTTATTCAAAAACAAAGCGAAATATATTCCCTTTCTGCTGGAATTTAGAAATGTCGCAAATCGGGCCTCGACATTTACCAGTTCAAAAGAAACTATAATAACTACTACGACAATTTTCATACTCAATAGTAATTCAACCAGTAGGTATGTATAATATTTATCTACATAAATATATACCCTAATCTGAGTCTTACATTAAATTAGTGTAAAATAAAGCTCACTGACAAACTGATTCGAGACTGATTCGTTGATTGGAGGCGATAAAAATTATATTTAACTGAATTTTTATAATAAAAAGCTGGCGAAAAATCACTGATTGACTCTGACTGGCTGATTCATTGATTGAAGACGATAAAGAATATATTCAACTGAATTATTATAATAAAAAGTTCCTGATCAAGCACTGATTGACTCTGACTGACTGATTCATTGATTGGAGAAGATAAAGAATATATTCAATTGAATTATATTAATAAAAAGCTCATGACAAAGCACTAATTCATTGATTGGAGATGATAAAGAGTGTATTTATTGGTATGATAAAAAAGGATGATTTCTGTAATAATTATTCTCCAATCGAAAAAATGTGGGTACCTACTAGTATTTTTTTTACATTTTTTCGTATCTTTCTGTATTTCTCACAATTGCTGTGAAGAATGTTCTCGATTAATTAGATATTCAAGACTTAAATCACGTTTCTTAATTATAAAATACTTTTCCGGGAATTAGCTAGCCGTTGAATAAATGCAATACCCATGCTAAGTATAGAATTGATAGTATTCTTAGGACCGAAAACGATATAGCTGGAACGTGCAAGAGTGGATTGGCAATTGCTTAAATTCAGCAATAATCATACCGGGACCATCGGAGTTCATTAATGAAATAAAAGCATTATATAGGAAAGCTTTTACGGCAGATAAGAGCACCTGCGTAAGTATACAATTGGGACGTACTCGTTTCCTATATGTACAATTTTTCGTAGGTAGTATACACCTACGCGTAAGTATTAGCTCAAAAATAAAACTCTATTACAAGTTTTATGGTAGTTATAAAAAGCTTATTTGAATGCGATAAAAGAGAATTCATTATGATTTTGTTTATTATTAGACATCCCTATTACATTCATGTGAAATTGAATATAGGCAGACACTAATTTCGAATATGAGGATTTAATGTGCCATTTTTTTAGTGGTCATGATGGGACACCCTGTAAATTTGAAGTAGGTATCTACTTTTTATCCAAAACGATTACTTAATACAAGAGTGAATTAACTGTTTGAATATCGATGGTTCCAAGTTTCAAGTAGCACAGTTAAGTAATTACGTAGATATTTACAACGTCATTATATTTACGTCAAACACGAGAAAAACACGAAATACATTTAATTTATATGACGTAAAAATATACGTCATGTGACCTGTCAATTAAAAAACGTGACGAAATTATAAATATACGTAGCTCACAGGGAAATGACCTAATTAATACGTCAAATTTACGATAATTTGCTTGGGTTCCAAGTATCCTATGTTCATCTAGAGATACCTACTTAAACTCGAGCTTGCGAAGGGAGCACAGAAAGTCATATATGCTTTATTTATTTTTTTATTTATTTATTTGATATACGGGCTCTCCCCATTTATAGAATATTACAATTTTTCTAATATTATTAATAGCGTTATTTATTCTAAACGTTTTAACCAACTCGAGTAAATACAAGAATTCAATTAGCCACACATGGGAGTTTAAAATGGACCCTTTATTCAAGCAACTGTAGAATCCTATTTTCATTGATATTATTTGATATTATTTATTTAACATTTATTTAAGTTTTTATGCAAAAAAATGATGTACCAAAATAGAAATTCGTTATGCTTATAAATATATTTTCATCCCACTGGAATAATCTCTAATATGGGTAATTACAGTGGCATCTGCAAGCGTATAAATTCTATTTAGGTACATCCTAGTTGAAAGACACATTTCTCCAACGAAAATATTATGAATGCATATAAAGCCTGGCATTTTCTTAGGACTTTATATAAAAGCCCCGAGCAGGTGTCGCAAATCTCGTTTAGATTTGATTGGGATGAATAATTATCTTATCACATATTTAACATGTAACCTCGTTGTTTGTCTGTTCATGATATATATCCATTAGGGTGGAGAAAATTGGATAATAACACGTTCTCGGGCAATGTAAAATTTGATGGAATTCAATTTTTTCTCATTGTCCTCGCTCATCTCCTCTTCTAATTCGTTTATTTTGATGTTGCCGAATTTTTCCTGAAAAATTCGACGCCGACTCGCGATTAAGTCGTTGGTCTTATAAATTTATATAGGTAGGTACTTACACGATTTACACGCTTCAAGAAAATAAATTGGGGGTTTAAAAAACTGCGTAGATTGTGTTCGAGGTTGGGTTAATTTCATTTACATGAAGAACTTGAGGATTCTTCTACGCAGCAAAAACTCACAAATATAAATAAATATAAATGCAAAATTAAATGCAAATATATGCAAATAGGTATGTACAGCGTGTTAATTAATTGTATGACGATACTTCAGGATGTGAATATTTGGATGATTTTAAGAAGATTTTTTATATCAATGTAAGTCCTAAACCTCTTAGTTTGCGAGCTACAGGGTGTTAAAATTTTAGGAAAAAATACTTTTCTATCATAATTTTCTTATTATTATTCTTATTATTATTATTATAAACACCCTAGATATGTTCACCTACTTCAATCATTTTTTTTTAATATTTATTTTATTATTGACAATAAAATTATCTCTTTGTATAACAAATGGCGGAAAAAAACAGTATGAACGTTTCAACCTATCCTTTCCAACTAATCATTTTCAACCTGCTTATCAACCTAAATAAATTGTGAGAAAAAAAGTAAGTCAATATCCACATGACCGATTAATTATTGCCGAGTTAAATCGGAAATAAGAGGAAAATAAACCGATTTGTGTCTAAATGTCACTTCAGCGCGTTTACTCGCCAATTATACAATAATATCTGCATCTGGAGATGTACGAATTTAAAAAGGTATTTTTGTTTAATTAGATGATCAGTTTTATTTTAGTATTTGTGGATTAAAAATACTTTAGTATATAACTTTTGAATAATAGGTACCTACCCAAACAAATAATGTAAACAATTTAAACTTGTTACATAAACTTAATTTACTTATTATTTAAATCTCCATGCACATATTCTATGTATCGTTTGGGTTTAAAATTCTGGTGGTGTTTCCAGAGACTCCACCATAATATAAATCTTATAAAAACTATAATAAATCTGTCCAGATTTTAAATAATAATTCTATATTATATAGAAATGGAGATTTTTACTGTGAAGAAAGTTTCTCCTGATTGACCCAAACCTGAACTTAGTTTCACCTTTCAATAGGCACCTTCAAAATCCATTTTATACAGGGTGTAACTGTACATGAGGTCACTGGAAAAGGTGTATAGGTATTTGGCACTATTTTAAGCCATTTTGAGATAAGGAACTGATGGTCGCTGCCGTCTAATAAGCCAGATACGAGGTGTCAGCGGAAAGTCAGCGGTCATCAGTTCCCTATCTCAAAATGCTTAAAAAAGTGCCAAATACCCACCCATTTTCCAACGACCTTATGTACAGTTACACCCTGTATAGAGTCCTCAATAATATGGGTAATCTAAATTTACCTCACAAGTAATCTTTATTTGTTTTGAAAATATATGTGCTTTTTTCGTATAAAGAAGATAATAATAAATCCTATTACGAAATTTTTACAAGCAGCTTGAGTAGATTCACTACCTTCACAATATCCATACTTCATTAAAAAACAACATTGGAAAGGATATAAGCTGCACTAATCCTCGAAGAGTCGATATGGAGGAAAATATTTCTCTTCTCGTGATAGTTTCGACCGATAAATCTAAGATTGCCATCACTTTTACGGGGTGCTTTTTTCCAAGATGATTGCAGAGAACAAAATAATTGGCCCGTATTCAGCGCCCCTCATATTGTTTAAAGAATCTATCTTTAACTTCCAACAATTTCCATAATTACTCCATAACAACAATGTATATAAAACTGTCATAGGTTAATAAAAAGACTCTTTAAACAATTGATTAGCGTTAAAATAGAGCGCAGAATGCCGGACATTTTTTGTTAAAAATGAATGACAATTTAGATGTTATATGAACGCAGTTTTTTTTTCAAAAAAAAATAATAAACAACATTATAACGGCATCTGCTAAGAAAGTATTTATAGTGTTCTGGTCATATAATTGAAAAGTGATTTAAATCTGCATGCACATCAATATCGATATAAATAGGTATAAGCATGACTTGGGCTTTATTAATAAGCTAAGAAAGGAAAAACGGATCATTCCAACTTCCTATACATTTCTTTGAAGAATCGTTAAAACTTTTTGTGGTTATTTCGAAGCGGAAACTTTCGAATGCCCTTTGGCCGACTTTTATGCAGAAATGGGATTATTATTACCTTTATTTATCTAGTATATAGGTATAGGTACTCATACACCAACTTCTTGCATTTTACATTCCAATTTGGAAATCTTCGTAAGCTGCACACCTCGTAGATAATGTAAAAATAAGGATGTATTGAAGATAGAAGATTGTATTTCTCTTACTCGTGTCACACTTTTTTTTGAATCATATATGTAATAGAGCGTGAATTCTGAATTTTTGAACACCTCTTGTATATTGCACATATCTCGCACTTTAATTACATCAGTCATGATAGAAAAAACATTATTATGTAATTATCGATATTTATTATTTATTTATAAATTTGTACACAAAGATAATTATAGATTTTGTAATGGAACAGTAATTAGAAATGAGAGAAATTCCGCAGAGAAATTTCCAATAAAAAAAACAATTGGTTTTGTCACCTATAAAAAAAGTTAAATACTGGTTGAATATAAAATTGAATTATGTAGTATTTAAAATACGTCATTAAATTATTTAAACATTTGAAGATATGTCAATTTTTAACGCAAAAGAAAAGATACCGTTATTTCAGCATGTTCTTATGTTGATACTCATATGGAAATGTGCAAATTTATTTGCAATATGTTAATTCTATGATCTGAACAAAGATAAATTATTAAAATAACAGTGGTTAGAGTGAGAAAGTTGCAACTGCCAACAATATCACTCTTTCTTTTTCCTTTATTGGAGACTAATGGATGTTATCTTTATTGCACCCATAGACCATATTGCGTACCAATTTGCACTTAACTGTATCCGACTGTATCTTTAAATTATCTATAACTATCTATAACTGTATTTGAATAATTTGAACAATTGCTTTTTTATCCCGAACTGTACGCCTCTATTAAAAAGTATATCAAATAAAGAGAAGAAATAAAATACTCGACTCTTTTGACGTTTGACTTTGACAATTGACACTAACGTCGCTAAACGCTTTTCCTTCCGATCGTCATTATCGTCAACGTCTAAAATTTTATTTTATTTATCAAGCCGCCATTTTGTGTTATTCTATTGACTAATTTAATATTTGGATCGAAAATAGCGTCTTGTCATATTAGTGATTACATTACTAACAAATACATGGTTAGGGGGGTATAATCAAGATGATGACTTCATTTCAACAGCAAAGAATGATGATGAACCAAACCTCGAAAACCGTAAGTACTCGTTTGTCTACAATTTGAAAGATGAGTTGTTTGTATTTGTGATAAATAAATGCGTTGTGTCGTAAAGCCGCCACCGCCGCCGCCTCCGCCGCAGAGTTTACCCGCTCCGCCGTTACTACCTCCACCGGGAATGCCGGGAATAACTCCAATGCTTCCGCCCGGGCTCCCCATGGGCCTCCCGCCTATGCCGCCCATGCCGATGGACTCCATGGACATGGACACGAATTCCTCCGCGCACAACGACTCTTCGATGGACGAGGAGGAGGCCAATCACAAAGCCGAAGCCGAAGAGTTTGAATCCTCCGAGGAGCCCCCTGTGCCCGGCACGGAAGAGGTGGAAATGCAAATCGATCCTGCCAGTAAGTACCTTATGTCGTTCGTCATCGTATTTGAGAGTTTGAATTGTATTCGGGTTAAGATAATTAATGTGAGATGTCTTGCTTGAGATGTTCCAGAATGAGATCGGCCCGGTTAACCTCAGTGGACTCTTGGCATAGCTGTTAGAGACATTACTCAATGTAGCCCTACGCTACACGGTAGGAAAACACCTAAATAAAATATAGTTGTATAAGTATGAGTTCGCTCACGCGCGTATTTAACCATACTTTGCAGTAATCTAAGTAGTAAAATCTTGCAGTAAAATCTAATCACTTGGACGTTGCTTATACAATTTAGATCCCGGAACTAATTAGATGTACTGTTGTGATATGTTTTATTTGAAGAAAAAAACTCATACTTTTACCCGTCATGTGTAATATCCCACGGAAAAATCGCGGTTGTCTAAGACATCTCTATTTTCTTTTTATGTTTCCAGATGCTAATAGGTGCAACATATTGAGATTTTCATTTACTAGAGCCACGTTTTGAGTCACCAGAAGGATAACAACTTGCAGAGCTTCAGAATGTATACCATATACATATTATTTATCATATAATTCAAAATTCGATTTTTTTCGTGTCTTTTAAGTTTTATTTTGTTTCAGAAACAACCATTTTCAATGCAACATAATAACGATCATTTGGTTTCACATTTTATTTTGCAAACTAGGTGAAATTTACGTTATTGGTAAATAATTCAATGTCTTTGAATCAGTTGTAAACTTATTGTGCATTTTATTTACAATAACTTAAGTTTCTCTAATATAAAAGGAACAATTCGTTTGAGATAATGTGGGTCTACTTCCTGATTTCTTTAATGTTTCTAGGATGTGTTGCAGTAAATTTAATTGCAAGTTCTACATACAATGATGATATGTTGGTCTTGGTTTGGGTCTTGAACGTTTCCAAATGATAAAATTATTAGTGTTAATTTTAAAAATGTGTATTTATTAACTTGATAATAATCTAACATTCATAGTAACTTCACGAAGATTAGTGTATTTTAATTGTCGAACACTAATAATTTTAATCTTTATTCAAGTGCTTTTTTTAATGGAAAATGCTCTTATGTCTTCAAAACGATTTTTTTTCTGGTGATTGTTTTAGTTAATATTCCCCCACGTGACTTTGATCAATCTCCTGAAGATTACTCGGCGAGATAAATGCATAAACTGAAATGCTAAGGTAGTTACTCTGAAGAAACAACTTGATACGTTACCGAGTGTTATCTACACAGCTTTGTTAGCCCCAATTCTTATTTTTAGACAGTTGAAAATTTGCTATTTACCATATAAGACTATTAGTTTTAATTTAAACAAAATGAGAATGTTACCTCTCGGTGTAAAGTTTAATATTTTACACATCTTTTAAAAAGAGAAATAATAATTTGAACTATACCCCACTTAAAGTTGTAATAAATTTACATTACTCATTTAGGTGAATTGGCAATTTTTTATTTCTAATGAAAGTTGAATTATTCATAAATTCACAAATGATTCTTATTTTATACCTATTTTTCGACAAATATTTTGTTTTCTTTGACAATTTTAAGAAAATCCGGACATTTTTCTACTATTTTACTTTCGAACTAATCAGAAATTCGAGATCTTCCAGATGGAAATACTCTCATTTTTTTAATAAAACTACCGTCCCAATATCTTAAAACCACTTTATTAATTTTTTATTGTTTGTTTTAGGATTGTGTGAAGGATACGAATATATCTTTGATTTAACTCAAACCGGTGAAGTCATTACAGGTAAGTTACCAATACCATTGAAAATTAAGTAAAATTACTAAAACGATAGGACAGTTCTATTATGCAATATTAAGGGCTATTTTTAAATGGAAAAACATAGGTTCAGTAATTCTTGTAAGATTCAAATTTGGCTTCATCAATTGATTTGAATCTTTTTTATACCTAACTATCAAATTGAGGGCGTGCCATTCACTACATTTAAATGCAGTTTATTTTATGTTTATATTAATTGATTTATTTGTACTATTTAGGTCCGGGAGCCAGAAGCAGTACGATAGCTGGAATTCTCGGAGGCGCCCTACCGAAATTATCATCGGATTATGCGGATGCCGTCAGTAAAGCAAAGAAATACGCCATGGAACAAAGTATTCGTATGGTTCTCATGAAACAGACTATCGCCTATCAACAACAGGTAATCCAAAATTTCATGTATTTGCGATACACTAATTTAACACAAATAGTTTCGGTGTCTAAATTTTGGTAGAAATTTGACTGGATTTTGTTGAGTAGACTATTCAAAATTATTTTTTTTTATGATGCCATAGTAATCATTTCATTGGGCATAATTTTGTTAATTTGTGGAATTATCCGCTTATCCGAATTTATTTATTTGTCTTTAATTTCCTCATACAATTTATTTTTTATGCTAACATATGTCCTCCCTAGGCTTCTTTATTAATTATTCACTATTGTAATTTGAATATTCATGTTATCTTAAAAACGTATTCTATTCTCCCGTTTTAATTATCCAAAACTAATAAGTAATTTAATTATTTCAAGTTTAATTGTTCCACAAATATTAGCTGATAAAATTAGGAATTGAATTAACATTTTGTTGTACGCATGCATAGCTTATGTATTGTGTTTTTAACTTTATTGATAATGGCACTTTTATCGATAAAAAAAACTAACGAAATTTTGCTTCACAGAAAAATAAGACCTTCCAGAGGCATCAAGTATTAGTATTAATGTGCAGGTTAGTGCGTAGCAGTTATCGCACCCGCCCGCCTAGGGGGCGAGAGCTCGCCCCCCGCCCCGTCAGTTGCGCCCCCTTTCACCCCTTTGTACCATACGAATTACGATTAATTATTTTTTTTTTACTAACAATTACATTCGTTGGAACGTGAATTGTGTAATATTTCATTCATTAGTAGTATCGTTTTCGATGAAATGTCGCATAAAATTTAGTTACGAGATGCAATTCAAGTAATTTGTAAATTAACTACTAAAATTTCATATGGACGAAAGGGGAAAAAACGATTGTAAAAAGAGTTATGACATGACTATTGTCCTCTGTTGCAGCAAGAGGCTAGTCAGAGGAATCTTATCCAGAGGCAGCAGGCTCTCGCTCTCATGTGCAGGTTAGCACTTTAAGAAACGTTCGTTCGTGTACTGTGTCGTACATTGTAAACTAATTACGATCTTGTGATATTATTTGCCTATATGCCTAATTATCAATGCATTAGCTGTATGTATTTTGATTTTACAAAGTGCAACACAGTATTATAGATCTATAGGTAAATCAAGAAATATTAAAAAAAATGACATTTTCTTTAATATTTGTTGATTTACAATGCAATAGTCCCATATCCTTATAAAAATGATGATAGCGATTCGAAGAGAAGTTGTCGAGGAATTCGTTTCTCCGACTTGTGACGTTTTAGCTGATAAGATCTGATTTTTATAAGGGGATTTACAGGTTGTTAAGGGTTTCATTGCAAATGTATTATTAACACATCGAAATGTGCGTATATTTTAAACAAAACACACTTATTAGCTTGCCTAAGGAATTCATTTAGCACTTGTTTGGCAAGATCTTTTAATTTACTAGTAGGTAATTACTTAAAATATTTCAGATAAAAACTTAATATCTGTATATTTTGAATTATGTTAATTTTTAACCATCTTTATATGATATAGTTTTTGATTTATTCCTTTATGTTGAAATAATATCTCTTTTGAGTTAAATTGCAACGTAGTTTTGCGTTAATTTACGTATTTATATAAGAACAGTTTAATTTTTTTATTAATTCAATAAGATTTACTATTAAAGGTGCTTATTGTGAAATAATAATGTACTCTTAAAAATTGTTCAAAATAACTTCAAATTAGTCTATTTTTTTTTCTTTGCCATTAATCAGCTTACCAATTTTTGTATTAGCCTTTTTTTAACTTAAAATAGTCTATTATTAATGTGTATATTTGCAGTGGTACACCCTCTAACACCATGTATCGATTGTAAGGAAAATGAAAATGCAGGATGTTTGAAGATTATTTATTATTATCATCGATTTTTATTTTTATTTACATTTATACAAAACCAAAATTATTACATATTTTTTATTATAACGACATTCTGTTGAACGACCTAGACCGCAAAAGTAAAATGTATTTTCTAAAGATACCCTTTAAAGTCGACATAAATTTTGCATATTCTTATTTAAATATCCAAATTAGGTCATGATTTTTTTAAATAAGCTAGGTAATATAATTTTTAAGTGGGCTTTTGTTGTTTAGGACTCCATTAAAATTTTATAACTTACTACTGTATAATTTACTAATTGTGAAATCTGAAGAATTCAAGACAATCCAATGAAAAATGAAATTATTGCAAATTTTTAATTTGAGAAGCACCTTCCTAACGCTTCAATTATCTTAAAACCTCGGCAAGTTATAAAATTTTCTTCCGATTCGCAAACATTCCTTAATCGCACGAAACGCCTGCATTTGTCCTTCTGTATAAAAGCAATCCTATTCCCGGTTTATCTAGGGTCTATGTCGGAAGCATTAGTTTCGAATTAAAGGAAGACACTATCCGTCAGGCGTTTTTGCCTTTCGGTCCCATCAAGTCGATCAATATGTCGTGGGATCCGGTCACCCAGAAGCACAAGGGCTTCGCCTTCGTCGAATACGAAATCCCCGAAGCGGCCCAATTGGCCTTGGAGCAAATGAACGGAGCCATGATCGGCGGACGGAACATCAAAGTCGTCGGCAGGCCCAGCAACATGCCGCAGGCGCAGAACGTCATCGACGAAATCCAAGAGGAAGCGAAACAGTACAATAGGATATATGTAGCTTCCATTCACGCCGACGTCGTCGAATCGGATTTACAAAGGTTCGTTCGTCTACGTTTGTTAGTGATATTTTGTTTGATATCGGTGTTTTTTTTTAGCGTGTTTGAAGCGTTCGGGCCGATAATCTACTGCAAATTGGCTCAAGGAAGTTCGGGGCACAAACACAAAGGGTACGGATTTATCGAGTACGAAACGGCTCAAGCTGCGAACGAAGCCATCGCTAGTATGAATCTGTTCGATTTGGGCGGCCAGTACCTGAGAGTCGGCAGGGCTATTACGCCTCCTAACGCTTTGCTCGGACCTTCTTCGGGATCTAGCGTTTTACCTACCGCAGCTGCAGGTAAGTCTCCACTCGCAGTATAAAATTCGTGATTTTACCTAATGATTGTTTGGTTACAGTCGCTGCTGCAGCTGCCACTGCAAAAATTCAAGCCATGGACGCTGTGGCCAGCAACGCCGCTGCTCTAGGATTACCTACTCTGACGAAGGCTCCGTCCATTCCGACGGCCGGCGCGGATATAATTGCGCCCGTGGTGGCGATCCCAACGGTTGTGGCGGCGGTGCCGGGCGTCATTCCCGCCGTCATTCCGCCGCCCGGTATAGCGATACCTCAAATAACGCCTAACAATACCATCCAACCTGCCATTGTAACGCCGCAAGTAAGTAATTTAGATTCGATTTTTTTTTAGTAAAGCTTTAAAGTATCATTTAACAAAAGAAAGATTTAAGATACAGTGTCCTTAAGGGCCGATTTCATAATGAATCGTTAAAGTATCGGTATACGCGTAATTGAACTAATTGCTACTTTTAAAAAAATTTAAAAGTCATTATTTGAGCTTGTCTAGAATTGCTTGTGATTATGAGTTACTTTGTTAGAGAAAGAGAGGAATTGTTTGCTTAAAGCAATTGAAAAATTAAAACGTATAAAATGTAAAACTACCCACAAATAAGTAATTTGAAAATATGCTTTGCTCTTCTATATCATGCAAGAGATGCGAAACTGTTTCTTTTTTCAGACGAAAACCTTGGTAAAAGTCTATATCGTCGTATTTTTGAACAGTCCCTTTCATACAGACCTTTGGTCTTCTAATATAAACAAATTCTTCATCAGACGAGCTTGAGCTCGAACTTTCTAAATTCATCTAAACTGGCAGAAATTGTAACTTTGCGGTACAAACTTTGATTCGCATACATATAAATAGAGGTTTTGTTGTGGTTAAAGGAAACTTTAGCGCGTTAATATATAAAAATCGAAACTTTAAAAGCCACTTTAGGCGTAAAGAATCATTTAAATTGTTTACGAAATCAATTACGTCTATTAAATGGTCCACTAAAGTTAAAACATCCTTTGTCCCTTTATGAAATTTATAAAATCAGCCATTATGGCCTTTTTCTAATGCGTTCGATGGTTAACATTAATTTGATTGCAGGTGGTAGTGCCTCCTCCTACGATAGTGACGCCGGCATTGTCGAATATGCGTGAAGAAAGTTCGGTGGACATGAAGAAATTACAGGAAGCGCAACTCAAGCAACAGGAGCAATTGCAAAAGAAACTGTTAGATCAAAGCGAGCCGCAGACCTTGCAACAACAAGAAAATATGTCGATAAAGGGGCAAAACGCCAGGCATTTTGTCATGCAAAAACTTATGAGAAAGGTCGACTCGAGAGTTGTAATTTTAAGGTAGGCTATTATTTATTAGCACGTTTTGTTATTCGTTGGTTTTTGATCGTTGATTATTTTCAGGAATATGGTAGGTCCTGACGATGTAGATGAAATGTTACAGGAGGAAATTCAAGAAGAATGTAGTAAATACGGTTCCGTGGAAAGGGTAATTATTTACAATGAGAAGCAATCTGAAGATGACGATGATGCTAATGTGATAGTAAAGATTTTTGTAGAATTTAAAGAGACATACGGTAAGTTTGAATGAACTTTTTATCTGCCTTATATTTGTCAATTATCAATGATTCAGCTTTTATATCGACCGTATTTTTTTCAGGAGCTGAAAGGGCGAAAGATGCTCTACATGGAAGATATTTCGGCGGGAGATTGGTGCAAGCTGCACTTTATGACCAGACTTTATTTGATCACAGTGACTTCTCTTGTTAAGACTTAGAATAGTAAGTGCAAAGTGATTTTAAAACGTAATTACCATTTCTGGATTAAGTTTCCTAATCAACTAGTGCTTTTTAGACGAACTTTAACGTAATAATTTATTAATTTCTGTACATTTGATATTTTATGTATATTTTCTATCTAATTGTAAATATAAGGATTGCAAATATTTTTAAATGCCATTTTGCGAAGATTGTATACTTCTGCCATACGTTTGGTAATCTCTTTCAGTTATTTCATGAACCATATAAACAACAGTATATTAGTAATTTATAAATTAGTTGTATTTTTTTAAATCAATTAATTCAATAAATTTTTTATTGTATGCAATTTTTGTTGGAAAAATATTTATTTCCTAAAATGTTTTGACTGAATAAATAAATTGGATAAATATAGTTTCTTATAACTTGGATATTGATAATATTCGAAGTTTGCCCACACTCTATGTAAAGCTGGAAATTTTGGGAGAAGACATTTAAATGAAAAAGTACTCAAAAACCTATATCCTAACGTAACATATATTTCAGAAAAATAATTTATTAGAAAATCTGGACTAGATATTATTAAAATTCAACTAATTCAGGGTTTTTTGCCTGGTATAGATTCATAGTCAGGCCTCCTGGGGAACGTTTCAAAACCTTTCGCCAAAGGCGTCATTTTGCCACCTTTTGCGTCCACTTCAATGGCGTTTTTCTTTTTGGATTCCATCAAAGCGAAATTTCTGTTAACTTCCTCGTCGCTAGGGGCCTCCTTCCTTCTACCTCGGAGCCAAGCCTCCCATTCGGCCGGCATTTCTTGCATGAAATCGTCTTTCACGGGCGGTTCGAACCATCGGCTCGCCTTCCTTTTCCCGATCGACGGGTTCGGCGGTATTTCAAAGTATTTATTTCCAAAATAATCCTTACCTATCAGATTCCCCCTGATCTGTCTCGGTTTGAAGGAGTTGATGAAGTTCCTTAAAACTGCTCCCCATACACTTCTAGTTGGTTGAGACATATCTTACTGAAAATAAAAAGAAAATTAGGAATTTGAATTATTACTTGTATTAGAAGTTAATTTTCTATAAGAAATTAATTTAGTTTGCCCCTTACATTTATGTTTACTAACAAGAAACTACAAAAATATAATTTTTTATTTTAATTTTAACATTGCGCATTTGACTTGACAGTGACATATGACATAATACTTGTCTTCTTTTTTGCTGGATAAGAATAGAGAAAATGTTATCTAATATTATGAAATAAAAAAGAAGAAGAAATTAACCCAAGTTTTCAAACCAAAGATTTTGAAATAACATTTTTATATTGATATGGTTGTGATATTTTGTTGTTCAATCTTTTAATAAATTTGTTGGAGGTTCCAATAAAATGTTGTCCACTTATTTAGGAAACAAATCGTTAGTGTTTTACAATTATGTACATCCTCGAAAATTTCTAAATCGTTGGACCTTTAGAAGCATATTTAGAGGGTAAGGAGTTAACACTTTCATTTAACAAAATTTTCTTATTTAAATTATAATTATTACAGCATTGCTACTCAGAACAAAGTCGAAACCCAATCGGTCTCTGCACCAGAAGATGATAAGAAAACTAAGGAAGAAATAAATTTAAAAGCCCTAATTAATGTTTATAATAAAATTGATTTTGGTGAGTACTTATTTACCTTACTATCAAATTATGTTGTACTTAATAAAGCAAATGGCTTTTTTATAAATCATTATTTCTGTTTTAGACAAAATATTAACCATAGAAAGTCCAGCTTTACTTCAAAGATGCCACACATTATTTTACTCTCCTCCCGAAGACAGAATCAATATATGCCAAAATATCTACGAAAATCTTTTAAAAAACGACGAAATGCCCCCGGATACTTATCTTACATATATTCAAATATGCACTGAGAATAGGAAGTTGTTAGATTGTAAAAAACTATTGCAAAGTCTACACTCGGAACCGGACTATAGAATGTTTAGATATTTATTAGAAAACGTCTGCGAATGCGGGGACTTCAGTCAAGCTTTCTTTATCCTAGAAAGCATGAAGCAAAATAATATACCAGTCGATGAAAACATATTCAATAGTTTAGCCCTAGTGCACACCTTAAAAGGGTAATAAATTCATTTATTGCATCTTATAATAATAATTCCATGTAAAATTTCAGAGGATTGGAAGCGGGAGAGAAAGTTTTAGATACAATGAGATCAGCTCGAATTTCGGAAACCGTCAATACATTCATGTCTCTTTTGAAAGGTATCATCAGGAACAAAAATTTCAACGAGTTTGTACAATTCCTGGACAAGTACGAGTTCATTTTGAACGATAATCAACTGCTGGAGGTCTTGAAGGAATTGGGAATAAGCCAGCAAATTGAGTGGCTGCCAAACGTGAGTTTGTAGCATTCAAGTCCACAGATAATAGCTTTGTTTACCGAAACTTTGTTGTAGCTGAAAAGCAAAATGTTTAATCTGATGCCGAGGGAATTCATGATTAACGTGGAGAATATTTGCGTGTATTTGATTCATTCGAAACAGTCCGATTCGGCCGTGAAGTTGTACAGTTATTTTCAACAGCAACCAGATGAGAATTATGGGTTTTTCATATTGGAAGAAATGATGCGTTCTAAACAGGTAAGTTAGTCCTGTTGGGATATTTCCATACCGATTTTATGGTAATTATTTCAGGATATCGACCAAGTGATACAAACAGCGAAAAACTTCTTAGAAAATTTCAACAACAAGCTAGTTTTTCAAAACCTAGCGGAATTTGCGCTGAGGAACAGATTCTTGGATGTATCGTTCGATATATTCAAACATTTACCCGAATTGAGGCCCCATTTTTTCTGGCCACATTTACTAAACGCAGGGAATAGTACAGGAGAAGCAGGCAATTGTGTTTAGTGTTCTTTATTTTCCATATGTAACAAAGCATTTTTACAGGTGTATTTGAAACTGTAACAAAAATCCACGAGCTGGGTGTAAAGTTAGATTCCGATACATTAGAGTATTACATTCTCCCGTTTTGCAATTTAGACGAAATCCAAATTCTTGTCGATAAATTAAAAAACGTGGGTTTCACGGCCAAAGAAGTCTTGACACCTCTACTGATAGTTCTATTAAAAAACGATAAGGAGCATACAGCGAGCAAAGCTTGTAATTATTGAACGCTATTGCAAAATTCTTATCCAGCATTAAATTCTTTAACTTCAGGTGGGCTTTATAACGTTGATGTTTACGGCGAAAAATTATTTCGAAGCATCGGCACGTCGTGGAAAAAAAGACATGATACAGCTGTTGTAAATATTCTTCTAAAAATCTGCGAAAGCGACAAAACTACAGGAAGCGATAAAGTAGGCGATTTTCTTACGACAGTATTGCAGAAATCTTATAAAATGGAAGAATATCAGGCATTTTCTTCGTTGTTGAAGGTGGGATATACGCATATACAGAGCATTAGACATTTTTAAATACTAATTTGTAGGAGCTGATCAAACGAAATATGAAAATAGCAAGTGCAACAGCTGATAATCTGCGAGAAATACTTAATCACAAATTCAAGGATAAAGAATCGAAAGTTTTGACCGATATATTGAATGCTATCGATGAAATAATGGAATTTAAAATGAAAGTGGACTCGGACTATATACCACATCCGGTTAGTAAAGTCTTACTTTCCAGTTTTCCAAAAGGATATTCTTACAGCATAATATAGAGCATACCATACAATAGAAATATTTATTCCCGTTTAAAACCAGATCTCCATTGCTTTCTCTTATGCAACACTTAGTGATTTCGAGTTATCCCAGTCTAGCGGCACATTCAACAAACTTATTACCAATATCTTCCAGCGCAACATGGACTTGGAACAACTGGAAAACCATTTAATACAATTGAAAGAAAAAAACATGCAAACTAGAGGAGTCATCCGTAGGTTGATCGTGTGCCACAGTAACGTGGGCAACTACGAGAGAATCTCCCAATTGAGACAGGAGTTTCTGGAGGCCGGTTACGAGGAGTCCTTAGGCATGAAATCGTCGTTGCTGCACGGCTACGTGAAATGCGGCAACGCCGAATTGGCTCTGGAGGTTTACAGGGACATTAAGGCGTTGGGCGACGAGTTCCGAATAGATGAGTATAAGATCATCGATTTCTGTACGCTTCTGGTGAAAAATGGCGATTTATCGGTAGCAAAGAAACTGTTAGAAGATAACGGCGATGTGTAAGTAAATGCGTTAATTCGTTTTGTTAGATTTTATTGTATTTTTTTTAGGATCCTAACGGATGGTGCAAGTATACTAAGAAACTGCGTGGATTTACTGAATGCTTTCACTGATGAAAATGACCAAGCGGATATGTTAAATTGCTTAGTCAAAAAGGGCTACTGCCAATATAGCAATATAATGCTTGGACCCTTAATTAGAATACATTTAAATAAGTAAGACGTTTATTAACAATCACAATAGTAATTAAATATGGTACATTTCAAAATGATACCTCGTCAAAATAACCAGAAAACAAAATAGCTTAGGAAAAAAAACTTATCACAGTACAAGAATTATCACAAGCAATAAATTTGTCGAGAACATTTAAGATTTTAGGGAAAATCAGTCAGTTTTATCAGACATCAGGATTAAAATTAAACCAATTATGACATTTTAAACTGTCGTTGTAATTTTATGTTTGGAAAGTAAAAAACCGTTAATAGATTAAATAATAAGTGATATTCTCGTAAACCTCATATTGTGTTTACAGCTTTTATATTTTTTCTGGCAAACGTTAATTAATATTTTTGATATTTTTAGCGGCAACTTAGGAAAGGCGACAGATGTTTTTGTATACTTTACGGAAACGTACAGATGCACACCGATGCAATTCGAATTGGTAAAAGAAATAGCTAAATGTCAAAAGGACGAATTGTTGCAAAGGGTGCTTGACAGCTGCTCCAAAATCCACGGCCCCAAAGCGACCCAAGGAACGCTTATAGGAGCACTGTGCGAAAATGGCGAGGAAAAGCTGCTGAGAAAAACTTTGGCTGTAAATATTTTGCATGGGCGTCCGGTTGTATTGGAATTTGACGTGTTTTGTATTCTAGAGCACCACTTTTTTGATAAGCGATGAAATAAACAAGAGATGCGTGAGGTGGATAAAACAAAGAAAAACCGATGCTCTTGTCACTTTGGCCAAAAATGGGCACAAACTTTCCGAAGACGTTATCGACATAAACTTCGTTTATGAGTGTGTACTGAAATCCTTCAGTAAGTTAATGTTTCTAATGAATTTCTCAAAATATTAATTTACTTTCTCTTTTAGTGATGAGTAACGACTGTGAAAGTGCATTAAGATTTTATGAACACTTGAGAGAAAATGAGGTAATACTGAATAAGAAATTAACTAATTTGTTAAAGAAATTGTTTCAGCAAAATAATTATTCTATGCCAATTAGTTTGAAAACATAAAATTACTCTTACAGACAAGTTGTTTTAAATATTGTTTAACCAATCCTTAAATTTTTTCCCAATTTCTTTTTTAGTATAATAGTTGTTACAAATTAAACAATGTTCATTAAGGAGCAGCATTTATTTTAAACTACATAACAAACCCTTTTATATCTAAAAATGGAAATCTTAAATTTTTTTTCATACTAATCAAACTGCTTTGACATGAACTGCCGAATGAGCCCTTAAAGATTCAATTCGTTTATAAGGTTTTTCACAAATATAACAATGAAATTTCTTTGTATCGGCATTTACGTGACACAATAAATGTTTTCTTAGAGTCCATTTGAGAAGAAATTTTTTTTGACAAATATCACACTTATGCTTTTTTGTTCCACCATGAATATCTAAATGCACTTTTAAATGCCATTTTTCTTTAAATAATTTTTGACAAATTTTACACTGGAATCTCCTTTCTTCCGTGTACGGTCTACGGCGCTTCCCCATGTGAACCAATAAATGTCTTGTTAGATAAGATTTCAGAACAAATGATTTTTCACAAATATCACATGTGTACTTTTTTTCACCATTGTGAATAATTAAATGGGTTTTTAAGGCATGTTTTAGTCTAAATGATTTTCGGCAAATATTACATTTAAATTTTTTTTCTGTTTGATGAGTCGATCTATGGTTTTTTAAACCAGAATACTGCTTAAATGACAATTGACAAATATTACATTTGTATTTATTTTCCTCACTGTGAACGTCCAAGTGCTCTTTTAAGCTACGTTTTAGTTTAAATGTTTTTTGGCAAATATTACACTTGTTGTTGTTTTCATCAGAATGAGTCGACATGTGATACTTGAAATAATGTGGTCTGAATGATTTTTGGCAAATATTACAACGAATTTTAAATGTTTTGTGAAACATCAAATGATTTCGTATAGCAGAACGCGAAATAAATGATTTTTGGCAAATGTGGCATTGATAATTTTTTAAGCCAGAATGAGAATGACGAAATAAATGCTCCTTCAAACTACCGTTTTGAATAAATGATTTCGAACAAATATTGCATTGAAGGTTTCTTTCACCTAAATGAATCTTTGTATGAATTTTTAGAGATTGTTCAAAAGTAAATAATTTCGAACAAACGTTGCATTTGTAATGTTTTTCTCTCTTATGAGTCAACTGATGTAATTTTAAATGAACTTTTTGGAAAAACGATTGTTGACAAACGGAGCATTGATGTTTTCGTTCTCGACCAGTATGAATCGATAAATGTCGTTTTAAATTGCTCTGGATGGTAAAGGATTTTTGGCAAATATCACACCGAAATTGTTTTTCGTCATTATGGCTAAATAAATGCCTCCTCAAGCCATTCTTATAAAGAAACGATTTATCGCAAATATTGCAGCGAAATTTTTTTTCTTCATTATGAGTCAATAAATGCACTTTTAATTCCACTTCGTTATTAAACGATTCTTCACATACATTACATTGGTTCATTCTTTTCTTGGTGTGAATTAGTGAATGACGTGTTAAATTATGTTTTAAAGTAAACGTTTTTAGGCAAATCCTGCATTGATTTTTCTTTAGAATTATTTCAATTTTTTCTATTTTGATTGTTAAATGTTTTGATATACAGCCATTCTCGTTAAACGAATCTCGACAAACATTGCACTTGTGATAATTCCTTGGCAAATCGTTGTTCTTAGAAATATTACATTGAATAGACTCGTTACTTTTATCTATTGGTTCTTCAGAAATTTCAATAGTTTGAGAGAATTGATTAACTAAATTCAAGTCTTCTTCTTCTTCTTCTTCTCCTCTTAAAAGAACATCAGCTTCAGTAATTGTAACTGTGTTATCTTCACTCGCTTCCAAATGTTGATTGTAACTATCATTTTGATAAAATGATGAATCATCGAGCGTCTCAGTAACTTCTTCTTTAATATCATCTTCAGTTTTCAACATTGGAAAATTTAAAGTTGTATACTTTCTTTCCGTTATAAAGCCCGCTTGAATTATCTTCTTATTCAAACATCTTGTGTTATTGGTAAGACCTGGCGATTCTAGTAGGCTATTCATTTTCATTTTTCATTCAATGATAACTTTAAATTCAGCGTTTATAAAATTCCTTAAAAGGCAATTCGAAGTCAAATTTAAATGAATAAGCAGAAATTTACCGGTAAAAACACCTGTGAATTTACCTTATGTTGTTTCGAAATCCATAATATAATGGTGACTGTGGCAAAATCAATTTCACTCTTGCCTGAGAAAAAATAATTAATTTAGAAAATACAATAGCTTAGTATGAGTATGTACTTACAGTTGGATCGAAAATAACTGGGTTTATCGTATAAACATGAAGTTGAAGTATACAGACGATTTCATTTTCATTGACAATCGTTTAAAAAATGATGCGAAAAATCGGCGCTTTTGATTTATGTCAACGCCTAATGTCATTCTTCTTTTTATCGAACTCTTTTCTAAAGAAATTAAGCCAATTGTGGCTTACTGCACAACTGTGCAAACGAGGCTAGACGTTGGACTGGCTGAATACTGACATTTAAGAGGGGCGTTGAGATTTGGTAACCCAATTTCAGTTGGCAGCAATGAAAATGAGCGCGATTTTTCGGTGTACAAATTTCAATTATTGCGAAAGTTTAGTGGGTTTCAGTTAAATGTTTGGTTTCTTTTGTCGTAGGAACGATCTACGCTTTCAAATTTATATCCATTTATAACATTTGTAGACAAGTAATGTGATATACCAATCCAGAAGTTTCCAGACCTTGGTTATGTAAGGCCGTAATTGACATTTGACAGCCATTGAGTTTCTTCTATATTAGCGAATAAAAAAAAGAAGAAGTTTGTAGGTTAGTGATTCTTGTCAAATAAATCAACAATTTTTTGGAAATTAATTTAGGGGGTTTGCACACGATTATAAGCCCGACGGACCCTTTAGCATTTCCTAGGATGCACCACGAGGAGGAGAATTCTGGAAAACTGAAAAGTACATCAATAATTCATCTTCCGCAGGTAACGTAAGTTTGTGTCAATATTTGGATTTTACTATTTACCAGGCAATTATAAAATCATAGGTAGAGAGGTTATAATGATTGTGGGAATATTAAGTAATCAAACGGTTTGTTACAGATTCCTCTTTAAATGATACGAAGTATGTGTTGAATACTACGAAGTTGTCCAGACCTATTGATGGAACGTTGTACATCCCCTGTATAGTAGGCCTAAATAACATTAAAGCTAACGATTACTGTAATGCAGTGTTGCAGGTAAGTCGAGTTAATCGAACGAATTTGGTTATTTCTTAATTTAAATGCGCAAAATTGCAGGCTTTGACTCTTGTTAATCCGCTTCGGAATGACTTCTCGAGAGAAGAAAATTGCAGTAATGTAAAGAGACCTTCACTCTGCTCCTGCAGAGGTTCGGCGAGCTTATGAGGAAATTGTGGAATCCCAGGAACTTCACAGAGCATGTACGAGTATCAAGAAATTCTCTCCAAGCTGTTGTATCGTGGAGTTAAAAGAGGTTTCAGTTCACTCAGCAGGGTTAGCTAGTTTTATAATGCTTAATTATTGTTATAATTGAGTTATTGTTTGTAGGACATCCGATAGATTTTTTTGTCTTTGGTTCCTGATTGCCCTTGATTGAGCATTGGATGGTATTAAGAAAAATGACAGTTCAATAATCTACGGAAATTGAGACGGAATCGCCCCTTTTTGTATCTATCTTGCGATCTACGGCCTTCGCCATTTTGTTTATCGATGAATTTCTGAGAGAATAATATATCATTCCTCAGGTATGCATTTCAAAGCGTTATATTATAATTTGGAGTGTATGTAATAATTTGTGATTTGTAGGTGAATTTGTATCGACTCTTAACGAAATTCAACGGGCAAACCGAGATGGAATACAAAACCATAAAAGGAAAATTTCATGAAGAAGTGCGAAATAAGTGTAAGAATTGAGATCGACACAATGATTTTACTCCTGTAACATTTTTGTATATTAATATTTCGTCTCTATTTTGTTGCAATTAACGGTAGTGAGTTTATTGTAAGAAAATAAAAATATCGTTGAAAGTGTTTTGTTTTATATATTTTGAAATCGCCAATTCCAACCAGTTTTCATGTAATTAGCAATTAAAAAATGCAGCAGTTTTGTTAATTTTTCAAAAATTTTATTGTATAATCCATTTTTTATAAAAAATCGTTCATACTTAATCATTTCTAATGCATTTCTGGTATCTTAGAGGTATATAATAGATAAATAGGTTGCCTACCTAATAGTATCCGTAAATCGATTTTCGATCAATAAATGTAATTCTGGTTGTCTAACTATTGTATTAGTGAGGCGCGAGTAATAAGTATCAGGAGTAAACCTCTTCACACATTCTGTTCTCCTACTACGAAATTTCAAATTCGCAAATTTTTAACGAGAAATTTTCGAACGATATACAAAACTATTCTTCCGATTTTTACAAATTGCGTTGAAAAAGGTTGCGTTTTTTTTTCAATAAACTCGACAAAACTTTTAGCATTCGACTTTCTTTCTCATCATTTCTACTATAAAACAATAATAATGCCCAAAATGATAAATTTCATCCAGGACTTTCCGTAGAAGTACCTCTCTCCATATAATAAATATATCCTGTTACTAGACTTCCTTGCATATTCTCCTTGCCTAATATCCGAAATTAATCAATGGAGATCTACGAAAACTTGTGCTCAAATCTCGAAATAAAACGTGAATTTGAAATTTCGTATTAGGAGAACAGAATGTGCGAGGAGGTTTACTTATGACGCTTATTAATCACGCTCCTGTTCGATTACAAATACGTACAAAGGCAACCATTTAATCAAATTTCGGTAATTCTGGTTGCCTATCTATTGTATTAGTAAAGCGCGAGTAATACGTATCAGGAGTTAACCTCTTCATACATTCTGCTCTCCTAATACGAAATTTCAAATTCACGTTTTATTTCGAGATTTGAGCACAAGTTTTCGTCGATCTTCATTGATAAATTTCGGATATTAGGCAATAAGAATATCCAAGGAAGTTCAATATCGGGAGATATTTAGTATATCGAGAGATATACGTCTAGGGAAGATCCTGGATGAATCCTGATGCGTTAACAAATATTCCAAATGTTTCGTCGTTCTTGAAAACACATTTTTAAAGATAATTTAACATTTTGGGCATTATTATAATAATTCTTTATTACAAAAATGATACGAAAATAGAATATTAAAAATTTTTTATGACATCCTTAATCCTGATTTTAGAATTCTTAGTATTTTTCGTTCATTAAAAAAAACGCAAAATTTTTTCAACGCAATTTGTAAAAATCTGGAGCTATTAAAGCAAAAAGATCGGGAGAAACAAATATTAGGAGTTCGAGTAGTTTGTGTCAAACGTATGAAAATCTCACGATAAAACGTGAATTTAAGAATTCGTATTAGGAGAGCAGAATGTGTGAAGAGGTTTACTCCTGATACTTATTACTCGCGCTTTACTAATACAATAGATAGGCAACCAGAATTACGGAAATTCGATTAAATGGTTGCCTTTGTATGTATTGCTTCGAGCAGGAGCGCGATTAATAAGCGTCATAAGTAAACCTCCTCGCACATTCTGTTCTCCTAATACGAAATTTTAAATTCACGTTTTAATTCGAGATTTGAGCACAAGTTTTCGTCGATCTCCGTTGATAAATTTCGGATATTAGGCAAGGAGAATATGCTAGGAAGTCCAGTATCGGGAGATATTTATTATATCGAGAGGTACTTCTGGGGAAAGTCCTGGATGAATCCTGATGCATTAATAAAGATTAATAAAGATCATTTTGTAAAGTAAAATGTTAAAAGTTTTGTCGAGTTTATTGACAAAAAAACCGCAAGACTTTTTCAACGCAATTTGTAAACATCGGAAGAAAAATTTTGTCGATCATTCGAAAATTTCACGTTAAATATTTGCGAATTAGAAATTTCGTATTAGGAGAACATCTCCGTGAGGAGGTTTACTCCTGATACTTAATACTCGCGCCTTACTAATACAATAGTTAGACAACCAGAATTACATTTATCGATGGAAAATCGATTTATGGACACCATTAGATAGGCAACCAGTATTTCGGTCATTAAAAACTTATAAATGCTTAATCGTTTTCATTTTTTCAGAAATCTCAAAACGAAATGCCTTTTTATGTAAAATCCTTCAAACGTGTTATTTATTTATTAAAAAAAACAATATTTATATGTAAAAATTTATTTCCTAAATACAATACTGTCTTGTCAGCTTCTACAGCGTCTGGAACAGGCCCCCAATGTTCTAACTATAACCGTAAAGGCGGCCTCGCGTTTGTCGTCAGACGCATTTAGAGCTCAACTATCTCACTTGATCATCCACCATCAGAGACATTAAAGCAGGAAGATATTTCCTCGTCACCTGACTGTCCAATTTCGCTTCTTTGAAATCCTGCGAATCGATCACCACCCGAGCGTTAGCATCCACAACGGCACTATCAATATCGTGTTATCCTTATTTTTGTGAAATAAATGTTTTTAAAAATTATCATTTTTGGAACGGGTTAACATATACCTATGTGTTGGGGGTCGAAAACGATTAGACGGACAATCATAAAGGACTACCTGCTTATGCAAATTTACTGTATTTACAATGCGACAATAACAATACATTTACTTTGAAAATAGTCTCTCAGATCCACTGCACATGTGCCACCTGTTAGTACATTTTCTGAAATTTCACTGGTTAAAAATTTAATTTTGAGACAGCTAACGCCATCTGGTTCAATTAATGAAACTACAAAAAAATACTAGATTCTAGGGGCGATTGGTACGACTGTTGAAGTGCTCAACGCCCCTCTTAATAACAAAGCGACCATAGAGAAAGAAAGATGTATTATATTTTGTCTATGAAAGCGACAGTCGCATACGCCGAAAGAGCAATTTGGCAACACCGGCAATTGAATTTAATTAGAAGCATGGTAAAGATTAAATTTTTATTATTTGTAATATGCACATAAAAATAAAATATACGCTAACTGTACATACTTTTTATGTTCGAACAGGCGGGACAGCGAATTTAGGAAGAATTACTATACCGGCTGTCCTCTTGTTAACAAAAATACGTTTGAATAACACGCTTTTATGTACATTTCTTAATTAAGTAGTACAAATTCTAAATTATAAATAATATGCAATAATTTTATACATCAGACTCTGGTGTCAAAATGATACAGTAAACAGGATATTTCCAACAAAAGTTCTATGGGCAAGCATACTCAAATTTTTGCGGAACTTTTATTGGAACACACCTTGGAATCCATAAAAAATTTAATAAATCGTAAATACTTATTTAATTTCACTAGTATTAGTACAAGTTACAGGATATGCCAGAATATGCGTTAAAAAATTTCTTCACTAATAAACTGTTAAATTCAATTTAAATTAATAAGTGAATTAGTTATTAAAATTAAGAAAAATATATTCAGAAGTTTTTCTCAGTAACTATTCGCTATTTTTACTTTGTTAATGGTTAGTAATTTAAAACCATATATTATGGCACCCTGTATATATGCAAAATTACACCTCTTGTTTGTAAGCTTTTCGTTATTCTTCAGGGCCCCGGATATAATCTTAAACGATTTATAAATTTGACTATATACTCATTGTGAAAGAGCTACATTAGAAAGCGTTACTTAAATTTGCGATCTACAGTTATACAAACTAAAAAAATATTTTCAATAATTTCTTAGAATGCAATTGAATTGAGGAATTCACTTACAATCAATCAGTCTATTTCTGTTAAATGCAAGGAAAAATAAACAGGCAGGTTATCAAATTAACTTCCTTCTACACCGCAAAAAATAATAAAATAAAACCTAATAAAAAATTGAGTTAGTGAGATGGCATTCTTTTTACGTGAATATATTACAGAATTCAAATACCGGATGTTTTAATAGCACAGTACGTTCATAATCCTGTTAAAAATTTTATATATCTCGTCTACTACAACACCCGGTATTTCATCTGTAAAAAATAATGTAAGAAATGAATTAACAATATTAATTAAACTTGATTTCACGAAATATTAGTAATACAAATCGTTCACTCGAGAGTACAATCCAATCACAAAACAAAACCTAATTAACTAGCTTTCGCCTTCGCCTAAAATTATCGGTTAGAATATTCGCTAAAAAAAATATGGTAATATCGGATATTTTAACAACTACCTGTACAATACTCATAATGTTCGAATAAACCCACTTAAAAAAAATTACAAATCGTTTACAATTCTCAGTCCGCATAAAATAATATGTACATTCTTCAACTATACCTCGGAACACGTCTACTTATTTACCAGGCACTTTTTTAATATCCATCCAGTAACCAATATAAGGAAATAACAAAAATAGGAAATTATCCATCGGAGGAGAAGCTGCTCCGCTTCGAACCCGAATTGAAATCCGACAAGTCCGAGGGCAACACCAGCGGAGTAACCGGCCCGTAAATCCTCTCTTGCTCGTCCAGCTGTTGAGCGAAAGCTTCTTCTAATTTCTGAAAAACAGACGTTCCAAACTAAAGCAATTCATCCGCTGTATTGGATTGGTTTAATAAAGAATTGTTTGTTCTATTTAAGACCAATAAAAAGAGAGTAATATGAAGAAAATTTACATGGTGTTTCATAAAGAATGGTCAATATTTTAATCATAGGTTCAGGACCTCCAAATATTCATATTTTACTAAGTAACTCTGGGTCATATGTTATCGAATACTAAAAAACAGGGTGTTGCAGTTAAAATTTATTTTTCAGAACCTATGATTAAAATATTGACCATTCCCTTATGAAACATACTGTATACTTACATACTCTTATGAAACATACTGTAGAACAAACAACAATATTTTTTTACTGTGCTATACGTTAGCTTTTCTTTCACATAGAAATTGTTCCATTAGAAGCAACTCGGGAATTAAAATCCCGAATACTTAAACAGGTAATAATAATAAGTAGATAATAAGGGTAACGTATTGCACGTGTAGTTTTTATAAGTTTATATACAAACCTGCAGGAAGTGATGCAAAGGAGTTGTGAAAATATATATAGAGTATTGCAAAAGAACGAAACAAAAAACAGAAAAGACGAATAACAACACAAAACGAAACACGAAATAGAAGCATAGAGGATGTATTTTACAACAACGAATTCAAATATTTCTTAAAGCACATTGGCGAATCGAAAATTATTGCAATTCAAATTCGAGGCAAAATATTGCTTATACGATTTCAATACTACCACAGGCAGTTAAAAACTTGTTATCAAACAATTTTATAAATTTATTCAAACATACACATCTAGATCTAACTTTCCCCTATAAACCTATAAAACAAGTTCGTCAATTCCTAGACACACCGACAACAAAAAAAAAATTAAAAAAAAAAACAAACAAAAAAAAGAAAGAAGCGAACTGATAACTAAGCGTTGGAATCGTCCTTGGACGAGCCGAAGCCGGGAGGAGTGAAATTTTTCTCGGTGATAATCCCGGTGCTCCAAGTCCTCTGATGGCCCCAACTAGGACGACGGTTCTCGGCCACGTACGGGCTCGACGGCACCGACGAGGCGGTACCGGCAACGTCGCCCGGCTCGAGAGCGGCGACGTTGCCATCGGTCGAAGAAGAGCCCGGCTCTGGGAACGATATTTTAGGAAGGTGACTCAAAAATTTAGCCGATCGAATCTCATTAAATAGCTGCTCCTCGATTTTCTATAAGAACGTGTGCAGTGTTAGTAGGTGGCGTGATATTTACATTATTTTTTACAACGTTTTGTCGTAGGACTGTCAATGAATAACCAATTGAAAAGTCCTAATGTATGTACACATTAATCGGTGAAACGCTTATAGTTGTGTGCAAAATTATTAGTACGACAAATCTCAAAGCGACAGAACGTTAATTTGCGTCGGGTACGTGCGAATTTACCTGTTTCCTCGGCTTCAGTTTGCCCTTCCATTCCTTCAATTCGATGCTGAAAGCCTCCTCTCTCTGCTTTATCTTGAGTTGCTCGTGCTCCAAGAGCATCTTTCTCTTTTCGTTTTGCAGTTGCTCCAATTCCTTGATGGTGGCGTCGCTCATGGCGCGGAGCTCCTCCAGCTGACGCTGGTGCTTCAAATCGAAGCGCTGCTGCTCGGCTTGGTAACGCTTTTTCTCTTTTTCTTGAAACTGAAAAACATATATTTTTTACATACATCATTTAGAACAGTTTAAAACGATTTAGAAAGCTCCGGAATCATTTAGAACAGTCTAAAACGATTCAGGACCCTGTGGAATCGTTTAAAACAGTCTAAAACGATTTAGAACGCTCCGGAATCATTTAGAACAGTCCAAAACGATTTAGAACGCTCCGGAATCATTTAGAACAGTCTAGAACCATTTGGAAAGCTTCAGAATCATTTAGAACTCTCCAGAACAATTTAGAAGGCTTCAGAACCTTTCGAAACCTGTATTTAAGAGTTCTCAGAATAAGCATTGGATGTTTCACTTTTAGGTTACCCGAATTTGCAAGTAATTATTAATGTTATTAAGTTTAATGTATTTTAATTATTTATTGCCAAAATAGTATATTGAAAAATGCAAAATTTTATTCTGCATATTATGCATTTAGAATTTTTTGAGGTAATATGCCTGTATACACTTTAAATAAATAAACTGTTCCTCAAAAGTTAAGGAAGTTCGCAAATTTTGCGATTATTTTAAAAGTCACAGGCTTCTTAATCACCAAATTTTCAAATACGCGAAATTAAATGTTTTCTCTCATATCTGAGTGGATTTTTTGTCACTACCCCTACAACTCATACTAAATTTGGCGATCAAAAAACCTGTAACTTTTAAATTAATCTCAATATTTGTGAACTTCCTTAACTTTTGTGGAGCAATATATTATGAATATTATAAAATATTTACCTCTTTAAATTTGTTCTTTTCCAATTCGGGATCACCGGCGCCCGTTATGGATATCCTCATGGATTCCCTGAACATTAATTCTCTGGCTTTCATTTCCGCTCTGATTCGTTTCGGCAACGATCTCTTTTCGATTTGTTGCTTCTTTAGTAATTCTTCCTCTTTTCTCGCGGCCCTCCGTTTGATTTGTTCCTTTTCCTTTTCGTGTCTCGTTAACATTTGATGCCTCTGCGGAAATCAATCACTCGTTATTTTAACAATCATTTAACAATCATCTCGTGATGAATGGAATGAATCGAATCTGAGTATTTACCTGCAAAATGAATATCTCCTTGATTTGTCTTTTAATCAGCTGATGTTTCTCGTGAATGTGTTTTTCCTCCAACTCCCACAGGGCCGCCTCTCTGGTTCGGGTCAATTGGTGTTTCTGCTGTAGGAATTGCCGTTCCATCAGAGCGATTTTCTCCCTGTGCGAATCGCTCAATCGCCTCAACGACGTCTCGTGATTCTCGTTCAGCTTCTCCAAGAACGATTTTTCGCGCTCCAAATGCTCGGCGTCCATTTTGTCTTTTCTAATTTTGAACTCGTGCTTGCGCCTCTCCTTCGGCAACATGTCCACCTCGTATTTGAGCAGCCGCATCTCGGACTTGAGGCTCTCGCGGAATTGCTTCAGGTCCCGCTCCTGTTCGGCGCGGATCTTCTTGGACGTGGCGCGCAAATCGGCGTCCTGATGGGCCTCGGCCCGGTCGATTTGGAGCCTCTGTTGTCTGCTCAACATCTCCAGATCGTTCTCGTACGTTCTCTCCAAGTTCTGGCGTTCCTGCTCGAACTTCCTGTCCTGCTGTTCGATGGCCACTTGCTCCTTGGTGGCCAAATCTTGGAATTGCTTCTGCTCCTGCTTCTGCAGGTACTTGAGCTCTCGCAACTCCTGCTTTCTGTCCGTATGCGCGTCGCTCAGGTTGTAGTTATCCTCGTCGCCGCAAATCACTTTGCTGGTAGTGGTGGTTATCAAAACGCCGTCGATTACGAACTTCCTGGTGCGTTTTCTGGTCTTGCGACTCGCGTTCGCCAGCAGTTCGATTTTGGATTTCGGATGTTTACGTAGTACCACCGTATTGTCTCCGTTTTCGTCTGCATCTGAAAATAATCGACGTAAACGCGTGTAGGAGTTGTTGTTATAAGGAAATTACCGTTCGTCGATCTCTTATCGTCTTTTTCGACGCTTCCTCTACTCTCTTGACTAGCTAGGGAAATACTCTCGATGTCGGATTGCTCGATGCTCTTACTAGCTCCGGATATAGGTCTTCTATGCGAATCGTTGCTCCTCACGGAGCCGCAGTCGCTGTGGGATCTGAAAAAAATACGACAAATTTCAGTGTCGATTAACGCTTATTTTAAAAGTAGGCAAGTATACAGCGAATAGAGTTACTAGAGCACGACCGTATATTTCTAAGGTCTGGAAACATAGGTCGAAAAAGTGTCCCTTTATTTGAGAATAAAAGAGGGTTCCTAAAACGGCCGCTAGGAGGCGATGTTGTAAAGGACACGATTTTTTGCGTACGAATTATATAGAATTAGCATTAAAAAAGGTTCTATTAAATCAAAAATTATATGCAAAATATAAAAATATACTTAAATCAGCAATGATTTTATTATTAACCTCATGCCTCACGTATCTTCGGTTAATGTTCTCCTCCATTTTCTCATCGAAATGTCAAAAAATAATTTTTGAAGTTTTGACAGCTTGAACTGTCATCTCACAACCGCAGTTATAAATTTCGTAGACAAGTAAAATAATTGAGAAATAAGTTCCGCAAACAATTATTATATTATCTAAGTAATGGCTGCATCTGCGGCAACCTAAATGTTGAATTCAAAAAATATCCTTTACAACATCGTCACCTACCGGTGGTTTTAGGAACTACGCACTTTCGTTTCAAAAAAACGGGACACTTTCTCAACCTCAGTTGCCGGACCTTATTATAATCAATATACGACCGTATACTACGAGTTATTACAATGAAATTACCTGTCTGACATAGCGGACTCGAAGCTTTCGGCGTAGGGCTTGCCGTTCAAAGGCTTCTTGTAAATGTCCTCGCGGCTGTGGGCGTGCGCCACCTGCCCGTTCATCTTCGGCTTCATCTCGTGCGTTTCCACGTTGGAACCGTCCAAGACGATGTGGGTGCCGCGGAACTCGTCGCCGTAGTCGCTCTTCGTGCTGCCCGTCTTGCCGGACGACGTGTTCGACAGATCGCTGGTGGAGCCCCGGTAATCCGTCGATTTGTCGCTCAAATACGACGTGGAATCCTTGACTTGGACCTTTTCCTCGTCGATCCTCACCACCGACACGTGGCTGGTGTCCAACAATCGCGAGTTCTCCTCGGAATTGTCCAAGCCCGAATCGTCGATCACGTAACTCGATTCCGTTATCATCACTTCGCTCTCGTCGAGTTTCTTCGCCTTCGAAGGCTTGTCGCGGAACTCCGACGGAGGCGGATATTCGAGGGAGTCCAGCGACGGGCAGAATTCGTCGTCGGAATCTTCGATGCGCGTCTTGTTGGTCTCGTTCGCCACGATCACCACGCTGCCGCTGTTGCTCGGCGACGACGAGGACGCTCGAGGCGGAAGGGAATTGTCGATTATGACCGGAGGGTGCGTTGTCACTACGGTCACCTGAAAAAAATATACAAATTAGAATGGTATAAGCCAACATTTCGAAAACAAATAGTGCAAGTTTTACATCTGATCTAATCACATGAGGTCTGGAGTGCATTTCATAAATGTGTAGTTGTTCTATCCACTCGAATGAACAGTAGGGAGTGCCTGGATGTGCTGGAAAATTACTTAATACCATTTTTAAACGAACATAACGTTTATTGGATTTTCCAGCAAAATAATGCCCCAGCATCCTTGTTTATCGCAAATCTCTAGTGGTTTCGGGACCAGGAAATTGATTTATTAGTATTAGAATTGACAGAGTATTCTCCCGACATAAATCCCATTGAAAATCTTGGGAAATCCTAGTCCAAAGGATATAGAATTACAAAACTAAGAGATGAATTAGAGGAAGACTGCCAAACATAGGAACCTAAAATAATGCATAAAATGTTGGAAAGGAAGAATTTGAGACCTTCTTGAAATAGTTTGAGTTAAAGGAAGCCTTTCTCATTATTAGAGCTCCATTTTAAACACGTCTTTTAAGCTTACAAGTGTAAATCCCATGGTGTATCGGCATCGCTGTGGAAATGGTGTTTCATGAAGGTGAAAGAATTTAGAAATATCAAAGGCAAAACAAACCTGACTTATATTGGAAGCCAAACTATTCGACGTATCCGGCAAATTGGAATTAATAGTAATGGTCGACGTGTTTTTGGTCCTCTCCGATGGCGCGGCGGACACGACGACGAGATTCAAACTATCATCGGGAGTGGTCGCCGTGGAACTCGTCACGGTTATAAAGTCGCCGGCTTTAACCGAAGCGGACGGCTTCTCCTGCGCCAGTTTCTTGGCGAATTGGTTCTCCAGCGCCCGTTTGATGTCCGACACGCTAACGCAAGCGTCCATCTCGTCCTCCTTTCGCTTGGTAGAAGTCGACGGCGTCGACGGTTCGGCGAGCGCGACGTCTCGAATTCGATCGTCGTCGATCTTTTGGACGGGTTGGGGAACTTGGACGCGCGGCGGACTGGCGTCGGGCGGCGTATCGGGCGGCGTGATGGGCGAGGAGGGCGGCGTCGGAAGCGTCGGTAGGACGAAGGGCGGCAGAGGCGCCGGCGGGGATTTCTCCGTGGGCGTTGTGGCCTTGTCGGAGGAAGTCGAACCGGTCGAGCGTTGGGTTTGCAGCGTATGCGGCGGCGGTGGAGCTTTGCCTTTGTCGCGGGATATTTTCCTTGGACCTTCTTCTTTTTTGTCCACCTGAAATTAGATTGGTTTTTTGAGTAAATGCGAGTTGCAACCGATCAAATGACAATCAATAAACATGTAAACAGACGGAAAAATAATATATTTACTTCATACTTACTTGTTTTTTATCATTTTGCGGTGGTAATACGACAGGAGCCGCTGGCACCGGTTGCGTTCGCTCCTCTTCTGCATTAAGAGTTTTGTCTTTATCCTTCTTTATATCAGATGCTTCAACAGGCGCAGGTAACGTGGGTACAGGAACAGGTTCCGGCACTGAAATGAAAGTAAACTATTATATTCACCTTCAAAATACACACTTTATTCTCTGTCAAGAACTTTCTAATGTGTATGAGTTTTTTTTAGTGAGGAAATACAGGCCGCTAAATTTAATAAATGCTTACCTTTACTATCAACATCGTTGCTTTTTAAAGATGTCGAATCATCTTCGATGTCCAGTGGAACTTGTGATGCTCGGTGGTCCTAAAATCAGAAATTTAACATTTTAAAACCCGGTATAATCATTCGAAAGCTAGAACCTAGCGAAGGGTGAACATTAGGGATGTGCAAATGCTAAAACTAAATGGACGGGGAGAAGACAATTGTCGGAATTACATTAATTTCTACAAACCATTGGGGAATATGTGGGCTTTCGTACTGACAGGGATAATGACATGACGAGTCTTTATTATCCTTAAAATATTCTTACAGTGATACTATTCATTACTCTCAACACATAAAGTAGGTATTTATAGGAAACGCGGATGGCGATTATTCTTTATTCAGCGCGATTTTGCCGATGTAACATAAGAACTTGCAACAACTTGCAAAATATATTCAACTCTCATTACAGCTATACCGATATAATGTTTTGTTGTTAACAGGATCTCTGTATTCTATCGATTAATATGGAAACATTTATTAAATTTTGTCTACTTTTTCCCACTCGTTTCATAGCAAAAGATTTCAAATTCGGCATTTTACAGATTCTCAAAGGAACACATAAGGCGTTCTTTAAGTTCATTAAGGGTTTGGTAAACGACGAATATAAATTCAAAAAGAATAGCTCAATGTTAAAGAAACAAAGCACTACTAGGCCACTAGTTCAAAAATTAATTATAGCATAAAAACTTAGATGGATTCTTAGTACGCTAAATTATAAATTAGCTAATCAATGTTTCGATATCGAAAGCTTTTTAGGCTTAATGTGTTATTGTTTCTTTATCGTATTCCCGCAATTCGACGAAAAGAAGTAGTAATTATGCATATTTTTGTATGATTTGAATTTGCAAAACAATCAACACTATCATTGCATTAGTATGTTTGCTCGATTTTTTAAATTCGTTTTACTTTCTTATTTCGTTTAATCGAATAAAGAAAATATGATTGGAAACGAGATTAAATATAATAGATAACTTGATTGAATTAAAACTGAAAATAGTACTATTTTGTTTCTCACCTCAGCGTTAGAATCAGGTAAAGGGGGACCCGGAGAGCCGCATGCATAAGAAAGAAAAAACAAGCCTTGATAAAAACGACTATTACACAAATATTACGATACTACGAATATCCAAAGGTACTAATAAAGTAAACGAAAAAATTTTTTGGATAATATTTGGTATTAGACTTACCGATCCTCTGATACAGTTCTTTGTGTTTACGATGCTTCTTACCGCGCTAAGCATGAAATATTCAGGAAAAATCGGGTCAGTTTTTACGTTAAGGTTCAACGATTTGTGTTACTTCACACACGTTCGATATTTCAAATAACGACAATCAATACAATAGACAGTTTTAGGAAGGAACGATTTCAATAAGAAATTTCCGGGCTATAGATTTTCAACAATGGATTATAACAATGTTTGTTCGAATCATTCGATCGAAAAGATACGTACAGTATTTTTCATTCGAATGTGAAAAATACGTTTACGTCTAGAAAAATCTATTCGTAGGATTTACGATGGATAAAAACAAACCCGTTTAAATCGGTTTAAATAGATACAGAAGACTCACCTCTGGATCATCATCCGTAAGTTCCTCTTCCACGACTTCTGCTTTGTATTCAAGCAAAAGATCTCGGATGGGTTTCGAATCTAATGTACAGTTAATAAATGGATGTTTCAACAGCTCATCACAGTTGGGCCTTTTTTGAGGATCCTGAAAATGCATAAATATGTAAACAAACTTTACCTAATACGAATAATCAATTGCATCTTAGTGTAACAAAAACAGTCCCATAGAAATTATACCGAGCGACTCATACAAAAATAGGATAAAAAACAAAAATTTGCAAAGTAATTTGTGTTTAATGCAGTAAATGAAAGATCAATGGAAAGAGCCTTTACAAGAACATATAGAGTGTGCCCCACATGGAGTTGATGAAAGGATTGTTATATTTAATTTTACAAAGAAAAGTCATTCCTTAGTCGCTAAAGTAATGAAACATTAAAATGAGTCAAAGAAGAAGTACCACTCTCATCAACTCAATCCAGAGAAACACTGTATTTTAGTCGAGATCAAAGCTGTTGTATTACAAAACGTAGGAGTGTTTAGTTCATAAATTCACCAACCTTAATGAGCGCTATGGTCAGAAAATCGTTGAACTCCTTGGACCATTTGGAGGGCTGCTCCAATTTGGGCGGATCGGACTTTTGGATTTTGAGCAGCACCCTCATGGGGGACATTTCGTGATTGGGCGGCTCCATTTGGGCGAATTCGATCAGCGTGACGCCCATCGACCAGATGTCGACTTTGTAATCGTAGGGATTGTCGCGGAAGGTCTCGCACAACACCACTTCGGGCGCCATCCAGTACGGCGTGCCGATGAACGTGTCGTGCTTCTGGAGGGTGCTTTTGTTCTTCGCGGAAACGCCGAAATCGGCTAAAAATTGAAATTATATAACAGTCCGGATAATACAGGGTGGCCCCAGGGTGGTGGCTCACGCCCCACCGGGAAATGCCTTATGGAAACGACAATGGAGATGCCAAAACTGCAGCCAAAAACATGAAAAAGTTATTCCTTTGATAAATAAAGAGGTTTAAAATCGACCAATTCCAGTAGGAGCTCAAATCCACGAAAATGACGTGAATGAGCTATACACCAATTTGACATTATTGAAAGATTCTATGTCTTTTTCATTTTCAAAGTTAACAAAAGTTGCCAAAATCAGCAGCGACTATTGATCAAGTTTTGCAGTTTTGACATCTCCATTGTCGTTTCCATAAGGCCTTTCCCGGAAAGTCACATTGACACTAGGGAATTTGTTATCATTCGGAAATTACAGATAAATTACTAAATGTGACGACATGGCATGATAACAGCGGACGTCCTATAAGATCACCTCTGAATTAAATTATTTAACAAAGTAAAAGATAAGTGTTTCAAGGTATACCTAAGAATATGAAGTTGATATGTTTATTATGATTAACATATAATATATGGATTAACATTGTGTATTGCGAACCCACAGGAAAGCTGTTTGATTAGATAATAAGGAAATGTGAATATAATATTATATGCAAATTCTTTGCGATTTAAATATTTTTTAAATTATAATAAAAACACAAAGTTAATTGACTTATGAAGTTCATGTTATCAATCAGTGAAGTTCTAGTAATAATCTCTCATTGAATTTAAAATTTATACAAAAATCAAGGGTAAGGATTTGGAATTAGTGTAAATTAGAAGAATTTCTTCAGTTATATAACAAATTGAATGTAAGTAAGCAATAATCATCAACACCCATTCAAAATTTGAATATATCAATTTCGATTCGATAGCAACTTCCACTGAACATTATGATAACTCTTTAATCAATAATACCAAATGAACGATAGATAGGTGAGTATGCAAAATTGAAAGGCCGGAATATATAACGAAAAAAATATTTTTTACAAACGAATTCTACAGTATTTTTTATGGAAAGACGATGTATTTACAAAAATTAATATTTGCGAATTTTTCTCAGGAAAAAAATGACATAACATTCATTATTCATTGTGATTATATTTAAGTAATAAATTCAAAAAGAATTTGACTCATCAGAAAATAATTCAGTCCAACCAAATAACATTGAGAAAAACTATAGGTAAATATTGATAACTAGAGGTTTATTAATTTTTAAAATTTCTTTATTTTGATAAAATGTTGCATAACAAAATATGTATATTCAAACAATAATGGGGCAATAAAATAATTGCTGCTTATTCAAAAGGGAATTAACTAAACATAATGCACATTGATTGTAGTTTTAGAATTTTGAAATGGGGTGAATTAATATTTATAATCAGGGAATGTTATAAAAGTGATCAAACGTTAGTAATTTAGTTATGTTGTGCTAAAATCTACAAATTAATCTGTCAATTTTCCAGATCCAGATATTTTTTTAATCGACATATTTAAATACACGCATCATCGATAAGTATGCAATAATGTCTCGTCGTTAATGAAGTTGAAAAACTCAAACTAATTTCGAGTAATTACGAATGTTTGCTTTAATTGCTTTTTTCAAATTAAAAAAAAGAATGAAATAGAAACTTTTCATTTCGAATTAACGAGCTTCGAATCAAAAAGAAGTTGTTGTTAACCCTGAATGTTTTATAGTAATTTTTAACATTTCGTAATACTTAACTGTTACATTATTAGCATTTTCTTTATGTAATTTCTTATGCAAATGTAAACATTGCAGACAAAATACATAATTTGCTAACGCAAAGGAATTATCACAGTTAATTATTAATGTATACAAAATTTTACAAAGCCTCCATAATATCGATTACCATAAGCTTCAGTTATGCAAATACTATTAGCCATTAAGTTTAGAACTAGATATATAGGTAAAGGCTAGTATTATAAATATTCTGTTAAATAGTTTAGTGAAACAAACATTAACGATAAAGAAACAATAAAGAAGAAAGTACAATGAAAAGAAGGGAAAAAACAAAGAGTATTTGTGGTATATTTTAAAGACACAAAGGAAAATTGATATGATAACGTCATATTGGAAAAATCGGATATTTCTAAAATTAAACTTCATGGTAGAAAAACAACTTAACAGCAATATCTTACTAGTTGCAATAATAATGTGAATATCCAAATAAACATTTCATAAGAAAATCATAGTATTCTTACAACATTGCATGTTATAAATGTATGAAACGTATTGAATGGAAAAACTATTTGTATTCAAATAAAATAAACAAATTTATCGTTTATAATTGAATTTAATTGCCTCCCAATACACCAGTTAACTGTTAAAAACAGTTCTAATATATTAATCGAGCAAAATACAAATATGTTTATACGGAAAACAGTTTTATTTGTGGCCTTGGACGTTAGGAAATACCCTTATTACATGATAAAATATGCTTCTTTGCCCAGTTACATGTACTTCATCAATAATATGATGCTTTAACCAATCATCATTCTATTCCACTAGACTGCAGATGAATGTTTAATGATTCATAATTATTGACGTAGGTTCATGCATCTAGAAGTTTATGTATTTTTATTATACCACTTAATAAATACACATTAAGCAGTAAACCTTGGATATTAAAAGTGATACATGACACATTTAATAGTAGCACTTTGTGCAATTAACAATAGAAATAACGACTTACCTAGTTTAACACCGCCAGCCATCGTGAGCAAAACATTACCAGCCTTAAGATCTCTATGGATAACGTGCGACTTATGAAGAAAATGCAGTCCTTTACACATATTTTGGCACACATAAGCAATTTGATATTCGTTAAGAGGTTTTTCTAATTCAGTCATTATACTGTCCACGGCTCCACCATCACAGTACTCTATCAACAACCACAGTTGTTGCTCCTTTTGGAAGGCCTCGTGCAATTGCACTATATTGGAGTGCTTGATCTCCGATAGTATATCGATCTCGATCATGAAATCGGAGAGGTCATCTTCGCCGTCTAGCCTGCACATTTTGGCCGCAGCCAACTGGCCGGTGTTCTTGTGCTGGGCCTTGTACACTTTTCCGTAGGCCCCGTCGCCCAATTCGCCTATCAGGTCCCAGAACTCCTCGGGATCGCATTCCATGCGAACGTTGCTGAACACTTTTTTCTTTTTTGCATCGTTGCCGCCGAAGTGGAGCACTTTTTTAATGTTGTTGAAAAAAGACATGGTCGCTTTTCGTGTGTTTTATTTTGTCACTAACAGTTTCGAGAGCGATGCTTCTCTCTACATCTACATTATCACAATTGTTGATTTATTTTAATGGATTGCTAATGCTTTGCGAAACGAAAAAAACACCGACTCCTTTCCTTCTAGTTTACATTATCTGAAAAAGATAAAAAGTATTTAAGTTATTCTGATCGACGTTTTGGGTCTCCAAATGCTAGTATTTATCCAAGCAAATGTGCTAAAATTCGTTGATGAGTTGAAACGAATAATATCAAAACACGTAAAGACCATATTTAAAGTAAGTATACATCTCATGACTGTACTGTAGTCTGCAGTGAAAGGAAATGTCAGAGCCACAAGTTTACAACCAACTACCTGTCTCGTTTATTTAAAGCAAACAAAAATGTACCACGTATACTTACAGCATTAAATCTATCACCACTGGTTCGAGTAGGATATTCGGTTATTTATTTATCATCGCGATGTAAACCAAATATATTTTTGTATGATTTGTATATTTTCATTTTCTATGAACGATCGGCCATGCCAGTTTTTACCGTATCCTCGCCCCGTTCCCCGCAAAACATACACGCCTGAGATGACATCACTGTAATCAAAATGGCCTTCTACTTTGCCGGACATACGAAACTTTCTTTGCCATACACCCTGTTGTTGAGTGACAATTATAAATTTAATATTTAAAGAAGGACAATTTATTTTATTATTGATGAATTTAATCTATTAATTATTATTCTTACCTGTAATTCAAAAAAATTAATTGTTGAGAAAGAGAAGATACATGATGTCAAAAATGTCAAAAATGACAAAAAGTGAAACGTAAACAAATAGAAACTTAGGACCTTAGGATAGAATTATTCAATTATTCAATTATAAATCTTCTAAATGGCTGGAATACAAGAAAATGTCATTGAACAAATAAAAAAAGACGGTAAAAGTACTGCATACATTAAAATCGCACAACTTATTTAATTTATTGCTTGCAGATTTTTATGGAAATTTTTTAAGTCCCGAGTCAAAAACTGTGTTAAACGATTCGTTATCAATTAAAGATCAAGTTAAGAAATTAGCCGAAGGAATAGATACCTTAAATCAAGAATTACATAGGCAAATTTCAGAAAAACATGAAGATTTGCTGCAGCAAGCGAATAATGCCACAAATTTGGAAACCGTTCTAAATACCATGAATATACATGTTAGAACATTATTTGCTGATGCGGAAAGACTGAAAGCACAAGTATATTTCATTCATTACTCATTAGAGATATCACAATAACGTGTATTATACTCATCGTAGATTACCATGCCTTACAATGAATTGGAGAAACATACCAAAGTATTAGGTCGATTACACGTAGCTAGCCATATTTTAAGACAAGTTAATAGACTTCAACAACTAAGCAGGAGGTTATCTAATACAAATGATCCTGTACAGAAGGCGACTTTGTTACAAGAGTTAGGTAAACATATATTTTTTCTTGCTCCTTGGACCATTCATTTTTAAAGTATAAAATAACACAACAGTTTCTTCATTTCAAATTCTTCTAGAACAATTAGCAGCAGATCCAGAATTGAAGGAAATAGACGTTGTAACGAGCGAATTGAGGAGTATTAGAACCCACCAACAGAAAGTTGTTCAACTGGCTACGGGATCATTAAATCAAGGCGCTAGAAACGAAAATGTTACACAAACAACAACAGCTTTGCAAGTACTTCATAACATAATATTTACGAGCATTTCAAAAGAAAGATTTGACACGTTGTTTTATAGATATTTATTAATCTGGGCACAATTCAATCAGTTGCTGATAATTTTATCGAAAATAACTTGCACGAGTGTAAAGAAAGTGTAAAACAAGCTTTTGCTGTAAACACGGGCGTTCAAAGCAAGCATAAAAGTGGCCCCGGCCACGTCAGTCTCACTTCTTCCCAAGGATTCAGAAATAAAGTATGGTCCGAAGTCGAAAAAGCCTTTTCCGAAGATATTTACTCAATATGCAAGCAAGTAAGATCCTCGATTAACGCTTAATTACCAATTGAAGCATCGTTAATTTGTGCCAGGTGAAGTTCCTTCAAACTACCTTGAACAATCTCTATTTGCCCAACGGGGATTTCAATGTAGCCGGGAAATTCTGGCTAGGATTCGGAAAGGTTATACGAGAAGAGATCAGCAAGACGTCTTCGGCGGTTCAACAAACTCTAGAGGAAGACTATCCGAAACTGCTGAAATGCTACTTTGAAATGATTGTTAAAGTGAAATATAACGAGGTATTTTCTTTCGAGTAAGTTTGTTATGTTTCTGCAAGTAGCCCAAAAAGTATACCTAACTCATTTCAGTCGAGATGTTTTGAAGACGCTAGAAAATTCGTATCTATCATCGTCTTTGAATAAATTGCTGGAACCCACACAAGCGATGTTCATAGGAGAGAATGGGTTACCGTCCCAAGATCAAATCGATTCGTTAATTAGAATTATAACAAAGTAAGTAACACAAGTATTTTAGAAGTACCTTCTTCATTTTATTATTATTTTTTAGTGAAATAAGTGTGGCTTTAGTGGAAGAAAATTTAAGCGAACAAATCGCAAAAAACATCGCCAAGTGTATAAAAATGTTTGCAGTAAAGATTGAGCAGCAATTGGAAACAGGTCCAGATGCTGCTCAGGTTATAGGTACGTTTTTAGGTGCTCCCTTATTTGTTGAAATCGATTATAACTCGATAAATCATTTGTAGGAGGAACGCCGAACCCGGGCCAACAAAGGAATGTAGGTTTAGCGAATTCTCTCTACTACATGCAGGCGCAAGTACAAAGAATGATGTCCAACATGAAAGAGTCTCTGACGGAGCAGTCTGTGAAAATCATAGAGGATAGCTTGGGCAGTTTGGACAGCTTAGCTGGCGCTATTTTACAACCCTTAATCGGTAAGTAACTCGATTGGTAAAAACGTCGACCATTTTAATAACTTGTGTGGTTTCAGTATCAATAAATTCCGTCATAGAAACTATAATAATAACGATGCACTTGGAGTCGGATTTATCCAAAGCGCAGGCACCGCCGAAGAATTCTCAAACGTGTTCCCTTTACATGAAGGAACTCAATCAATTTATAACGAGAGTGTATCAAACGTACCTAGACGGTTTCAAAAACAAACAAGTATTAACGACCAAGTAAGTTTTACTAATTTAGAATCTCTCTTTGGAGACTTCCATAAACTCCGGCGGAAACTTGACATTCTCTTAACTTTTACTCATTCATTTTTTGGTGGAGTAACTAACAAGCCTAATATTTTGCAGATGCAACGAAATCGCCATAAGGACTATAGAATTGTTCGTCAGGCACGCTTCGCTGCTGCGCCCGTTGGGACAAGGCGGCCGGGGCCGGCTCCAAGCGGACTTCCACCGCCTGGAAAATTCGCTGAAAGTGATCTGCCCGCAGCTGGCCGATCTGGGCAGGCCCTACCGCCTGCTGAAGTCGATGGCCTCGCTGATAGTGCAATCGCCCCCGGACATCGTCGCGGGGCAAACGCCGGAGAGTTCGGTGCCTCACAGCACGGCCCTGTTGATGCTGTTCGCCTACGGCGGGCCGGAGTTGGCCAGCCCGCACCAGAACACCGGCTGGTCGTTGCCGAAAATGTCCGCGTGGCTGGACGAGCACCGGAGCGAGGCCGAGCGTTTGGATTTAATAGCTGGAGCTTTGCAGAAGTACGAAGGTATAGTGAGAGTTAAAAATTCCACTAACTACGATCCGGTGTATCCGGTCATGGCGCAGTATTTAGAGAGGGCTCTTAAAGAAGGCGATTAGATTGTATGAATGGAAGTTTAAGGTGATAATAAAATATGGTAGTATTTAGATAATTTAAAATTTTAATTCTAACAAAATGAAGGAAAACTACAGTAACATGTATTTTTGTATAGAAGGTACTTTTATAAGCTTGTCTGTATTAAATATGAAAATACACTTCTAATGAAATGATAACCGATGTTTACACAATCAAATTTTACGCGTGCAAACATGTAATTATCGTTGTAATATGTCATTTAAATTATTCTATTAAATATTTCAACATATTAATCTCTATGCTATATGCCTCACTGGTTGTCTACTAGTTTAACAATATAAATAGAATATTTATCATATTTAACAACACAATGAATTGATAACATGTGTTTGTATAAGAGAGAAAAACCTTTTTGCCTTTCTCGCGAAGTAAATAAACTAACTTCATAAAAAACAAAAATAATTATCTACCTTAATTAAAATTATCACAGATATCGTTAGGAAAATAAAGTAAAAAGCGTACTGTTAGTATTACGTTATTTCACAACACATGTGAGCCGTTTGCTCCCCGGGCCGCTTATCTGTTAAAAAGAAAAATTTTAACGTCATGAAATTAATTAAAACAAGTATTCTTTCAAGTGTTTACGACAAAACGGCATTACGTATTTACAGCCTTGTTGCTTCGTTGAACAAAAATACGTCAATGATTAGTAATGAATTGTAGATGAGAATAGCGATTTTTGGAAATACCTACAAACTCAAACATTAAATACCACACAATATTAGATGTGCCACTATTGTAATATTAATTCCAAATATGCTAGGATACTATGCATTATTTTACGCACAGAAATTGTTTTAAGTACAGTGCCTTTGATAACTCCATACATGTATGGTAATAAAAACTATACATAAAAGCACATTAAACACATAAAGCTCTTGTTCAGTGCAAACATGAATAAATGTTATTTTTCACAAAGTTTCGTATTCTTGGTTTATTAACTTTCACATTGTACAACTTTGTTGCCTACACATCTATTTGTTGTACTTATTTAAAATATAGTACACATGTATAAACAATGTCATAGAGAATTCTCGAGAATCGTCACGAAAACATACAAACTTGAAGTTTTAAAGAACGCGAAGACGCTATTCTACAACAGTAAGTGCATCAAAATTTCATTTTCGAGAATGCACCAAAGTCTAATGTTTTCAATAAATTTTATGAAAATATATTTTAGCTGATATAGTATAGAAAAAGAGATTAAAAAGTTTTGTCTATTTACTATATGAATATTTTTGTTTTGTTTTGATTTTCTAAGTCTTTTGGTAATCCTCAGTTTGAGAATAATTTGCAACAAAGTCACGAATTTTAACGCTTAATCTCTTTTTCCGCCCGCGCAATTCGCACAAAAACTGTTCCCACTATCAACTACTGCTAAATTGGATACTTTCGATTCAAATAAATTGTTCCCATTGTTGCCAAAAAAATATACATATGTAAATTCTTATAAACTCGCTTCGCCATATTTGAATCGAAACGGACACATCCTTTGGATCCTATTTGACGGACAAATATACACATACACAAACTGTGCATCGTGGGATGTTTCAGAAGTTCACGTTTTCAGTAAATACAGTACAATTCGTTTAAGTGAATGCACTAAAAAAAAATCGAGAACTGACCCTGATATATCCTCTGTCAAACCACCATTTAGTGCTACTATTTAAACGAATTTTACTGTATAGACCGACTGTATTATACTTCTTTGTTATTCTAACAAGCGCGAACTTCTGAGAAGCTCCGCCGTGATTTTTTTTATACTTGGTTTAACCTTCGCTTTCGTCATCTTCGTCTTCGTCCTCCTCCTCTTCTCCTTGCTGGTCTTCGCCGGAGGATTCCTCTTCGCCTAGCAAGTCGTCCGGTTGCTCTTTGGGGCCGAGAGCGGCCTGAACGGCGTCTTCGAACTCCTGGCTCGTCAAAATTTCGTACGAAGTCGTGTAGTTCAAGCTTAATTGCTTGAATATCGGCTTGGATTTCTCCCAGGCCTTTATGTTTTGGTTGATGGACTCGACGAGGCCTTCGGCCAGAGGGAAGATTCGAGCCAAAATCCTGGAAATCGAGAATGAAAACTTGTTTAAAAAAAACTAGGTTGTGTATGTAAATGACTTACTGGAATATGCAAACGCAACAGTCGCTCAAAAATTCGAGTTGATGATCGGGTATCGAGGCTTTCTCTCTGTTCATCATCGCTGCAGGTTCCTTGCCCATTTTCTTCTCCAAATCGCCTTGAGTGAAGAATTCTGCGTATATCAAACGAGCCACGTTTTTCGTTTCCGTCCATTCCTAATCGACACAATTAAAATTAGTAATCAATTCGACAATATTCGAAATAAGAGCCTAATATTTGAATAATATATACTGAATATACTAATAATATATACTGAATAATATGCTAAAATTGAAATCAAAAACTGACATTTATTTAGAGCTTCTTAAATAGCAAACCGTAATTCTAGTAAAACTGGAGTATCATTGAACAAATGTGTGAATATTTGTATTATAAGTGTAAATTGTAGTTTATAACTTACTTTTGTTTGATCAGACAAATCTGCGCACGTCATCAGTAAACTGCATAGGTAGTAACGATGCTCAGCATTTTTCCTGTTATAGCCTTCCTAGATTCCCAAAAAAATTGTAAAATATTAATCAATAAGATAAACGAGATTACAAACTTCACCACTTGAATCAGAAAAAAATTCCAGATTCTTTTAATCAGTGATAATTAATAGTCCAGTGTACTTACCATAGCCATAGTGACCTGCCTAGCGTGGAGTCTATAATGAACTTGCAAATCCGTCGCCAGAATCATATTTTTAATTAAATCCAAACATTTGATGTAATCGCTCCTGTTAAGGCACTCGAGAAGATTGCAACCCTAAAAGCATAAAAAACATTAACCATTAAATTCCCCCATCTTCATTAAACCTACTTCTGTGTTAAGAGTTGCCAGTGTTTGCGAAAGATGATGCCTCTCCATGACCGAACCTTCACTTGAATACAAACCAGCCAGAACGCTGTTCGATTGTTGTTGAAAGGAATTGGTCGTTCCTCTATGGTCGATGTCGTGACACAGGCACGATATTAAATAAGCCAAAACTTCCAATTTTCTAAAGCATAAATCAAGTTATTTTTTAACGCTTTGGCGATATTAAAATGGTCTGATTCACTTAAGTAAAAGCCCTGAATAATGAGTCGTTTTGAGACCCAACACCTCGCTTAATTTAGTGTTTTTAACACAAGTATACTTACGATAAATAACCGAGTTCCACCAATTGAAAGTTCTTAATAGCCAAATATGCGAAATGCATGACGGAAAACGCATGCACCCAATTGTGGTACGGCAAGTCCCTGTACCCTTTCTTCACGTACAACAGGAACCTGGTCAGGATGTCCCTCTTTATTCTGAACTCCTCGAAGAGCTTCAAATTCTCGAACACCTTGATGATGTAACACGGAATCTCGAAATGCAGCACTTTTCTCGGCATGAATTGGAAACTGTCGAAGTCGGTCATGTCGTGGTATTTGTCGCACAAAACGACGTCGGCCACGTCGTTGTCGCTCACCTAAAGCAAAAAAAAAGTCATTTAGGGTATAAACTACTCATTAAAAAATTTACTGGCCCGTATTCAGCGTTCCATTTTAACTTTACAACGACTCTAAAGTCGCGTCTTTAACTTGACAGATTTACATTGTTGTTATGGAGTAACTAGGGACTCGAGACGCGACTTTAGAGTCACTCTAAAGTTAAACAGGGGCGCTGAATACGGGACAACATCTTTAGTATAGTAATATATCTACAGGGATAAGAAATGTGTGGGTAAAATCAGATGACTCATAAAATATGTAAATAAAGTAATTACGTAAATTTTAACAAAATTAGTTTATAAAGTAAATTAACCATAATTTCTGGTCCTATGACACAGTTGAATCGAATATTAGTTTCATGAATAACCCAATAAGTTTATTATTACAACTATTCCACGTCGATTCTCCTACTGATATAATTAACATAATAGTTATATTTGTTATCTACCATTAAATTATTGAATGTATTATTTTAGCGACTATAAATAAACTAATTATGTATTATAGACGGCAATTGCTATTTTCTGTTATTAATGAACTATATTGATATTATATTCAAAATAATTTGTGGTATTTTTGAACGGGGACAAGTAAATATGTATATGGTAAATAAACTCTTTGTGTAGGTGTAAATCCTACAATCCTACAAATTAATAAAAAAATGACTTTGAATCAAGAACAGCTTATCAAAGTGTTGTTCAATTTACAAAGAATATTTAGAACACATTTCCTATCAAATATCTGAATAGTGTGGGGTACATTAGATGATGATTGTAATAAGTAATAACCTCAAGGTGTAACAAAACTACTAATAACTCACCCTCATGTGGTACATCATCAATTCGTTAGACAGTTGACTCCTGGCTTGCGCGTCTTGGATCTTCTTGTACACCAAACTGTGCATTATCGATATGCCGCAATAGATGCTAAACGCATTGGCGACTTGCTCGTCGAAATAATCGAAATGCCCGCCGCCGATTTTGTTGCACAATTGCGCCACCCCGACTATGCCGCCCTCGTCTCTAATAGGAAAGCACAAGATGTTGCGAGTCTTGAAACCGGTCGCTTCGTCCATGCCTTTGTAAAACAACGGGTGCTTGTAGGCGTTTTTTATGTTCAACGTTTTCCCAGTCGCCGCAACGTGACCTAAAATTGTACACAGAGAATGTTAATTCATCTTCTAAATGTAGTGAATAGATGAAGCTCTGTGATCTATTAGATTGCAGGTAGACAAGAGGCTTTGCTGGAATATTCTGATCTGTTGGAGATATACAGGTACAGGTACATCCATAGTAGAGAAGTGTAGGGTAGGTTAGGTTAAACATCACTAATCTAATGTACTCTGCTACTGTACTTTAAGTACAAACAGGTGCAAAATACAAGGTACAAGCAGAGTACAGAGGTGTAGGATATAAAGATTAGGGTAAAAGTCGATACTCTAAATACGAATTACAAGGTGCAAGGTACAAGGTACAAGCAGAGTAGAGATGTATGGTAGATAAGGGTAAAAAATCACTATTCTACTGTACTCAATTCATATACAAGCAATAAGTAGACAGATGAAGCTCTGTGCTCTATTCAATCGCAACTAGGTCTTATTGCTTATAGACCATTAGCAATTAAAGAGGCTTTATTGGAAAATTCTGATCTGTTGGAACCTTGAGGTTCAAGCAGAGCACAGAGGTGTAGGATATAAAGGTTATACTCTAAATACAAGTTACAAGGTAGAAACAGAGTAGAGATGTACGGTAGTTAAGGGTAAAAAATCACTATTCTACTGTACTCAATTCATATACAAGCAATAAGTAGACAGATCTGTGCTCTATTCAATCGCAAATAGGTCTTATTGCTTATAGACCATTAGCAATTAAAGAAGCTTTATTGGAAAATTCTGATCTGTTGGAAGTTTGAGGTTTAAGCAGAGCACAAAGGTGTAGGGTTAAATATTACTTCACACTTCACATACAGTAAACCACACTCAACCAATCAATATTGGTGGAAAATTCTGATCCATTGCAAGCAGGAAGTACAAGCGGATAATATAGGGCTTCTTTCCAACTAGAAATAATTAAGCAAAAAGTCCTACCGGCGATTCCCTGGTCCTTGGCTATCCTCACTTCCGTTTTCTTATCCGTCGGGCTAACTCCATCGAACACTTTGGCCACCAAATGCATGTGATCGGGGTCCAACAGGAACAAGGAGCACCGTTCGGCGTTGGTCAATCGTCTCGCTTCGGACATGATTTCCTTCAATAGATCGTTCAGATCGCCGAGATGGGAGAACAGCTTCCTGGCCACGCTCAACAGGCTTTGGCACTGGTTTTTCAAGCGTTTCTCCTCCTCGCATTGTCTGGTGTTCAACAGCAAGGTCAAGCAGTACCTGAACGTTTCGTGGACCAGTCGTATGATGAACGACGCGTCCCGGTTGGGGTTGACGAAGCACACCAAATACACCGGGGTGACGTAGAGCTTCTTCGGTATATTAGCTACGATTAAAAACTATTGATTAGTACAGTTAATTGAGGCGGCGAAAGTGAGTGCTTACTGCGTCGCTCCTTGGCTAGGATGGGCACCAAGACGAGATCGCCGGACTCGTTCGGTACCACCTTGTCAATTAGGGCCTGTATTTTAGGGTCGAGGTCCTCGGCGCATTTCAACGTCTCGTCCTTGTATTCCACGATGTTGGATATGGTGTCTTCGCCGAGGGAGGTGCGCAAAGGTACGTCCAGTATTTTGTCTTGTACGACTTGGATCATCGCCTCGTCGGAGACGTCGAACAAATTTATGAAGAACACCTTTTCCGCTTCCGCTTCCGATTTGAACTGAAATGTGCATTAAATGGGGATCATTTAAGTGCTAATTAATCGCCGAGAGAGTGAATGAATTAATGAAATAAGGGATGTTATGATCAAAATAGTGCATATAGTGATAGAGAAATTTTAGTTAGACACGCAATACAAATGCGTTGTTATTATTTGCAATTACTTCGTGCAATTAGCTTGGTTGAGTGATTGGTTCGAAATAATTAATCTAAAATTAAAAGCCAGATGTGCTAATTGAGTCTATTATTAGACCTCGTCCAATTTTAATCATTTTCTCCTTAATCCTTTCATTATCCGATTTAATGGTAGCCTTCGTGCCCTACTTTTATCAATACATCTGAATATTTTATTCACTATTATTCTTTATTATGTAATTACCCTTCCATGTCTACACCTTTTACAACTCTAAATACATGCTTGTTTTTCTTTCATAATCCTTTTAAAACTCGATAGTATTAAATAACTTCATAATCCAATTTTCTGTTTAAGTCTTTACTAAGATGATATAAACTATTAGATAAAATTTAATTGCACTTTATCAAGGTAATAGAGGATTCTAAATATTCAACTGCTCTACTAAAGTACATTAAATCTAAATATTTTACAAGAAAACTAGGCTTTTTATCAAAAGATAATTTCTTGAGATATCACAAAGTTTTCTTTATGATACTTGACCAGTGGAGATACATATACTTATAAGGTATAACTAACATGTTATTTTGAGTACACAATTCATGTACAAAAATACATACAGCTGCTATTGCAAGATTGTATACAAGACCATCTTACTTACATAAATGTTAGATTTAGCTTCGAGGTTCTTTGTCCGGATGTCCGTGAGGTTCTCGCAGAGCTGCAGTATTTTGGCGGGGTCGCACATTTCGATCTTGGTCAAAGGGTTGTCCTTAATGTAAGTGAGGTCTTCATCGCCGGGAATGTAATAGGCCTTGCAGTAGAGGGGCGTCTTGTACAAATCGCTGTTTGCCATCGTTGCACTATTCAATTTAAAAAATACTAACCGCGAATTTCAATCACCGAAAATTTAGATATGCCTCTGTGCCTAATTCATTTCATTCCGTGTAACAAGATTAGATAAGTGATGAATTTTATTATTGATAGTGTCATGGTGATACCGTATAATCGTCTGCCAAATGGCTCAGTTTACTTAATCCGCGTATTACGGCTCAATTATGTTGATTAAATCCATTAAAAACTCCCGGGCCGGAGCGCTCCTGCAATCTTCCCGATGAAAAACAACTGTTGATGTTGATAGAAGATGGATTTTTCGAAATATGAATACGCGCAAAACGGGATCTGTTGGAAGCAAAACGGATAAAAATTTTGCTACTGTTTGACTACACGTGCTCACTTTTACACTTATTTTGTTATCTAACTCATTGTTATATACACTTATTGTTTCTAAGTGTTGTTTAATCTTTCGGCGCAATTAATTTTGAACCAAACATAGTTGTTGTTAAACTGAACCATCGATAGTGCGAATTAAGTTGATTAAATTAGATTAGGATCAAGTGGGTTTGTTTTATAACTACTGCTCTAGCAGGTAGCAGGAAATGCAGCAGTAAAAGATAAATTGAAGGTAAATATATTCTACATACTAGTCAAGTGCGAGGCGAATGAGCGGCGTTGCCAAGTCGAACATTGGAAAGTTGCCGAAATGCAACGATAATAAATTTCACAGGATTGATTAGTTTGTTGTGGTTTTCGGCAGTTTGCGAATTTCTTTCAGTGACGTCAGAATGTTACTGAGTACGGTACTTTTTGACTAATTAGACAAATGACATTTGACACTTTCATTGGGACACAAAACACAAGTTTTGATTTAGTCAACCTACTAATAATAACGAAATAAAAAAATTACCATTCTTATTCAGAAAATTTGAAAAACTTTTTCGTATCTAATTCCAATCGACTCTCTCTTTTCATAATTTTTTATGGTATTGTAACGAAGTTTAAAAAAAAAATTTCTGAGATTTAAATGATTAGACTGGAGCTGGCAACGTTGGACGAGAGAAAATGATGACTACTGGACCAATCGCCGGTTTTGTTTGAGCAATCGATTCGAGTTTGCGTGACGAGTTTCGTATAATTAATAGAAAGTAAACAACTCGATGATGTAGTATTCACGACATCTGACATGTTTACTTTATCGTTTTCATCTATGTAAATAGATATAATGATTAATGTGTTAATTAAAAACTTAAAGTCGTTATGCAAGTTATTTTCCAAGGGTAACATGCATATGTACCAATGAATGGTCACTTGACAAAATTTAGCTAATTTAGAAATTTCCCGCCATAATTTTAAACACTAATTAAATGTAAATATATTGTTAAATTTTGAATTAAATGAGGTGCTTCAGTTAAACATTGAATATATTAACAAAAGTTCTCATTTTATCACAATTTTTGTTTTCTCCTATAGAATTATTTTTTTAATATGGTACAAAAATTAATACGCCACTAAAACCTAAACTGTACAATTATTTTTTCACTATTTTAACCGGTAAACCTCTTGTTACACATGCTGCTTTCGTAAGAAAGCTTTTAGAATTATTTTTCGCCTTTATGAGAGCAAGTAATAAGTCTGGTTCCCATATTTTGTCCCGAATTTCCTTGCTGCCTCCGTTTTGGTTCAAGGTATTTTCAGAAAAATCTAAAAATTAAAAAATATCCCCATGTAATATTTAAACTAATCTCTAACTTATAATAACTCCACCAATAATACATGGTGGAATTTATGGAGCATAATGTATTACCGATATTCTTTCCGTTTTTCCATTCTTTTAAATCCAAATATTTCCAATGCACGGCTTCAGGAGAAGGTATGAAATAGCTCATGAAATCTGTACTTAAACAATCCGTGTTTAGATCTGTTACTTCCCAAAGCATTCCTACCGCGCAAGGGCTGCAATGCAAATAATTATAATATTGCCGGGCACTTTTGGAACCACTTGAACAGAAACCTACCAGCCAGCCATAAGATATATATAATAATGACCGTACATGTCCACCAATGGGTCAGTTCGTGTAAGTTTCACGCTGCTGCATCCAAATAATAGTACTACCGCTTTTATGTGAGATTTCTGCAATTTATTCAGAGAAACGTAAAAGGAACCGCTACCGTGACCGTTGTAACTAAAAAATATTTCAACTTTGTTAATTATATAGTGTGCCTAATAAGTGTAATAAATTCAATTTTGTTCAAATGTTATCTATGGGATATACACATAAATGCAAAAATTATAAAAACAGTGGTTAAATGAGAAAGTTGTAATTCCACAATATCTCATTCTTTCTGCTTTACATGGAACTAATGGAAGGTCTTTGTTGCACCTATAGGCCATATTGCGTACAAATTTACACTTATTAGTATACAGGATGTCTCTAAAAGGTTGGCTTAACTGGAGACTTCTGGGACGAAAAAAAGATGAATTAAACTTTAACTTACCTATATCCAAAAGTGCATAGTAGAGAAGTTACATATAGCAAATTTTCACACAATAATAGGTCACTAAACAAAGATGTGTACAAATTTTCATGAAAAAGCCTTCAGTCATTCTGGACCAATATTAAATTTTTTTTTTATTTTTAACCTTAACACCCTATAACTTATTTGCTATACACTTTTGAATATAGGTAAGTTAGGTTAAATAATCTTTTTTTCGTCCCAGAAGTCTGCAGTTAAGCCATGTCCCAAGCTTTTAGAGACACCCTGTATACTAAAAAATAACGATTATCCTGTCCTTCGAAAAAGTAACTATTGGATAATTAAATCAACAATCAATATCAGTTACAGGATATTCTTAAACATCATTTGAATATTATTATTTACAGTTATAAACATGTAATATATTTACGAAAAAATTGAGCTGTTGGTCAAAAAATCGAGAAATTCTTCTTTTTTGGGTTCAACACCAACGACGCCTTTCCACTTGGGTGTCCAATAATTAAAAAACGACATCATTCGGTTTTCCATCTTCTTCAAATCCAAACCAGGATTTACTACGTAACTTCCGTTGTCGTAATTGTTGATAATTCTGTACCCTCCGATTATGTCAGATTCGTGTTCCTTGTACAAACAGTAGAGGAAATGTAAAGATGGAACGCGACTAGTAGGTTGATTTTTCAAAACGGCCAACATTTCCCAAGGAAAAGCGTCTAAGGCCTAGAAATAAGAGAGGATCACTGCGAATATAGGATCATCGAAACTTGGGCACACTCACTTCATGTAATATCAAAATAATTGGGTATCTCATCAATTTGTTTCCCATTAAAAATTTTAAATGCATATCTTTAATCATAATAGATGTACTCCCTATTAGTTCTTTACTGGCCTCTGGCAAACAATACTTGACTAAGCTGTTAATTTCCGTTACTTTCAAGTGCTCGAAATTTTTGATGGCACCAATTAAGATGGTTTCAATTTTACTTGATATGTTTAAAGCGTTTCCTCTAAAAGAAAGCATTTCGAATATGTAAATCGAAAATATAAATGGATTCAATCAAATGTTACTCTTACCGTTGCTTAAAAAAATTCCTCAGTTCAATTTTCATTTTATGCTCCAATTTTTTGTCGCAAAATTTAGCGGCGAATAAACATTTCCATTCTTTCAGCCAACAATCTTGTATGTCGGAAAGTATCCACTTAAAGAAAAATACAGGGTGTCCCACATAAGAAGCGACACAAAGCAGATGAGGCATGTAGGGGAGTCCAAAATATGCTATTTAATCCAACTTAAGTTAATACAAAGTTACATGTTACATGACTGAGAAATTATAAGCCTTCAAAGTGGAGTTACAAATTAAAGAAAAATCTTAATATAATAATCTTAATAATACTCAGTACTAAGAACATTAATGGATAGTTAGAAGAGATCAATTGATGTATTTTAAAGGGTTTATCAGGGATGATGATTCCTTTAAATGTTACAAATTGATTTTACCTCATGGATGATTTAAAAAATTATTAGTTCATTTCATTTCGTATTAAGTTAAAGTTGGGTTAAACAACATAATTTAGGCTCCTCTACATACCCCTGCTCTGTATCAGTCCTTATCCAGGACACCCTAGCTGTACATTACAATTAATCAAATAACTTGATATATCATACCTTCAAGTTATCCTCTGCATGTTTCAATTTCTCGTAATAATTCATTTTTGCCTTTAAATTATCGAACTTTACATTTTTGCTTCCCAAAAGGACTTCTTTATGATTGTTCACGAATAACATTATCTCCTCACTTAATTCAACAGTTCCTATAATACATTACCGCTTGATATGTTGCAAGTGAAAATATATTAAAAATTAGTACCCCCTTTGTGGTTTTTAGGTGGAGGAATCGTGATGAAAAAGGGATTTTCTTCATCGCCGCTATTGAATACTGTAAGGTTTAATGCATTAGTATAATAAGCGTTTCGATTCATGTTGATTTGTTCCAATGGATTGTACTGAGGCGTTAATTGTACGATAGTCCATTCTAAAATAACGATAGAAGTAAAATCTATTAAAAGGTTTGGGTGTTTTTACCTTCAGGCAACTCTTTAACTTGCTGCAGCATTTCTGCAACATTTTTATCTTTGGGATAAGTAGCACATTTAATAGCCAAAGTTTCTTTGCACAACGGTAGATTCGTTTTGTCTTTGGTATCGGCGGCTTCAGCCAGCATTTTTTCATAATTGTGAACAGTCTTGTTCCTTAATCCTGGTGAATGCGTTTCGGTAAGATGGTAAATAATATCGATTTCATCATCATTTAAATGCGTTAATGCGTTACAGCCGTGCATGCCGTGAATCACTAAAATTACAGAATTATAGAAAGGTTTATCGTGTATATAAATATAATAAAAACTTACTTTTATATGAATAACTTGGCATGAGATGGACATTTTCTAACTTCTTAAGTACATCTTTTAGCCCTGTCAAAGCTTCTTCTGGACTTAAATTCATTTTTGAAATATTTTTTCAGGCTTGCCTGAAATTCTGGAAATGAACAGATTGCTTCAGAATGAATTATCGCTTTAAAATAAATAAAAAGCGATAAAAAGCGTTACATGTTACATGTTTTAAATTGAAGTCTAGTGAAAATGACAATTGACATTACAGATATTCTTCTTCTTTTATTTTGTAATATAATTTGTTTTTCTTCTAAAATGATATCAGATCCTCTCCAGATATACTCATCCTAAAGATAAAAAAACCTGTATAAAATCACTTAGCGTGTTTGTTCTAAATTACTTTCTGTGGTTATTTAATATTTTAATAATTCAAAAATGTCCTGAATGTTTTTTTTTGTAATGACAATTAACAGCTGACGTTGACAGTAGTTCAAACGTTCAAACAAAACATTCACATTAATTTTCTAGGTTATGTTGTTTTATTTTATTTTAAACGACCGTGCTGAAACCTTTGAATTGTGATTTGCTGTTATTGATTCCAAAAACCATGTTGAAAAGTATTAATAGGGCGCTTTCTTTGTGCTCAATACATGTTAATAAACCCTACCTTCACAATTACAATCCCGCTGCTTTGCTTAGTACGTTACCTGTGAGAGATAAACATTCAATATTTACACCATTAACATTATCAAAAAGGTTTATCAACAAAAAAGCCTCGAAACAGTTACAGAAACTTCTGGACATTAATATTCACAAGGCAAATTGTATCTTATCGCAGGAATCGGACCTATCAAAAGTGCCCGAAACTCAATTAGAAAAAAATTATATGTGTTGCATTAAGTACGGTTTGAGTAACAAAACGATATCTAATATTCCATATATTTTATCCGATTCATGTTTACCTACAAAACTGGAAGCTTTGAAAAATCTACCTTACGATGTAAATGTAACAACACCTTTACTTTTACTTCCGTTAAAAAAATTTATGGGTTTCCTGAATGATGAATCGAGCGCATCGAAGATCAACGAATTAGCCAAACTTTTTAAGGTGTGTATTTAATATGTTATTTGAATTATGTACCTTTACAAATACCATTATTACATATTTCCACTGGATTCATTAATAACATATTCTATTGGGAAAACTAGCAGATCTTCATTGGCCCTTATAAAATATTAATTAAAAATAAATCAATTAATTTTTAGGTAGAAGTATCTGATGTATGTGTTTGGATATCAACAAAGCAGTTTCTTACATCAATAAGCATAGATATGGTTAAAGAATGTTTACAACTATTGTTAGGTAAATTTTCTCGTTAATTTATCTAAAAAGAATCATCCATAAAGTATTTTTTGTAGATTCAGGTGTGCCCATGGAAGCGGTCATTAAAGACTTGTGGGTTTTAAGATACAGCCCATCTGTAATGCAAGAAAGAATTGACCTGGCTAAGGAGAACAACATAGAGCACATAAAACCCTGGATGATCCGAGCACAAAAGGAAATATTCTATAAGTAAGTCACAAGAAAAATACAACTCAGCTTTAGAAAAAAATCAAACAAAACCATCATATTATACGCTCTAGTTACATCAGAAGAAGATCCGATACAAAGGAAATACTGGGAGAGAAGAGCAATCTAATGGAATATCTCTCTGATAAACTGGAATGTTCACTGGAGGTATCCAAGTACATAATCACGAAACAACCTGCCCTTCAGAAGAAAAGCCTCAAGAAAATGGACGAGATGATCGACTTTTTGTTTTCGCACGGATTCAAACCGATTCAGATTTGCAGGGCGCCCAAAATTCTATTGCACAGCGTCACGACGATCCACAAAAGACTGAGGGAATTGGATGCGAGTAACGTAAAATTGGATTCCCTGCACATTCTGACTAAAAGCCAGAAACAATATACCTCAATTATTGATTCTATGAAAGCGAATAAAATTAAAATTAAAAATTAAACGAATTCGATGGTATGCAAATAAATCAAATTTGTAATACCTACATAATAAGCAATCAAGTAAGTTAGTGAACATTTACATGGCAGAAATTTAAATAATTTTATTTTAACAACTTTGATAAGACCATTAAAAAATCATATAATTTACCTATTAAGTTCTTTCGTTTGTACGTTATTACATTGTGTATTAAAATACACAAATAGAGCTACAGCCGATAATCTTGCTTGTAAATCCTGCTGGCTTAGATCATGCGCCCATTCCACTCTCCCCCATCGACCAGTTTGATATTCTTCCTCTAATCTAGACAACAGAACAGCTTTTTCCGGACTTATAAACCTTTCTATACAGGCCAATGTTAGAATTACAGATTTTAAAGTATCTACTCCATACATGAAACCTGCAAAATGTTTTTAAAAATAACATACACATACTATGTGAAAGGATTATTTATATGTAGGCTCGAAAATAGTAAATATTCACCTGTAACAGCTGGGAAATTGTACGACATTAAATGCTTAGTTACTTGAGCCTTATCTTTCTCGCTAACTGGAGGGATGTCCATTTGCACGGACTTGCTTAAGTGCACATCATATTTTTCGTTAAACCATTCTATAACAGGATCCCATTCCTGAATTTGAAGTTTGAACAAATCTTCCTCCTCCTGCAATATTAATTTCTGTTTGATTTGTTGTAAGGACAATATATGGTACTTACATTAGCTTGAAATAAAATCGTGTCGGTGTCTAAACAATTGGAGATGTAATTAACTATATCATATTTTGTTAAATTGTTGGGATTGTCCAAAGCTGTGTTGCACAATGTAGTCTAAAAGAGATGTTATAATGAGATAGTTTCTTTAAAAGCATTTAGGTGGGACAGTCATGCTAGGGTAGCCATAGAACTACTAAAGCTTCTAACAAAACTTACGAGATGCATTTTACTTTGATAGATCTTGTCTTTTTGGGAGTTCCATTCATTTGCAACAGCCAAAGCCAAGGGTTCACTTTCTATTGCGAATACGTTGCCTTTTGGGGTTTTCAGTTTTCTTTGGTCTAGGGTAATTTCAAATTTGCCATCGGATCGTAATATACCAGTGTTTTTATAGAATCGCTTAGGAACAGAGGCTGAAAACAATGTTAATTGCAGATCACGTAGAAATGAAACGATAACCTGTAAATTACCATAATGTCGAACTAACGAGCACAACCTGTTCAATTTCGTTGAACTTGAGGCATTAGAACGATATAATTGAATAAGTTTAAGAGTATTATTCATTTGTATTTTGTAGCAATATTAGTGTAGATTTAAAATAATAACCTCAATAATCTTCTTTTTCAAAAAAAAATGTGAGGGACTGGTTGTTAAGTTAGAAAAAGGCAATAGTACAAAATGTAAAAAGAAATTATTTATATAAATCAATAATTAATTGTCTTTTAAATATAGTGGTCAAAATTGGACGATATGATTAGAATAATTAAAAGGTATTGTTTTACAAGCGTTTTATATAAAATTGGCTGTAAGCTGTAAAACACTTAGGAAGAGTGGAAATATACATTTCTCAAAAAGAAGAAAAATTTTGACATTTCATTTAGTCCAATTTTTAGAATTATTTGAAATTAATTAATTAACAACAATTATTTTACCATTAGGAAATAGTTTACAGAATATTTAATGTTTTCTTAACAATTAATTTAATATTACAATATTTGAAAGCAAATTAGAAACGTTTATGAAGAAATGGCAAACGTTTAGAAAAGTGTATGTTTTTCATTCTATAATTTAGCAATTATTTTTAATTTTTAATAACTAAAACTTCCAGTACATCGAGTGAAATCTGTGAAATAAAATTTACATTTTTTACACACCGTACGCCAATGCATTGCGTTAGCGCGTGCGCAATTCCGCATTCTTTGTATTCTGGTTTAGAGAACTTCTGCCCCAGCAGAAAGCAGAATAAACATTCGCAATTTTTGTTACGCCCATGAGATAAAGGCGATAAAAACTGATACAAGCAGCATCAAGAGAATCGCGTGCAGAATTTGATTGCGAATTCGAACCCGTGTCGTCGAATGTGCAAGAATAAATCGAGCAAAACGAGCATGACCCAAAGAAAATATTTACTTTAAAATTTCGTAGGCAGTTCGGTTAGCGCGCACATCGTGAAATCATCGCGCAGGCGCTCACCCAGTGATGATGGACAAAATAATTGTCCGTTCGTTCTCGTTCTTGCGATGAAAATCCGTCGATTGTGGAACACTTCAGCCCCGGTCGGTTCTCTCTCGTCCTCAGCGACACTCTAATCGGGCCCCCCGCGTTCTGCGAGGCCATCCGGACAATCAGCGAGGCGGAATTGGCGACTCGAAAAATCGGGAATCCTCGATCGGCTTTCAACGTAACAGAAAACTCGGGAAAGTTGGTAGTTACACGAAAAAAAAAATGGTCTGATTCGAGCGGAGCGTAGAAAATTTTCGAAAGGTGAGTTAGCGATTGCGATCTAATGCGACCCACCGTCGATGGGCCCCGCGAAAATTCCCCCGAATTTCGCACGGTTTGTGCTGCTACTTCTTACCGTATTTTGCTCGACTGTTTCAGTTCAATTCGGGTATACAGCCAGGCACGATGGTTTCGACGAGGCAAATGACGATAGGGAACAACGGGGCAGGCGAGAGCAATCAGCCCCCCGTCGACGGGCCTGCTAAGTTCACCAGGAACAGCACCAACGCCAGTTGCAGCAGTACCGTGCAATACAGCAAGTCGCCCGCAGCACCAGCAACTTCGACTTCATCACAAGTGCAATCGATACATTTCCTTGATTTACCTCAAGAAGTTATAGAGAAGATATTTAGTTACTTAAGATTTAAGAATATCTGCCAGTTGAGGCTGGTAAGTTCCTACGGAAGCATTTTAATGCTCCGATTATCTTTCGTTGAGTTTTATTGTTTGTTACTGTAGAACTCTTCTTACTCAGGCCGAATTGTACGGTAGCATCCAAATAGAATCATTAAGTACAATTATAGATTCTTATAGATTAATAATATGTTTATGAAAGAGAAAGTTATCATTTCTGAAGTATTTTTGAATATTTAAGTTTATTATTGTTTCTAGATTGTGTTTTGAAGGATTTTCAATAGCTTATTTTATCATGATTTTAGGGGGAACATTAGGGGATTTTAAAGATTCAACAGTTTTTTTTTCAATATTCTATTTAGATACTTTCCAAAACTTATTAGTTATCATAATTTTAAATAGCTTCTGAAAGGATTTGCAAAGAATTGTTCCTAATGCAGTTTGTGTCAGGAATGTACTTATTCTCTGTGATGCCTAAATATCAAATTTGAATCTCCATTAACAACGAATCTATTTTTATCTGGCACACTATTTAACCATTTTTAACGTGCCAATTTTGCGTGCAGGTGTGCAGTTCGGTGAATCGCATTTGCGGCCAAATTCTCAACTCGAATTTCCTGCGGCTGCAAAACCAAATGTTGCAACGATTCCAAGAGATCAAGGCGAAGATGCCGAGAAGGGAATCGGCCCGCCGGAGCCACTACCTGGCCTGCGAGAGCGACATCATCGAGACGTTGCACATGCGCCTCACCCTGTTGCAGATGTCGTTCGGGAAGCACATCGAACGGAAGCACTGCTGCTTCTTTCCCGGCGAGATCTTGGACGAGGTGCTCGACATTTTGCACTACATCAAGGTGACGCCCAAACTGGATCTGCCGTACAAAGTCACCGACGAGCTGTTCGATTTGTCCACCATGGCCATGGAGTATTTCAAGGAGAAAATCGAGCCCAATTTGCCCGAAATCGCTTACTTTAGTTCGGACTTTTTGAATTTTTCTGGTAGATTTTCGAGTAAGTGCATTTTATACAGGGTTTTTCACGGTAGACATTTATCAGAATTTGTAGGACTTGCTGAAGAGTTATGACGTAGTACAGCGTATTAAAGGCATCAGATAGCTATCTAGATATCTCAAGATGAGAATTATGGTATAAATAACAAAAGTTCGGTTATTTCAAAAACGACTGGATTTCGATATGGATTGAAAGGTCTTAAAAATACCCACTGTCCAATGACCTAAAATACTGAGTGATTCAGTTGAAATAAGAAAGTTATGGCCACTTTAAGTTGCCCAAGTTAGTCAGGGAATTTTAAACGCCCTGTAAATAGACGATGAAAACGCAGTTTATTTTTATTTAGTATTGTATCTGGACGTTATCAGTACCAAATTTAAAACTTCTAGGAGCATTATTAACAGAGATATCATAGAAAATACATTCGACAAGTTTTCCAAAAAAAAAAACATCGAAAAAAATTAATAACTTAAAAATGGTGCATTTTTGGCATAAGGTGTTATCAAATTCTATATGAAGTCATAAATATGGGACTTTCCATTTGAAATAACGAAGTCGACATCTATTTCTGGTATAACCTGAAGCCACATATTGTTGAAAACGTTTTAGAAAAATTCACAACATTGACTCGACCTAAATTTTCAGATTCGTAACTCTTCAGGAAGCTCTAATGAACTACCCTATAAAGAATAAAAACCCTGTATAGCTTAGCATACTAACTAAAAATACACTTAAGTATACTACTACCGAAGATATAAGAGAAGACTTTATGTCTAAAGCTTAGAACTCGATAGTAATCGATAATTATACTAATCTTACGAACCTTACTAATGCAGATCCGTACTGATATATTTTCGCTTAAGCATTATTGAAAATTCCATATATTTTGGTACAATGAATAAAATATATTCCAGTAAAACAGAACATTAGAGGTAGAAAGTACCTGCTGGGTAAATAACTGGTAAACCCTTATGAGTTTATTGGCGATTACAGCTTATGATTTAAAAGTCTTCTCTTATAACTTCGGTAGCAGTATACTCTATGCAAAAATTACAATCGGTAAACCTTTAGTATTTCTAGGTGTTAATAAACTTGTAATAAATTTTCAGATTCCTCCGCTCTTTTATCGGAGACGACGAAAGACAGCGGTCACGCGTCGACTGACGAGCTGGAGAGCGGCGAAGACATGGTGGAGACCATTCCGCAGTCGAACATGGTGCTGCGGAAGCGCATCCGCAAGATCAAGCAGGGCATGAAACGGTACAATAGCCAATTGAGCCTGCTCAGGCAGGATTTGCGATCGTGCAAGAGGAAAACGTCCGAACAGCAGAAGCAAATCTCCGAGCAACAGAAACAATTGGCCGATCAACAGAAGCAAGCTTTAGAATACGCCACTCGTTTGGACGATTACGATAAGAAGAACGAGGAGATTTCTCGCAAATTTAGTAAGTGTTGTATTTGGAACAATGCGGAATTAATTCTCGATGATTATTCGTGATATTGGTTGTTATAGTTAATGGGGAAACTAATCGAAAGTGTATTTTTTAGGTACTTTATTACAAGAATTAAATAAATGCAAGACGGAGTTACAGTATTGGAGGTGCAGGTCCCCTACCAATTCGACGTTTTGCAATAATTGCGGTAACGCCATTGTTCCCCAACCGGAAGAAATTCAAGCGTTGATGATGAATCAAAATCAAGGAGCCAATTCCGATGGTTTAGGTAATGTCTTGTTTTTTAATTTATCATCGTCCTTCAAGATGTGCTAGATGAATATAGAGCTAGATGCAAAATTGAAACTTTCTCACTCCAACCACTGTTATTTTAATAACCTTTCTTTGTTCTACTCATAGCATTGACCGAATTGCAAAGAAACCTGCAATTACTCATATAATTTTTACAGAAAACAGCTTATCAATATGAAATTTGTTATGACTTCGAATTTTGCGGAAACAAGTTCAAGTTCATTTTAATCTATTCATCAAAAGGTCTAAATTGATAATAAAACTGCTTTGTTATACAATTATCCAAAATTATCATACAATCATTAATCCACTTCAATAACCACTTTAAATAGTAGAAAAACCTCAAAAATGTCACAAAAACTGGTTAGATAAATCGCTCTGGATTTTTCACTTATCCAGTTCCTTCTCTCACATTATCCAATTGGACTGTAACGTGAAACATATTAACTGGAACAGGTTTTGCTCTGATCCATTCATAATCGGATAAATAAAGTAAATAGCGTTCTAAATTGATCTAGCCAGTTCTAAATGATCCTGGAGCGTTCTAAACGGTTCTAAACACTTCTAATTGTTTCTGATGCGTTCTATATTCTATAACCCTTTTCTTCTTAAGCAAATGCTTCTCTTATAAATACGGAAAAAATAAAACCTTCTGCTTTAAAGCAACAGCAGGCTCTTCGAAGCAAAACCTCTTCCTTCACTTCTTTTTATGCATATAACTTGCAATTGCTTCGTTTTTAGAAAGCAAGGTTATGCATTTTTTTATAAATACGGCCTATTGTCCATTTAGGAATCGAAACCGCCCCCGCTGATACGGCAGAAATGCAAAACACAGAGACTTGCGGTTCGTTGGAAGAGGAGCCGAGCACCGTGGATAATAAATTAGCGACGTTAGATCTGCCCAGCACGTCGATAGAATTACTTCCAGCCAAAGCGAAGCGAAAAGGGGACGAGGAAAAGGAGGAACAGCCGAAGAAGAAGACCCGTCGATTTACGAAGTCGCGTAGCAATCGCAGTGCGAAGGTTTAAAGTTTTTTTTATTTTATTTTATTTTTCTTCGTATTACATCGGACCGATTGAATTTCTTTTCCGTTCGTTCGAGGGCATACAATTTGCGAAATATGCTTCATTATCCGTAGTCGATGTGTAGCAAACCAGTTGTGAAATAGATTAGAAGAGTCATTAGGGTTTTTTTTAGGGTAAGTGAACGATCATCGCTTAAAGAAAGTAAGTAAAGGGTGTGTTGTTTTTAATCAAAATGACGATGAACTAATCTCAAATACGCACATTGTATAAATCAAAATGTTTGTAGAGGTTTTCGTGCTGGTTATTTTAATTTTATAAATTGAACGATGCGAATTTATTTGATCGGATTAATTCAATTAAGAACTAGATTGTAATTATCGATTAATAAGTCTCTCGATGATCTCAGATATTTTTTATACGAAATATTATAGGTGAATGTATTTTAATATGCCTGCTCTTTTACGAGCTTTTAACATTGCACTGCTGCTTATTACTTTTTTTTAAACAAACTACTAAAATTTCTGCGTTACTTGAATACAGGATGGCTTGAAGATCATTATATTTCTAGTGAAATAATACATCATGTACACATTACTTATTATACAGGGCGTTTTTTAATAACATGCTAACATTTAAGGGGGTAATTCTGGGATTAATACTTCGTGTGAAGTTTATTTCTTAAAATGGGCCCATTATCACCCATTAAATATTAGTATGTTACTAAGAAACATCCTGTATAATATACAGATGAATCTCGTCAATTAAATCACTTGTTTTACCTCAAATTTTTATCTTGCACGATTCGATATTTCCATTAAATAGATAGTTGTGTGTCAGGTGGCCCTACAAACAATATAATCGAAACGCCCTTACTTCTTTAAGCAGTTATTGTTGAGCGTCGTAGGGATGTTAACTCGAGAAATAACAAAAAACATCGGGAGACTGGTTATAAAATAAATGTGCAAATAAAATGAATGTTTGCCCCCTCCCATCCTTCCTTTTTTTGGTTCTCCGATAATTGTAGCTTTACCTTCACGCACTGCAAAACTCTTTCAAAATCCTCCACTCTTTGATAAATGTGCGACTTGTTCAATGATCGGTAATCTGGGGATTGAACGCACATTACCAAGTGTATTTTACGTTTTATAATTTACATCTTTTACTTTTAGTGATTTTTATTGTTTTTAAGCTTTTTATCAATTTTAAATTAATAACATTTTTCTAGTTTTACAAAAAATCGAGTATGTAATTTTTGTCTATAATTTAAAAATATCTAGAAAGCATCCCTAGATTTGCATAATTTGAATATTTGTCGCATTTGACGTAGAAAGTACAATAATAATAATAATAATCAGCTTTAAGAAATTATTGCAATCACTGTCTAATGTATATTATCTATATCCGTTGTTGTTTTTCAGCATACTTATAATCTCATTTTTATTCTAACTAGAGAAAATAAATTAGAGAATGCATTTGAAAATAGCAGCGGATATGTCTGAAGTGTCCATATTTTTGTAGCCAACACAAAACAAATGTGTCTAGACACACACACAGCTTTTATCTTTACCGATTTTTATAGAATTTTCAAATTGATTTTGATGAAACAATATTTTCGACGAAAAAGGATTAATCATTATTTTTGTCCATTCGGGTTTATTTTAGGTTGAATTTTTTCGCATGAAGGATATTCTTCGAAAATATTGCTTCGACCAAAAATTTTACAGTACCTAATTTAGTTGTATAAAGTAATTTTGTGGTCTAAACCACGTAGACTAAGTAAATTTATAGTTTATTTCATATAATATGTTTATTTGTTCATTAATTTTTTTCTTGTATAGATTTTAGAAAAAACTAATTAAATTTACTTGCGATTTGCAATGTTTAACGATATCATTTTTTATGATTTTTCTATTGAAAAAGAATTATCCGATCCCTTTAAAAAATAGGTAATTAACATTCTAAAAAGATTTTTATATTTTTGTGGGAAAAATTACTAATATTTAAATTTAATTTAAAAGAAGTGTCCTTTTGTTTATTTTTAATGATTAGTATAGGAATGATAGTATCTATATAAAAAATTAAAAAAAAAATAAAAGTTTTTGTCTATTTTCAAATTTATTACACTATGTAATCTATATTTTATTTACTTAATAAATTATTTGTGTGAATTATGAGCGTTTTAGTATGAAACCTTAAAACTTGTATTTTGTTATTTGCATAATTATTATAGGTCCTGTGACGCAGGCGGATATTTGGAGTGTCTATCATAGTTTCAAAGGTTTTTTAATAAAATAAAAAAAATTAAACAAAATAATATTTTAATATACTATAGAATACAACAAATTTTTTGAGATGATACCTATTGTTACAATGGAAAAATGTTTACAAAAAAATAAGAGGTATCAAAATAAATGAAGTATTTTAAGACAGAAAATAGCTGGCGGGAATAATAACACTTTAAATACTTACGTTTAGTTTCGTAATACATAAATTAGATTTTAAGACATCAAAAATAGAGCGATGTAATAAAATTCAAATATTTCATAAAGGCCACATTTTTACACGTATTCTACACAAAAATATATAAAATTCTCTATCGCATAAAACATTAAAATATACAGTTGCCTCAACAACTATGAAAAAACTTTTAAGACTAGAATAACGAAATATTTCTCACGCCGTTTCCACTACAATATTACTAGAACATTGAGGGCAAATAACCGTGGGTTGTTCCAAGAGCGCGTTTTTGCTCCTTTGAAACGTCTGTGAACACTTCATGCATTGATAAGTCAAATTCTTCTCCTCCGTTTCCGACACGTTCTCGATTTTCTCCTTAATTGACTCGTAAAAATTACTCACATCCTCCGGGCTCAGCTCGTACACCCTCTGTTTCCTGTCTCTCCTCAACGTATCGAACTCCAGTTTAATTTTGCTGCCACCCTCCTCGCTCGGCTCGCAGGAAATAATAGTATTCACGTGCCACCTCGCCCTTTCCTTGCTCGTGGTAACGTCTCGTTCTGATATGTGACTCTCCGTAACCACCACAAACACCTGGCTGCCGTCCCCGCAATTGTTCGCGAGGAACATGCAATCCTCCCCGCCGGAAAACACGTCTTCCCCGTCCGAGATGACCTCCTCATCATCGAGTTTAGCGGTTGAATTAAACACAGTTTGTTCGGCTGTAAGGAATTCTTCGTCAGTCTTGGCAGTGTCGATGAGATCAGCTGTTTTGAAGTCGCTGTTGTCGGCAGCCTCTTCGATCGCTCGAGCGTTGTTCTCCATGTTGTTTTCTAGCGGGGTCGAGGATATTATCGAGCTTTTATCGAAACCCAGCACGTCCTGGACCATCTGGCCGGAGTCCTTGTACAACCAGGACTCCCCGTACTCTTTCCGGAGTTGTTCGACTTGCCTCTTGATCTCTAAGTGCTGCGAAGGGGTGGGCGGTGTGGACACGGGGAACTTCTCTTTTACCGCATTGACGTCTTCTATTGTTACGTTGCGTATTTTCTTTTGCTTCTCTTGAGTGCTGTTCAGGGCTTCCATGGAGTTGGTAGAGGAAGACGATGCGAGAAGTAGCTGTGATATGGGGTAGAGCGATCCGGTCAGGCTTTTCTCAATTTTGCTCAAAGCGGAGCCGTCTAAGGAAAACTTGACCGTTTTGGCGTTTTTGGTTAGGTAGTTGCACGTCATTTGTCTGTGTTGAGAATGAAAGCACATCGGATTTCCCTGCAAATTCAGCCATTGAAGGGATACCAAGTGAGATATCGACAGCAGCGATTTGTGGTCTAATAGACAGTTGTGGCCCAAATCTAACTGCATTAAACTAACAAGGGATAAAATTCCGCTCAAATCTTCAATGAAATTGTTGTTTAACACCAAAACTTGCAGTCTGTTTTTTATTTGCCCCTTGAAATTCGGTGCAGCGTCTAATTTGTTATAAGAAAGATTCAAGTGCTTTAAGTTTGGTAAGAGATTCAGGAAATCAGCCTTGTTCAGATTGTTATGGCTTAAATCTAGAGTGTGTAAAGAAGGGGTACACTCAAAGCTGTTGTCGATTTCAACGATTTCGTTGTAACACAAGTTTGCAATCCTCAATTCGTTCCAAATATAAGGTTGGCTTTTATCACCACCGCATTCCTCCAGAAGTATACTTAGGGACTTTAAATTTCTACAGCACGTCAATTCTTGAATTTGAGATCGGAGTTTTTGCAGACCAATCACGATATTTACATCTAATTTTGTAATCTCCAGTTTCTTGACGTTCTTGAACTTTGTGATATCCACTACGTTGTATTGCACCGTTTCGTCCGGAATCAACTTCAAACTTGTCGTTTTTCTTATTAAATCTAACAAAAATTGCACATCTCTAATCAGATTGGTCTTTGCATTGTTCGTCTTGACGATTTGGAATGAATTTATGTCTTCTTCAATGTTCGCATCAATGCCATTGTTCAGTTTGTTCAGATAATTAGCGGATAAACATAGTTTACCTTTGCCACTAAATATATCACGACTAGAAGGCCTTAAAATATCTGCCAGGTGTAAAATATCGGTCTCCATTATTTTCAGTTTTCACGTTAACATGTTTATTTTTATTTGACCACCATGACAAAGATAAGGAATGTCATTAACGTCAACGTCAAAGCTGTCATACTTATGTCAAATTTCTGACAACTACTGTTCAACGTTGCCAGATCTAAATTTGGAAAATATTTATACGTCAATACGGGTTTTAATTTATTTGAATTTATCTGAAAGGAATAAAATATGATCCTAAAATATTCCATAAGTGAAGGAAATTTTACAGAATTAACAGATTTAATTGTATATATTGGCCAAATACCATCACTATAAAAACACCAATTTTAAAAGTAGAGTTAAAGAAGAAGAAAAACTGACAACTGACATTAATGACAGTTGTGCGTTAGAATTTTTAAGTTTTGCATTTTCTGTAATATAAACAAAATTATTTAGATTTTAATTTAAAGAGTTTTTAACGTTTTTAACGGACTTTAAATGTAATCCAAGGTTTAAGCGAAACATGGATTCCCGGGCTACAGCTCTAGCCAAATTAGTTTTAGGTATAAATTCATATTTTTGTACCCAAACCATAATAAACCAGCCATTCTAATTTCAGGCTATTTAAAATCGGAAAAATGCAAATCCGCTTACAACGAATTTTTGCAAAATTCAGCATGTTTCCAGCGATACAGTAGTTCTCAGAGCAAGTACATAGCTACCCGATACATCGGTTTAACATTGGAAGATATTTTTATACAGTACTCTGATTTATCGCAGATAAGTAAGTCGAATAAATTGTCGAAATAGTGGAATTAATGCTTCGGTTTTAGTTCAAGGGCGATTAGAGGCAACAAATTACTATAACGAGCAACATCCAAACGAAAATCTCGTAGATCAACTCCAATATTTATTAAGTAATGGCCCTTCAAGTCGACCATCCACACCTGGCTTAAGGTAGGATCATATAAATTCTGATTCAAAAAGAACGCTTACGTTATTAGAAAGAAAAATAGGTTTACATAATACCTACTTCATTATATTTTTATTGGCTTTGTTCCCAAATTTGATTTTATTATAATGGTGCTTTGTGGAAGGTCACAGAAAGCTTGGGACTTTGGAATTGAGTTATTTTGCACGTCTTTAACTTCCTTTATTAGTTTAAATCAATAAATACTCCCCTGCATTGTTTATTATCATTTTTTAGTTCTCAAAGGTCTTTTAGAGATGAAGTCAGTCCTCACCGCAGTGATGTGGATACTACTCAAAGTGATGCTTTACCAGGCAACAGCCCCGTGGAAAAATACTCTAGTTCAAAACGTAAATCGGGTAATAGGCATGGATGGAAAGCTTTAGCAACATCTTCTCCATCTTCTTCATTTGAGGTACAAACATCAGATATTATTAATACTGAGGTAAATTATTAATTTGAATTGTTTCCTCTATGCATAATTCTATGTTACAGTATTAAATAACAAAATAATTTATAGGTTTTAGCAGAAAGTTTATTAGAGAATAAAGAATTTCACGAGAAAATCGCCCAAACCATCAACAAAGTGGTAGAAAGGCAGTTCGATTCGACAGTGAAAGAGGTTATACAAGAAACTGAAAGGGATCCTATTTTCGATAAAATTTTAGAAGAAATTGTCGGTAATAAAATAATAAATACGTTTATTTCGTAATTGCATTTTTAACCACTGTAATTGCAGGAACATCCACTAATAATGAAATGTCCAAAGAAATTGGTTCTCATAACATGATGACAAGGTGCATTGGGTAACAATTTGAAAAATTACATTGGCTATATCACATTAATTATTTTAAAATTAACTGAGTTGATTATGAGATATGTAAGGGGAATTTAAATTTAATAGAGATGTTACTGTGTAATATCCTAGACTCCCTATAAATAAGTAAATACGCTCCTACTTATAAAGTATAAACCTTAGTTCCAAAATAATTGAAAAACTGAATTACTATTTGAATAACAAAGTAAGCTCCGTAAATTTATTAATTAGTTATGTAATTAATATTTAACTAATAACGTGAATACCTATTTATTCAGTATTTAAAAAAATTAAATGCATTTTATTTGAATTTAATACTGTTTAGTACTATACATAGAATTTAATATACAAGGTACTTATGGTAAACTATTTAGCTATTATTGACATAATTAATGAGCTATACAGCCAATCTAAGCTTTTAAATCGTTATGTTGAATGTTATATTCCATTTTGAGTGGCGTTTAATCGACTACTTTTAGTTCGCCTTGTACATCACTTGACAATGAAAAAGAAAAAATGAGCAATAGTGAAGAAATATCACCAGCTAAAGTACAAAAACCAAATAAGGAAAAACATAATAGCAATAGTAAATGTACTACTTTACCTGATAATCCACTCAACTGTACACCTCAACTACCTGGAAGCGAACAAGTACGTTAATCGATACAACATTAAGTAACAGCAACAGTTTGAATTAATTGAGTTGTATGAATGTATGAATTGTAGTTTTAGAGCAAAATTCACAGAATCGATTTTGTTTGTAGAGATTGTAATAAAAATTGATTATTTTCAGGTTGCGAATTTAGAGAACTACTTTCTAGCCGTTCCAACGACGCCTTCCATTCCCAATCCCTTTTATCTCAACACCATGACCAGCTTGTTAATTCCGCCGATAGCGACTGTGGTTGTAAATAAACCACCGCAATCTTCGGCATTCATTACCGAACAAGACATAATGAAAATGCCGGTTATTTTAAACGACGACCGAAATATCGCCGCAAATCCTACTGGGAGCGTAGGAGAGAAAGGTATCCGCATACAATTACATTGCAACAAAATAACTGAAATATTCCTGATTTCCAGAAAATGTTTCTCCCAAAACCCCAGCTGTTCCTAAAGTGGGCGCATCGCCGAAAGAACTCCAGGAATTCTTCAAGAATTACCGACCGGACGAAACGAAGGAGTTATCTACCGTTAAAAAGACTGGTTTAAAGCGCGTGATCTACCCAAAACTGCCTAATAAACCGCAGAATTCCACGAAGAAAATAGACAATTTACCAGAGACGATTAGTACAAATACCGCTACCTCAACCGCTGCGAACGACAAAGAATGCACCAATAAAAATTCGAGTTCGGACATGAAAAGCAAAACGCCTTTGTCGGACGCCACTAAAAAACCCACGCCGAAGAGCAGCTCTCACATTCGCAGTTTGAATTTCACGACCCCTCCCAAGAGCAATTTCTCCCAAAAGCCGCCCGACAGCGAGGCCAAGAAAGTCGTCAAAACGCTCTTCGAGAAATCCAAGCCGTATGCCTGGGACTCGGATCTTCGCGAAATCGTCAAAAGCGATCTGCCCTTGACCAAGCGAGCCGCCGTTAAGAAAAAGCCGCTCAAGAGGGGGCGAAAGCCGAAAACGGCCAAATCGGAGAAACCACCCGAACCCGAGAAGATCCCCGAAAACTCGGAACCGCCGGGCAACTCCAACGAAAACGAACCGATCAGTAGCAAGGAGACGATAGTGGATAAAGAGGAACAATTCATTACACCAGTCACGGTAAAAGAGCCTGTTGTCGTTGTTAACCCGACGAAAGCTGTTTGTAATATCACATCTATGCTGGAAACTCCTTACAAATCCGACCAACACCCTAAAACTCCCGGTGTAGCAACACCCATGAACTTCAACGACGACGGTACACCGTTCACCAAAATGCTGGACGCTAATTTGAACGGAGTGGACATAAATTCCATAGAGACACCGAGTCTACTCAACACGCCCGGGTTCCCCCCGATCACGCCTAACATAGACATGCTATCGCCTTACCCTAACAGGCCAACTGATTACTCTACTGGCAGCTCGTATTACCAACCGTCGGACAGCGAGCAAAATAAGATGCTCGAAGCCGAAGTGAGGCAAGTGGAGAAGAATTACTCCGAGTTAACGATCAATTTAATCGATCATACGAAATACTTCAACAAAAATATCATCGGCAAAAAGAACCTGAATTTGCTCAAAGACGATTTATCCGATTGCTCCCAAGATTCGAACGAAAATATGGAGGATTCGAGTTGGTGCGGAAAGGAAAGCAACGACACCGTTATATTCAAAAAGAAAACCGAAACGCCCAAGAAGTTTTATTCGCTGAGAAAACGAGTTAAAAAAGTCGAGTCTGCCAACAAGAAACCAGCAAAGAAAGATAAAAAACCGCCAGCTGCTGCTTGTCCTGTTCCCAAGCAATCGCCGATCGAAGAAGACAAAACCAAGAGCAAGAAACCCGATCAATCGCCATCGAAAGAGGAGCTCGCTGAGCAGTTCTCCCTAGCGAGGGAACTGGAGAAGAAACGCTTGAAAATGGTGAACTCGCTCAAAGAGGCCAACGAGACATCGTCGAAAGTCAAAAAGCAGACGAACGGAAAGTTCAAGATCAAACCGATAGCCAAAGTGTTCACTTCGAAGGCCAGCAAAAAGAGGAAACGCAACCAAGAGATGATAAGAACCGTAATGAACGATTTAAGGACGAGCGACGATTCCGAGCTGGACCTTTCGCTAAGCGAAAACGAAAGCGCTGAAATAGACGAGAAAGACTTGGATAAATCGAAAACGTTCAAAACTGTATCGGACGTCGAGGCGCAGAATCTAATAGACGGGTTGAAAGAAAGAGGAATTCACCTGATGCAGAATAAGAGCCCCAAGAAGCAACTCGTTGACAATAAAGAGGTGTTAAGTTCGAGTCAAATACTCGAAAGCGAGGAAAGGGAAATATTCGATACGTTCACCACCGACGAGTGCATAAGTATCGTTTACGATGGAAAAAATAAAGCGGGTTCGAGCGCTGTTGACAAACCTAAAGCTTCCGAGTCGGATCAGACGGAGTTTATCGGGAAAATCTACTTGGAACGCATAGATAAGGAGGTGGATATTCATTTGAAACAAACGGATTTTTTCTCATTGTTAGATGTAGTTCCCAAGCCGGGTAACACGAGCCCAGCTGCGACCGTGCAATCTGACGAAATCAAAAAGGCCACGAATAAACCTGATAGTAAAGCGAGTGAAGATTTGACGAGTTCCACGTCGACGAGAAAAGAGAAAATTGAAGAAAATTCACCGAACAAGTAAGATTATTTAACCTAGTAAATTGCTAATAAATATAAACATGTTTCTAAATAACAATATTGTTAAACTGACAAATTATTGAAAAATAAAGCGAGTTTGTTCTGTAAATATGAAATTTTCAGACTATTAGTTTTAGGAACTAATTCACTACCTATATAAAATAAATTTAAGGCTACTAAATATTAAATTTATAGTGAAAGTAAAAATCTACTAATGAATCCAAAATATGTACAAATTTTTAACTTAATTCTGTTTTCGCAGATCGAGGAAAAGAAGATTTTCAGACGATTCTGAATCAGAAAAAACCTGTACGAAAATGCTAAAGTCTTTAGATCTAGATTCTTTTCTCAACATAATTCACCAGGAGAAAGAAAAAGAGACCAAACCAAAAAAATGACATAGAAATGTAGTGTCAAAAAATAATGTAAGTTAAAAAACGTCGATTTAAGTTTATTATTTGATTCCGAGTATTACTTATATGTACTGCGTACATTTTTTTTTATTTTAGAGAAATGATTATTTTATTTCAATGAATAAAAATGTTTTATTTATCTTTCTTACAACAAGTCTTCTTCTGATCTAATGTATTCACCTATGTCCGCTTGATGGAAACAAACTGTCGCTAACGGATCGGCATGTTTACATTCCGCTGTTGATCTAGCCGCAACCCCGAAACCCAAAGGTAAATCGGTCATGCTGTAAACGACTACTCCTTGGTATTTTTCAGCGTTTTCACTAATTCTGCCCAATCCTGATTTCGCCACATGGTTTCCGTACAAAAATTGTTGTTCCGCTGCAGCTTTCAACCAAATCTTACTCTGCAATAATGAAGACTAACTACCGAGAAACTTAAATAAATACCTTTACCTACTTGAGCATACGGGGCTAAGTAACTCAAAGCAGTTACGTGTAAACGAAATTTATTGGATTTCGTAAATTTGCCGAAACACGTGCCTACGCATATGAGATGTTCTGGTGGCATATTGTTGGCCCATTTTAATATTTTTTCGGAGACGTAATAGATCCTATCCTTTTGTTCCCTGAAGCAATACAATCCATCAGGACGTTCTATCAACAATTTTACGTTTGTGCCTATGCTGTAAAAAAACGATTAGTAATGGGTAAAGGTAAGATTTGAAATACTTACTATTTGGATAGTTTTTCGAATAATATTCTAGTTCTTTCTTCAGAAAGGCGCCTCATATTTGATTTTTTTGTAAATATTACAATGAGGTTAACATTTACAATATTTATAGGTTAGATTAATATTTTGTTGACATATGACAGCGTGTATGACAGTCTTTGGTGTAAAACCAGAATGTCTCTTACCACGTTTGACATAGGTCAACAATTTCGCCGAATACATGCATCCTACACAGTCAAAGGCTTTTGATAATGATAAATTTACAAAATTAAATTCTTCTAAAGGGTATAAGGATACTACAATTAAAAACTGGGCTGTACTATAAATTGACATTTTTTTCTACATTTTTCTTTATGATTAAAGGACTGCTAAATAATAAAATGTAAGGTATTTTTAATAAACTTATTCTTGATTATCCTCTACTAAATTAATAAAAAATATATACATGTAGGTAATACTCGTATTTACAGCAGTAATTAATACAATATTACAGATGAAATGTTTGTAAATTCGATCTCCAGTGCATAATGATCTAGCAATGCGTTTTTTCAAATTTAGTGTTAGAATTTGTTGATTTTACATTACATATATGTATACTCGATGAGTTATTTATACTTTAGGCCTTGCTATCTTGGACAGAAAATCTAATCCCTGTCGAGTGCAAAATTTACAAACATGTCCACATCCAATAAAGGAAAATGCGCATTAATAGATATTAATTTCTTGGGCCACTTGTTTGTGGTAGAATCAGGAGCTGGTGATGTAAGAGGGAGGCATGTGTCCCGTATCACCCAACACTCTCAGAATGCATCTGCCGCTGGGCGTTATACTGACCCAAGTTATACTGGCGTGATTCAAAGACAGCCTGAGCCAGGCTTCAGCCGGGAACTGTAGAGCCCTAAAAGAAGATTTTATAAAGTTTTATATGAAAGGAAGATATTGTAACGTGAGTTGGTTTTCTTGAAAGGTGTTTGATAACTTGGTAAATTAATAATGAATAGGAAATTAATGATACTATTTATACATTATTTTTACCTGCAAACAAAATATCTTATAACATTGGCGTGGCACACCAATATGGTGTAGGAATCCTTTTCTTGATCGGGATCAGCCCTGTGGAAATACTTTCTGAAAGCCGCTTCGATTCGAGAGCCGTCTTGGTAAAACTTCTTGAAGATAAAAGAATTATGGGTAAGTTTGATCAATAAATCAATACCGCTAATATAAAGAACTCGTTATGCTTACATAATTTTCAGGTTTCCAACTGCCTATCGGGGGCTCGGGGGGTACTGGCGCTCCTTCTCTTAAAAGATCGCAGTTTTCTATTGGGAGCTGTAAACATTATTAAATTAATAAATTTAATAATTTAAAAGTTTGTATTTAAGGTGTTTGATTACACCCAAATGTTTGATTATAAATTTATCATACCTTTGGTAAAAAATCTGATATGATATTTCCAGTTTCCTGGGCCCTGATCATGGTAGACTTTATAATCTCTGTGTAAGGTAAATTCAGTTCTTTCAATCTCTTTCCAGTGCATTCGGCTTGCAATCGACCTGTTAGATAAAATTAGTTTTATAAACCAATATGGACTTTGTATTTTCAATCTTTTACCTAATTTAGTGAGGATTCTTTCACTGTCGCAGCCGCCACTTAAATTGTACTGCCCATGTCTGATTAAAATGATGTGCCTGAACGCCCTTGGCTTCTTTTCCTTTTGTTCGTTTAATTTATTCTCATCTGATTCTGAGAGTTTTCCTCCTTTGGTGTTTTGGAGAAATTTCGGCGATCGACTATAAAAAGATTAACATTCAATGTTCCATATGGAATTTCTTAATTAGTGTAATCATTAGTGGTTAAATTATCATCTTGTTACTTCTTTCTTAATGTCTATTAATACCCTTAATTGTAAATGCTGTCATATTGCCATCATATGTACAAAGAGAAAACTTACTGATCCCAATTATCATCCCATTTTGCAAACGTAGAAGGTGTGTAATTGGTGGTCCAGGAATTCTGAGCCCTGTTAACATTATTCTCGTAATAAATCGTGGCAACGCCAGAAACGGCGGTCAGTCCCAGCAAAAGCCTTTTAGTCTTGCTCAAAGTCATCTTAAAAACCAATTGTTGTTTAAAGTGAACCCGTACGTAAGAAAGAATCTCGTTTACCTTAATACGCTTATGAAATAACTCCAGGTAAATTTAATAATGGTTTTTCTCACTTCCGTCTGTTCTTGACTTTTTATTTGATCTTAATCAAGTCAAACTTCATAACATAACCTAGCCAACGGAAAATCAAAGGAAACACGAGAAAAAAAGCTCATGATACGTCTCTTGTCAATGTCAAATTTCTTCTTTTAAATGAATGAGTACTCTACGTTTATTCTGTAATACAGCCACCTTTATTGTTTTCAGCCACTTTGTAGGGGTAGGCACGTGATTATTTAATTTGGTCCATTACTAGAACGAAAATCTTAATTAGTATTATGAATGATTTTTTTTTAATTTGTGGAGCTTCTACACAAAATTAACCTTCACTGACTACCGTGCACTTTAAAACTAATTTGTTTTAAAACAATTTAGTTTCTTATAATTTATTAACATACACATACGTATAGTTTTAAAGATTAAAAATAATTAATCTATTTCCCCTTTTCAGGGTCTAACCTAAGTTATGAGTTTTGGCCCCAAACATACGAATAACAACAGTAATACATAATTTATTTGGATAAACACATAAATTTTTAAGCGAAAAATTCACTCTTGCTCGACAATTCGTACTCCACCTCTTCGTTTTTATACATATCGATCATCTTCTGTATATCATGCGACAGCATTTCCAACTGCTTGTTGTGAGTCAACTGAAGCTTTTCCGTTTCCCGTCCGTGCTTAATCGTCGCCCCTTTGCGCTCGTCCACGAACCGCTTGTTATTATTCTGCTGTTTTTCCTTCAAACGCCTTTCTTTATCCTTTTTAGTCTTCAAATTCTTATCATTAGCCACCTACAAACACACCTAAATGAAGTAACGAAGTAAAAAAGTTAAGCAACTTATAGCGAACCTCCTTGGCCGTTTCGACAGAAATTTTAGCCTGAGCGCTGCTCAACTCCTTCATTTCCCTCTCGTGCTTCGCCTCCAATTGCTTCATCTGCATCGCCTGCAGTATCTCCATGTGCTTCCTCAACAGGTCCCTTTGGTCGTCCAGCTGCTTGCGCAGGAATTCCCATTCCTGCTTGCGGTGGCGCTCCATCAGCGCGCTCCATTCCAACGTTTGCTCCGTCACCAATTTACGCACAGCCGGATCGTTCACCAAATCGTTTTTGCTGAGGAAAAAAATGTTAAAATCTCACAATATTTACAAAGCAACTACAGTAATCGAATTTTTTCTTACTTTTTGCCTTTTATTAGTTTATCGATGGCCGCGCATTGGGTTTTCTGCACGGCGAGTTTCTCTTTCGTTTGCTTCTTTTTCAGCGTGTCGTACTCTTTCTGTTGCTTTTTGGTAGTCTTTTGGAATGCTTTGTCTTGTTTAATAGTTTCAATAGTAATCGGTTCGAACACTAAAAAAATCAAATTTATTATTTAATGACAATCGTATTCGGCTCGTGTACATACCCAATTTAGGTTCTTCCTTTTTCTCTTTCTTTTCCACCGGCTTATCGGCCGTCACTTCGATGCCCATCGAAGACATTTGCTCGTTCTGCTTCTGCTGGGCGCTCCTGAAACCCCTTGGATCGCTCAGCGCGGCCATGAAGTCCTCGAACCCATCGGGCACGTATATTTTCAATTCGATGTTGCAAAACAACATCGGCAACGACATGGGGAAATTCGCCTCTGTTCTCAACGAAATGTGGCGATAGCCGGCCTACAGCAAATGTAGTTGTAAACAATTTTGCATCTAGCTGTATGTTTAATTAGATAAATAACTTATGAAAAGGAGGATTACCTGTAGTCCATCCAACGGTAAAATCCTCTGACCCAGCAGCTTGCCGTTTTCATCGTAAACACCGAACCTCAACACTGCCAAATCCGGCAGAACGACCTTCCTGAAGAGGAACGGTTCTTCGTTGTAAACAGGATTCAATCCGTTGGCCGGTACCATTCTGGTGCGGAATTCCCTTCTAATAGTATCCGTAGGTAAACCGTACATGTCCACTTCGACGTAGGTACCCACCTTAAAGCAAACGAACGTAAATATTTGCCGTGAATGAAAGGAAATCTCTACCTTTTTGTCAGACAAGAACTGACCGGCTATGACTTGCACGGAACATTGGGCGGCTATGACGCCGTCCACTGGACATTCGGCGAACGGATCGAACGTTCTGTCGTGGCGACGCATGAAATCCGGCTTCAACAGGTAGCCGCAATTGCCGTTGTATTCGAATTTGCCTTGGTTCAATTGCATCGGTAGATCGGACGTTTGGAAGTTCAACGATACCATTTGACAACCGGCGTTCCAAAACACCTACGAGAACAATACATGTATCCCAAAGTAAAGTAAAAAGTTAAACCAATGTTAGTGAATAAAATAGAGAAGTTTATACTCCATTCGCCATCAGAAGATAGTAATAAAACTTAATTTTGTATGCAGATGAAACAACACGAGTGACTCAATGAAAAAATAATAGAGTTCCAAAAGTTTTACCGTTGTGTAATGGTACTGTTTATTTTACTTTAATTGTGCAACTCTGTATAACGATTATTTAATAGGCGACCCTTTTCTAATTCCAGATAAAGTAACCTGAACACATAGCACAGCTGTGCTTCTGAGATATTAAATAGATACTAAAAGGATATAATAAAATTAAACAACACTTTCATTGATATCTCGATCGATACTGTATACTATCGGTAATAATTATTACAGGTAGTTAATAATTATTTATCAAATTATTACTTCAATAATGCCTAATTTTTAATTATTTGTTAGCCCGCTTATAATTTACTGCTTCAAGTTTTTATGACTATCTCATGCTGAATGGAAGAATAGTTTAATTGCTCCACTCGAATATAATTTATTGTAGGTGTACTGTTAAATTAAAAAAAATGGGGTATTTACTTGAGGCATGTAGTTAGATGAATTCGCTCGAGCTCCGCTAGGATAAATGCGCGACATTTGTCGTTTGTTGTAATTAACGAATTCGATGGCTTGAGTTTTCAAATAATTCAAACCGGCCGGTTCGGAAAAGCTGGACATGTTGTGGTGCACATTTTTCTCTAAAAAATAAATAAATTATAGACCAATCTAATTAAAAAACTCATACACTTTTGACTGAAGATTTATTGCTCCATCTATATATTTCTACCTGTTTTAGTCAAGAGCAAATACATATTTATATCTGGATAAGTTCCTGGTAACCAGTGTTGTTAAAACTACTTTTTGATGTAGTTTACTACAATTACAACTACTTTAAAAAAAATGTATTTCAATGCGGCTTAAATAAAATTTATTCTAAAGTATGTAACTACGTATTTAAATATATCGGAATTGTAGTTAAATGTATTTAAAACTAAATTTGTAATGACAAAATTCCAGGAATTTGGGCATTTGTCTAAGGGAAAAGGGATTTATATAAGCTTCGTAGATTAGATCATAAAAAACAATTCAGGTATCTATCTAAATAATTTTTATTTTTGGAGGATAATATTATATTTTCAAAAATTTCAGAAACGTTACCTGCATAGAGAATGAAAAAATTATTTTAAAATGTATTTAAATAAAGTAGTTAAATACTACAAAAAATGTAGTTAAATGTAATTAAGTTCCTGAGCTTATAAAAGTAGTTAGTTGGCTATTTAAATACATTAAAAGTAGTTGAACTACATTTTTAACTACTTGTAGTTAACTACTTAACAACACTGCTGGTAACTAACAGAAGCTTGCAATTTAACTCATCAAACCGCTAGTTATAGGAAACTTTCCTGAAGGTGAACATGACAGTCTATACAAATTTTAAAAGAAAATACTACAATTTTGTACATTCTATTAGTTCAATAGCTTAGATTAGAGATTGACTTACGTTCAGCTACATCGAACCCTTGAAATTTAACCGGTTGAGCATAATTCACCATGGAACTCAACCAAGGATGAACGTTCGTAGTGGAACCTGTGTAAGTAGTAGGCGGCACTATCTCGCCTTCACCACCTTCCGGAGGATTCTATAAATTTAAAAATATTGCAACTTTTCATTCCCAGTAATAACGAGTTTGAGTTACCTCGATGGACATATCCGGTGGAATCGGTCTATCGGCGCTGGCGTTCGCGTCTTCTCTTTCCTCATCTTCGATAACGAATTGACCTTGCTTGAACAAATCCAACTCGTGCTTCTCCACCTCCGATTTCAATCGCTTGTTCTTTATCAATATCTTACGCTTGAGGGCGCTGGGCGGAGGAAGAGCCGCGCCCGGCTCCAGCGGATAGTCGTCCAAAGATTCTTTCAACAACAAATCCCCTGCGAGAACAAACCGATTACGATTAGACGAACTTTGCACCGCGTTTTATTCGTTGTTACCCAAAATTTCGTCGCAATATTTCGCCAATTTGTACTGCTGGGATTTGCAGCAATGATTCTCGAACGATAATATGACTGGATACTCCGATGTCACGAAAGCGGTGTCTCTGATGGCGTAAATTACGTCTTTGAATAATATGTCCGAGCACATTGCTCTGCCGTGAGTAATTATCGGTTCTTCGTCCTCGCCTCTACCTACAAGAACAAACAGCCACTTACAATTACACAATGCATTGCTTAGTAAAATTGTATTACCCTTCGGTGATACAAGCTAGATGCATTCAGTGATAGCAAAAGGTACAAAGCTTGATGATGTAGGGTATTTAATATAAATTTAGGCGAAGTTAAGGATACGTACCGTCCCAGCAATCGAGTTCGACGCAACGACATCCGGCTAACAGTACTTGTCTGTACATTTCGACTGAGGATTTGCCGCCAAATTGGCGACCGATCAGATAAGTATTATGACTAGAATTGATATAGTAAGCGCATAGAGGCAAATCCATCTCCATGTAAATGTCGAGGCGATCCAGAAATACGGGTGCATTTTCATCGGACATTAAATATCTGTGAAAGAAATAGTACGATTATAGGGAGTTGAAGAAGAGACTGGCGTAAGTAAAATGCTTGAAAAATAATAGCCATGTTTTGCATATCTGAAGGTAAGGTGCGATAGACCACAGTGACTCTACACCTGTGGATAGATGCCATAACATGTTTATTAAATGTTACGGTAGAGATATTTTAAGTTTGATTTACTGTCAACAATATAAATTTCTCCAATAAGTAGTTGCTTGGCAGCTTCAAACTTTGACTGTTATATTTTACCATCTTGTAGATCCCTAATAAGAGAAACCTGGTGGTACTGGTAACTGAATTTTCACAAAAAAACATACCTAGTTATGGCATCTACCAACTTCAGAAGATCATGAAAGTTCATAAATCCGTACCTAATTAATCCGTCTTTGGTAAGTTTTCCTGTTTTCCTGCAAGCCTCGTCCTGTTCGTAGGTGTCGATAATTTCCTGCGCTCGTTTTTCATCGTAAAGCGGGTACAAAATTTCGTTCAATCGAGGATCGCGTTGTTTGTCATTCAAGAAATTTATCAATTGGTCCAACGTTAAATGATCCGCGTTACCCGTCGCACTAAAAACCAATAAAACATAAACTTTATCTGCTTTTACGAAACATATTAATGAATAGAACATTCAATGAGCTCTTTACCATTAACTTTTAATAACTTACATGCTCCGAAACAATTCCTCGATGTCGTTTCTCGGGCATATTTTGTGGTACAGAGCGTAGAATTTATCGAAGGTAAAGGCTTCCGGTTCGATGGAGTCGTTTTTGCCGGATGGTAGATCGAGTTCGGACAGTATTTGATAAACCAATTTTTCCGTTTTACCGGAGGCGAACGTTCGAGCTATCACCTTCACGGGGATTTGACCCTTTTGGTCAACGGAAAAGCCGAGTCTCATCCAACTAAAAGCAAACGGTAATGTAACGAAATGCGTGCATCGGCGAGGAATTATTTGCGTGTAAATAATGAAATAGCGTAATATATTTGCATGGAGTAGAAATAGTATTTTATTGTGTTATTCTCAATGATCCAAAGTTTTTAGAAAACTGTGGTGTAGGTATTTTTTTAATAACAATTTAAAGATTAAAGCTTCCCGTACACCAAATGAATAGTTTGCTTGAATGTTGAGGTGTAAATGATATAAAATATGAGTTACATTTTGCTTTAGTACCTCGCCAAATGTAGCCTGGCTGTTGACAAATAGCACCTTTTTTATTGGTTGGTATATGAAAAGTTTAATATTTCAATTTGTTGACAAAAAATTAAAAAAGCGAGGAGCAAAAGAAAACTATTCAATTAACAGAAATCAATTCGATCTTGCAAAATAGGCGAAACACAATAAATGACTGTTCCTGGTATAATACTACCTAATTTTATCCGCAAATGTAATACAAAACATATTTTTCTAATAAATTTGTAAAATAAAGAGGAATTTTGTAAGAGTATCATTATCAACCGATTTAATCCATAAACCGATTGGTACACTGCATACTCAAAAATTTATTTACACTACTAAACGTTTATTTTTTTACAAATCTGCGGACAAAATTAATTGTGATTCCCTTATTAAATATTCATCAAGTGCAGTGATGGGTAAGTATGGAAATTAATAGGCGTTAATGACGTGTAAGGAACAATTAAAACATATCGCTTAAGCCAAAAGTCGACAATTGTACGAATAAGAAAAAAAAAAACAAACAAATAAAAATAGAACTCACTGTTTCATCAAAGCTGTTCTTGGACAGACATTCACGATTTTATTGTTATGAGTGATTTTCCTTAAGCCCTGTTGCCATGCCTATCATATTGAAAGAAGCCATGCAATAAACAAAAAATGCCATTTCATTCGCATGGACAAACACAGCGAAATCGAAAATGGATTAAACGTAACACCATTTAAAACGCTATTTTCGAATTCCGCAAAAGTAATATAAATATTTACAAATATAGAAATAAAGTACAACATAAATTTCGTAAAAAAAATAGATAAATTTTCAGCATGCATACGGTAATATCCGTTTGACTTACTGTTTTTTCAAACATGTCATGGGACAAAAATTATTTGCTTTCACATTGTGGGTAATTTTTCTCAGTCCATCCAACCATACCTTTAAAATTCAAGTTTCGTACAAACAAGGAAAACATATTACTAATGATTTGTGCTTTATTTTTAAACACATTGATATTATTTTATGGTTGTTTAAGCGGATTTTATTGACGTCAATAAATTAGTCTAGAAATGTTAATTAGCAAATTTTGAAAATACCATAATATCTTTCAATTAAGAAACGTTTGCACTATTTAGCCTAAAACATTAACATTACCAATTAACTTTCAAAGATAGCTTAAACAACCAACCTGGCCTTTTACTGCATTTCCAATACAGTACAATATCTCATATTTGTCAATATTTCTCATCAATTTTTACATGCAAACCCATAAAAAATATTAGTCTCTAAATAAATCGAATCGATCTAAAATCCAACTGCACAAAAGTCGTTCAAAATTAAATCGAAAAATCGCATCGAAAACTTACAAGGGAAAACAAAGTAAGAAAATTCTAATTCACCTTAGCGGTTTCGGCGTTAGGGCAAACGATGTGCTGGTAATTGATGTTTATGTAATCGGTACCGCTGCATATCGTCAGAGATTTATCCTCCACATCGGCCCCGTGCCGGTTCACCAGGTCCTTCTGCAGTTTGAAGTCCTTCGGTATACCCCCCGCTCTGATGTCGCTCACTTGACACAGCTCGAGGACGTCGCCGTCCTAAAAATACCAAAAAATTCAAATCAGTAAATGAATTTATAGTAATATAAATAGTTTACGTTTGCTCTGCCAAGGGATAACTTTTGTGCATTGTTAAAAGATGAGAATTTTAAGTGATTTTTTCAAGATAAAAAATCGCCTTTTCTTCATTTTAGTTGATTATTTATACAGGGTTTTTCAATGAAAACTTAATCCCACCTTAAACTAGAGAACCAAATATTTTTTCAGAATTCGTTGAGACCCGACAATTTCTGTTCTTAGAGGGAAGAGTTTTGACAGTCAAACCAACTTGATAGGTTTTTCCCCCTAAGCCCTAGACACATTCCCCCGTATTGGCCTCACTTTAACTTTAGAGTGACTCTAAAGTCGCGTCTTTAACTTGACAGTTTTACATTGTTGTTATGGAGTAACTAGGGACTAGAGACGCGACTTTAGAGTCACGCTAAAGTTAAAGTGAGGCGCTGAATACGGGCCATTCAACTTTAGAATTTCAAATGAAACTTCCGTACTTCCAATACATCATTTGAAAACCCATTCTGTTGCAAATTTTCCGGTGAATCGTTTTGGAAAATCGGTGAAGATTTTACATTTACAAAGTTATTAAACAAAATCGAATGCTAGGACTTAAGGGGATGAACATCAAGTTGGCTTGATTGTCAAAAATTATATCCTCAAAAACAAAAATTCACGGGTGTCAGGGAATTCTGAAAAATCAATTCTCGAGTTTTAAGGACAAGTTTTCATTGTATGACTCTGTATATTTCTTTAACTTAAATTAATATCACTTCTATTTACAGTTAGGACACCCTGTACAGGTATTAAGAGTATGTGTCTTGGTTTTTATATGACCAAATTCATAATATAGGAGAAACTGGATAAGTGACAGTGAAATTTAATTATTCAATTAAGTAAAGCAATAATTATTCCATTCCGATGCAATTACTTAATAACAAGGAAACTACCATAAAAACACATTAATGAACCAAGTACAAGAAAAACAAGTTTCAAGCGCTTAATTAGGCTGTAACAGTCCATTATAGAGATGGTTTATCGTGCGATATCGAAAAACACGATAAGGAAATGGTACAAAAATAGAATCTTATCCATGTAATGATTGCAGTGGATAAAAAACAAGTATACGATAAAATAATAAATAATAATAAAAAATGTACATAAATTTATTACCCTTCCTTCGCTTTTCCAATAAATGAAAAATCCATACTCGTCTACTTTGAAGAGGGCTTTTTGCTCCATGTCTACATTGTCTTTCTCTTCGGTCCATCTATCGAAGACGCAGCCGGTCAAAAGGGGCTCCGGCACGGGCACGTGCCAATCGAATTCGAATTTTTTCGTCATGTTTAGTCTGTTTTGGAGATTTCTATCGCACGAACACCAGGGCTTCTACGTTTTACATTTTTAACACACCAACTACAATAAAATAAAAAACACCGATGACTTTAATCGAAATTCGCAAACGGAGAGCTCGCAAGTTAACGGTTTAAACAAGCTAATCGCTGATAGATTACAATAAACACGAAAACATTGTTTAAACTAATATTTACCGAATCTAGCGAAGTGATAAAAAAATTATGTCATGTGTTTGACCTTGACGATAATGGCAACTGACGTTTTTGACACACAAAATTGTAGACAGGTTGATTCTATAATGTTGCCAGTTGTCGTAATATGTTTTACCTTTGTAGGTAGTTAATTACAGATTTAAACATATTTGATGAAATGTAAATACCAAAAAAATATAAACACAATACCTATCATTTATTTTTATGAGCGCTTTATTAATGGTTGTGATAAAAAATATGGACAAATATCGGACACTTAGCAACACTGTTGTGGAACTAAACATTGATTGGTCCAATTTTCCTCCAGCATTTCAATGAGCCAATAATATAGATGTAATTCGAACGAAATGTCAATATTTTATTATTTTCATTTTGACTTTATGGTCGCAATGTTGTTGTATTTTTGATTGTTTTGATTTCGATTTTTGGTTAAAAATCAACAAGACTTATTTTACAATTTCAGAGTAAGGATATATTATAGGGTAAAATGCCACTATGCCACATTTCCAAGGAATATCGTTTCGACACCCAAATGTTAATAGGGGTAATGGAACAAAAACCATTGTTATGGGATACATCCTGTGAGGATTACAAGAACCGAGACATGAAAACGAAAGCCTGGGAGGACGTGTGCGAAATGTGCATTGAACAACAGGATTTCAGGAGCCTTCCTGAATACAAGCAGCAAGAAGCAAGTGAGTATAACATGTATAACCAGCATACTCGATTACCTATTATTATTTTCGTTCCAGTTAAATTAATTCAGCAAAGATGGAAGTCCGCTCGAGACGCTTACCGAAGGGATCAATCAAAAATAAAATCCGGCCTAGACGACTCCTCGTTCAAAAAATACATATATTTTGATAATCTCAAGTTCTTGGATAAAATACCGTTCAATCATACCGAAGTTAAATTTAACAAAATGGATAATGAATACGAAGAAGAAGATGAAGAAGTAGAACTATCAGGGCATTTCAACGATGGTACAGTTATCGAAGACATTGCAGAGCTCACAGAAAGAGACATTATACATTCGCAAAGAAAAATGGACACAAGGAAACGAAAAAAGGAAGTAACGATAGACGAAAGGCTAATGGACCTCCTCGAAAGCTCTAAGAAAAGCGATCCTAACGGCAACAGGGCATTCCTCGAATCCTTAATACCCACTTTAGACACATTCGATGAAGTAAAACAATTACAATTTCGAGCAGAGGTACTTAGACTCATTATGGATTTGAAAAACATATTCCCTCTATCACAAACGCGCAGTAATGTTTGTACAGTTACAAACTTAAACCATAATAATTAATATCGTTGTAATTGCTGATAGAGAATCATTACTCATGTTGCATTGTGGATATTGAAACGTAGAAGGCTTTGATTTGAGCATTTGAAAGATCATAACACCCTTGGATCATAGTAGGCTGTTCCTCTTAGAGAAGATGGATAGAAACGTTAGGAGATGAGATATTAATTAGGGATTTAAGTCTTATTGTTACTTTATACTTTTTGTGATTTTGGGTGAGTACATAAATTTATTACCTATTCGATAAGATATGGTATAATAACATTGATTTGTAGAGAAACGCCTTACTCAGTTGACAGTTGACAGTAGATATATGGCAGGAATATTTATTTGTGCTAAGATAATTTGTATGTGAAAGATCTATGAGATATCAAAAAATTTGTAAAAAATATTTATTTTAATAAAATTGATTTCTTATTTTTTGTTCCACATATTGTTTTAAAACGTATTAATTATGGTGCATCCTTCATTGTAACATAAACATGATTTAATAAAATTTTTGATAAACTTTACCTTTTATTTTTGATATAAAAGTTTGGAAAAACAAATAAAAATTCAGCCAAACTCACCTGATATTTTCGACCATGTACAAAATTACTATGCAGGTAAAAACCGAGAATTTGAAGCCTTTTACTCTAATTGGATTAAAATAACTAGATTTAGAAAATCAATAAGTCGGTAATGAAATTTGCTTATTGATTACCAGTAGTACAAAATGAGAGTATAATAAATTATTTGATATTAAAATCACAGTCTTTCGTAAAATACTAGTGTTATTTTTACATTTCATTTTATATCTATATTTTATACCATTTTATTTTATTTAAAGACAATTTAACATTTATGTTGTGTATGTGCTAGAAATATGAAAGATTTGCCCGCGAGATGGCGACACTTCCGACTTGATCTTGCGAACGTATAAAAGTGTAATCTATAGATAGAGAAAACGATCAATCTTCACTCTGGTTTCTCTTCAGCAGCGAATAAATCTTTCGCCTTTTACTAAAGATTTCCGTGGAGAGGAACAACTCAAATGAGTCTGTAAACAATTTTTTAATGCCCAACATTTATGTTGGGCGTGTAAGTAAACAAAGCATAATTAAACGGTATTAAACTGGGATCCAATGCGGCAGTTGTCTTCGTTCTGCGAGCACCATTCCGGTTCCACGGCATCGGCTTCGATGCCCATTAGTACTAATCGTTCCCTGTGAATAAGGAACCTGTCTTCGGCTGCCGCCCAACCGGTAGAAGGGTTCGACCAAAGCACCTCCGCCAGAGCCGCCGCTCTAGGCCAAAGTCGACCATCTATCGACAAAGAATCGGTTTGTTCTGTCCACAAAGCAGCTTCTGCTCCCAGCACTTGGTCTCCTTTTTCACCTAAATTAACAATTTTCTTAACATCTTTGCTTAGTTGAGTTTACTGAGAACACACCTGCGATTGCAGAGGGTTTGTTTTCGTACACCTTCTGCCACCCAATGTATGGGGAACACCAGTTATTGGAGATGTTAATTCCCGATTTATACGATCCAAAAGCGTACCAAGAACCTAAACCACAATCCATATACAACGCATCGTAGTTGCTGAGTATAATTTTGTAGCCGTTATCTAATAATTGCTTGATTTGATCATCGTTACTCGTCGTCCAGACTTGTATAATATATTTTTCTTTGGGCAAAGAATCGACCAAATAAGCCTGCTGAGTTAAAGTGCTGCTCCATATGACAACAGGAATGTCTCTACCTGCCTTCTTATACAACCTTTCCAGGGCGTTGGCTTGGAAGTGGTTCCACAATTTGATGAAGTCTTGCTCGGTGTTGTTCCATCCTTTCCCTCTCATCCATTCGATAATACTAGCAGAATTATTCCAACATTTAAAGGACACTTCATCCCCTCCTATGTGGAACACATCCGGATCGAATTGCTCCAACATATCACCATATACATCTAAAAACGAAATTTATTAACGGCTAAGAATTAGAATCTCGATTGTACCTTCTATAGCATCATATAGAGCCTCTTTAGTCGGATCGAACTGGCCACAAGGCGGTTCCATGCAGAATTTCTGCCAAGGTTGAGCGTTGAAGCAAACCAAAAACCCCGTGTCCTGCCAACCCTCGCCCACGTGAGCAGGAGCATCGAATTCAGGAACCACTTTCACGCCTCTCGCCCTGGCGTAATCCACGATATCCTTCACGTCGCTCCTGGAGTACGTTTTGGAGGGATCGTAGGCCCCGATCCAGGACAGTTCCGGCCGCGATTTCGACTCGTACGGGAAACTGACCGAGTCGGTGAGGTGCCAGTGGAAGGTGTTCAGCTTCGAGGCCCCCATCGCCTTGATGGTGCGTTTTATGGCGGGTACTGTTATGAAGTTTCTTGAGGTATCCAAGCAGATGCCTCTGTGCGCAAAAGCTGGTTCATCGGTGATGAAGGCGGAACTGCAATTAATTCAATTGCAGCCAGAGCAAAGTATACAGGCATAGAGGCTCCTGATATTAGTAATTGTCAATTACCCCTTACTTTGTTAATAGAAGTTCGTTTCGGAAGTTATCGTAAACGATGAGTTGGGTGAGAGTTTGTAGACCGTTTCTGGCTCCAAAGAACGTAATGGCTTTTATTTTTACGTTAATACAACCAGCTTTTGATTGAGCTATTTTCAATGTGTATCCCTCCGGAGTTTCTAATGTTAATTTGGTGGTGATTGAATCAGATATAGAGAGTGTAATAAATACACAAACACCACCTGGAGAGACACGAGATGTTATGGTACTCTAAAAAATATAACACTACACTTATTATCTTATAAAAATTGTGTATAAAGTTACCTTAATATCATCTTTGAATTCTTTGATAGCTTCAAAGAGGAGTGCGCTGGTTGGAGCATTACTAACGGCTGTAATGAGGTTGTAGTTAATTTTAATTAAATGGTCTCCTACAGAAAATTCGCCAGTAGGTTTCGGCCAAATCGCAGCTGAATCGGAGCAGAAGAATCTGCAAGCTGCTAGGCTCGAAATGGATGTGGTGTTTTCGGTGATTCTTCTTTTTTGGCAGGAATGTTTCTGGCACTCCCAAGTCCAAGCTGGTTTCGAATGACTGGAAATAAATTTGGTCAGATTAATAAGAGTATCCGGAGTTGTGTGTAGTACTTACGCATAAGTTATAGTGTAAAATAAACTTAAAATTGCACAAATGAAGAGGTAGTATGTTCCGTTGGCTGTGATTATATGGAAAATCATTTTTTATATCTACTTTTTGCGATGCAGTAACTAAATATAATAGGATTGCATTGTGTTTTATATAAAGAGTTTAAGTTGTTTTTTTAAATTTGTTTACTGATTCGTTATTATTTCTGCTGTTTTTCTACTTTTATTGCAAAATTACCAAGGTACTATAAACGATAATTAAAGATCATTCAATTGTTAGGCAAAAGCGATTTGAATTGAATCAATATTTATATTTACACGTTTCTGAGGCAGTTTTAAAAATTGTAACAATATGTCATTTCATTCGTTAAAATTTAATTCAGTTTGCTTAGCTAAAATATAATGAACAAATAATTATCTACAAATTCTTCATAAAATTTACTGTCTATTTGCATAATTCATCTAAAAGGACAAATTTATACAAGCTATAAAATGAAAAAAATTGAAAACAAAAATGGTAAAATTAAATTAGCCCAAAATTTTCTTTAACTGCACTTAATCCAAATTCATTAATTCATATTATAGGCGACTCAGAAATGACAAATTTTCACGTAAAATCGTGTAAAATCATCATAAAAATCATCTGAAAAACGATTAATTTAGAGAGAAATCATCTCAAAAAATAGTCAATTTTACTAGGATCCTGTATAATCATATCTGATAAATCGATTATTTCAGCAAATTATTCGAAAAAATCATGAAATTTAGTAGTAAAATTATCTGAAAAACGACTCTTAATATAGGCAGAATAATACTGTTGCAGAATAATTTAGAACAATGTAATTAATAGATATCGTTTGAATTAATGAAACTATTGAATGATTGAACAATTTATTTATTTATTTAGACATTATTACATAAGATAGATTAAGTAAATGCGCATTACAAATTTATTAGAGATTAGCCATAGAATAATGCAGGCGTATTTCTAAAAAAAAACAAACATTTAATTAATAATTAACAGGCTGAACTTACTAATCTAAAGAGTTCATATAAATAAAAACCAATAGAAAAATTACCATTCTAATATTCCTTTATGGGCATACGACTTTACTCATCGTCTCCCTAAAAATTTATTAAATTATTATTATTATTATTTTAAATTTTGCGGTACATTTAGCTTACAAAATGCTGTCGCTGTTCACTATTGAAATTTCTGTTGGCGGAGCGCCATAATCTTTTCTGAAAAATAAGACTCCATAAATATAACCCTATATTTACTGGCAAAAAAATCGAAAATAATGAAAAATTGCGCTGCAAATCATATAAATGTTATAATCTGCTTAGATAGAGAAAAAAATCATACCTGCTCCTTGGGAGCGGGCCTACTTCCCGCAGAAATAGAAAATACTCCTTGGAACATTACCACAAAGAGAACAGCGATAATAGAAAGAAACGACAGCTTCATTTTGACGATTTTTCTTAATAAATTCTATACCATATTTTTTTTTATTTTATAGTACACCTACCAGGAAACTAATTAATAGAAAACCTAGAAAAACATCCTACTTCCTTTTTGATAACAGTAAAAAATAATAGTTTAATTAATGTTATTTTCGTGGGGTTCGTTAGAGAGTTTGATTTATCAAAAAAACTTGTATCCGTTAGAACCGATATGTGTTGTCCGGTTATACCGGAAGTAGACATCAACTTTGTTATTTCAAATAATGGAACACCCTTGATCTATTTTTGAAAACTACGTAAAATTTCAGGGTACTTAATAGGCATTTAATTCTTCAAGTTCTTCAAATCTTCATCAAGTATACTTGGAAAATCATTAAAAAAACACTTTAAAAACCAAATAAAAATTCACCAATAGATACATAATGGGAGGTCCTGCCAATTAATTTCTATTATTTCCTTTTTTATGATATTTATTTATACTGTCATGTTCTAACCAAGTAAGGTGCCAGCCATGCACAAAACATACACATTTCAAACATGCATCTTGAACAAACCAAATATCTAAAGTAGCAAGAACAAAATTCTCAATATCCCTAACAATACCGTATCAAAATCTCTATAGAAACCGCCGTATTAAATCGAACATATCCCCCTCGAAACGCCATCTTTACCTAACCTAAGATCCCACCCGAGCAAATACAACTAAAAAGTCAAAAAAAAACATCCAGCAAAACATGCCAATAATAATCAAAGACGCCAAATGGAAGCAAACGGCCACCGACGTCGTGATAACGGCGCCGATGCCGCTGAAGAACGCCCGCGGATCCAAAGTCGACGTCCTCATCTCCGCCCGATTCGTGAAAGCCTCCTTCGAGCAGTACTACTTCGAAGCGGTGCTCTTCTCCCCCATCGACGAATCCACCAGTAAATGCATCCTCACCGAGTCCAGCGTGGTGTTCGAGCTGAAGAAGCGACAGCAGGAGGAATGGGCCAGCCTCGAACCTAACGTTAGCAAGGTCTGTAATGTATCTAATAGTACTTAAGTAAAAAATTGCTAGTAGTGAATTGTTTGCTAGTAGAAAATTAATAGTAAAAATTGCTTATGAGAGTAATTTCCAGCAAGAAAAGCTGGAGTTGAAGCGGCGATTCCTCGAAGAATCCTTCAAGAACGTACAAGAGCAAGCCAAGCGAAGGGACGACAGGAAACACGTGCTCAAAAGAGCCGCTGTCAAGAAGCAAATCGATTTAGACAGCGAAACAAGGCAAAATATCACCAATATAAGGAAGATGGAAGAACAGAAAGCCTTAGGTAACACCAATATCAATTCCCTTCTAAGCCAGGAGTTTTATTTTGTACGTTCTCAGGGGATCTGGAGGAGTTCAAGAAGCGCATGTCGAACAAATTGCGAAGCAAAGTAACCGAACGGAAAGCCATCAAAGCGGCCCCTACACAACAGGCGAAACCGCCCCAAGAAGTGCCCAAAACGAGGCGATCGGCCACCGTCGAAATAGACTTCACCCCCAGGCAGCTGCCCACCCCCTGCCGGGAGTCCAAGCTGGAGGAGGAGCACGAGTTCCTGGCGCAGCAGGCGAAGGCGCGCCGCTCGGTGGGCTTCGTCAGCGAGGACATCAGGCCGGAGGAGCGGAATCCGCAGTTCGTCAAGGCCAAAGGGGACGAGTTCATGCGCAACAAGAACTACTTGGGCGCCATCAGCGCCTACAGCTACGGCATACGGCTGAGCAAGAACTTCGTGGACTTGTACGTGGCGCGGTCGGAGGCGCAGCTGGCGCAGGGGAACTGCTGGAGGGCGGCGGAGGACTGCAGCAGGGCCTTGGAGCTGTTGCAGCCGATCTGCGAGGCCAATTTGTACGAGCGGGCCACGTGCATCGGTCGAAGGGGCGAGGCACTGTGCAGGCTCGGCATGAGGAAGGAGGGTCTCGATGAGCTGAGGTTCTGTTTAAAGCTGCTCGAGCTCGAGCATTACAAGGAGGTGCTTGAAAGAGAGGAGGTGTTGTATGAGGAACAGCTGGAGAAGCAGGCGGAGGAAGAGAGAAAGAAAAAGGAAGCCGAAGAGAGGAAAGCGAAATTGAAGGAAGAGGAAGTGAAGAAGAAGAAAGAGAATGTGATGAAACAAAATAGTGATGTAAAAGTTGTTAATAGTACTAGTGAAGAAGGTAATAAAATAAAGATAAGGGAACTGGATGTTGAAAAAAAGATAGAGGAATTAGATGATGAAAAAAGTAGTGGAATAAACAAAGGAGGAATTAACAAGTGCGATGTAATGTATGGTGAAAAGAATGATATCACGAAACTGGGAGAAAATAGTGAATCTAGTGAGATAGAAATTAATGGAGGTTCAAATGTGGACTTGGTAAATGATGAATGTACTCCAAGTAGCGATGAAAAAAATTATGAAGATGAGAAGGAAATAACGGATCCTGAAGAAAATAATAAAGAAAAAAGCGCTTGTAGTATTTTGTGTAGCACTGAGAGTCTGCATGAAGATAGAAATAATAAAATACTGCAAAATAATTAGGAATATAATCTCAAAAATTGTACAGGGTGAGTCGAAAAAGGTCCAAAATTCAAGTATGTTATTATTTGACTTGATGAGTTCTTATAACTTTATTTTACAACTACAAGTTCAGTGTCTATTCTTCTCGCCCTGTATAATTGACATAATTTCCATGTTATTTATTAAACGAAGTTTTTTTAATAACATTAATTATATAATTTAATAGTACTGCAAAAGTTTATATTGATTCGTATTTTTAATTATACTTTTTAACAGAGGTCACGTTAATCGCTATGTATAAACCAACTTGAAGTAGTCAGAAGTCAGAACAGAACAAATTTACTCCTTTAGAACAATGATACAAGTAAATTGCAGCAAACTTTTATTTTTGAAAAATACCGGCACAGTTGTTTAATGTTCATATCTTACTGTTAGCGATTAGCAAACCGTTATCTGGTACATTATATGATCTTGTACCTAACTTTTATGTTTTGATTATATTACAGCCCAGCATGTAATGCTAGGCACTAAAAAATTGTTTACAGACTCATTTGAGTTGTTCCTCTCCACGGAAATCTTTAGTAAAAGGCGAAAGATTTATTCGCTGCTGAAGAGAAACCAGAGTAAAGATAACCTGTGTTCGCTACCTATACGTAACAATTCCATACGCCTTCAAGTGAGACGCGTAAGTTTCGCCATCACGCGGTCAAATACGCTTTTACTACGTTTCACAATTTCACACCAGCTGGCGCTAGGATTTCCACGTTGCTAAATAATGATGTAGGCACAGGCCGCCAAATGGAAGAATTTTTTGACAATTGAATTGTCTGACATGACATGTGACATATGAATTGATGCTTACTTCCGAACAATCGTCAATTCAACGCGTGTCAAAATGGCGAAAAAGAAAGCAGATGAAAAAAGTAATTCAAACGACGATGATAGTAAAAATGAAAACGATTACTCTTCGAATGACGAAGAACCGAACTTCAGCGATTCCGATGATTATGTCGACGACATTTCGGACGAAGGTATTTTAGAAAAATTATTACTTCCACCATCAACATGTGAATTTTTGTCGGCTCATTTTAACGATGATTCAAACACATACGGGAGTTTCTAACTTATATAATCTATTCATAATTGTATAAAAATATTGAAAATGTATTGCTACATGTAATTTCTTATCAATTTTTTTCCATATGTGATAGATTTGGGAAGGTTATGGTACAGGTATTTTTGTAGGTTATGCAAGGATTTTATCGGTTAATTTATCAAATATTGGATTTTTATTTTTTTAATAATCGTATCGAAAACATCGAATTTGTGTTTCATGCAGTTTCTCATAGTGTTTGTTTAATTTTTAGAGCTTTTGGGTGATATCCTGAAGACGAAACCCAAGGAAACCGACGGTGTCGAGAGCGTCATAGTCGTAGATGGCGTACCCCAAGTAGGCCCCAACAGAATAGAAAAGCTAAAGTCTGTTATAAACAAAATCTTCGCCAAAATCGGTACGATAGTAAGCGAGTACTATCCCGTCAACCAAGATGGCCACACGAAGGGCTTCATTTTCATCGAATACCAAACGCCTGCGCACGCCGCCGAAGCCGTCAAACTCAACAACTTCAAGCTCGACAAGCAGCACACCTTCCAGGTGAACCTGTTCACCGATTTCAACAAGTACGATAAGATACCGGACAAATGGGAGCCGCCGGAGCCCCAACCCTACGAGGGACAGAACGATTTGCATTACTATTTATTGGATTCCGATGCGTTTGATCAATTCGCCGTGGTATCCGGTTTGGGACAATTCGTCCAGATTTGGCAGCACTCCCAACCGGATCCCACCGTTGTAGAGGATAGACATGTGAGTTACTTTCGAATAACTTTCGATGCATCGGTACTAACGTAAATATTCTTTCATTAGAGCTGGACTCAATCGTACATTAAATGGTCTCCATTGGGTACGTTTTTGGCAACGTTTCACAAGCTGGGTATAGCGCTTTGGGCTGGTCCTAAATTCGCCCAGTACAGAAAGTTCGCTCACGCCAACGTCCAATTCATCGATTTCTCGCCGTGCGAAAAGTATCTGGTTACTTATTCGCCTCAAGGTGATCCGGATCATCAGAAGATTATGATTTGGGACATTAGGTAAGCATAACCCTGTACGATATGTATACAGATATGAGTTTGCTATGAATGCAACAAAAACAACTTCCATTAATCTCATATAAAGGAAGAAGTATAATGATTTTTTGGGATTACAAGCGACACCATAATTTTACAGTAATCTATAATCATCATTTGCTAAAATACTTTAATTAGTTTTTTTTCAATTTAGTACAGCCTGTCGGTTAATATAAACTGATGTTTTCACACCTTTTTCTTTAATTAGATCCCAATTCTCACAACCTTGGTAGCATCCCTCGTATATCATTATACACATTTGGAAATTGGAGGTATCTTCCTCTTGATAACACACTTTTCAACGTACTGTAACATTTGTAAGCCCTAAGCGAGTAATTAATTCGCATTTTATATAATTCCAGGACCGGATTGGAGAAGAGAACGTTCCAGCCGGAAGGTCCGACCGCTTGGCCGATCTTCCGTTGGTCGCAAGACGACAAGTATTTCGCCCGGATCGGCTCCAACAACGACGCCCTGCAGGTCTACGAAACTCCATCGTTCGGTTTGCTCGACAAGAAATCGATCAAAATCAGCGGAATCAAAGACTTCAATTGGTCGCCGACCGACAACGTCATCGCCTATTGGGTGGCCGAAGACAAAGACGTGCCGGCCAGCGTGACCCTGTTGGAATTGCCCAATCGAAACGAAGTCAGAAAGAAGAATTTGTTTAACGTGGCCGATTGTAAAATCCACTGGCAGAAATCGGGTGATTTCTTGTGCGTGAAAGTAGATAGGTGCGTTTGTTTGTAGATTTTTCGATTAATCTTATTTATGTTGATAATGTGGAGCTGGCGAGTTACAAATTTTTTGTCGTATTTTGTTTAGGTACTCTAAAGTTCGTAAAGAGAAAAACGAAACCAAATACTCTGGTATGTACTGTAATTTCGAAATATTCCACATGAGGGAGAAGCAAATACCCGTGGACAGCGTGGAATGCAAGGAGCCCATACAAGCTTTCGCTTGGGAACCGATCGGTTCAAAATTCGCGATGATACACGGCGAATCGCCCAACATCAACGTCAGGTACACTTGTTTCTTCTTATCGTTTTAATCAGGTTAATATGTGACCGTTTTGCAGTTTCTACGAGGTGAGAGTAGGACAGGCGCCCATAATTCTAAAGAAATTCGACAAGAAGGCGTGCAATCACCTGTTTTGGGCGCCCAGCGGTCAATTCATCGTGCTGGCCGGTCTCGGTTCCAACGGAGGAGGTTCACTAGAATTCGTCGATACGCACGAATTTCTCATTATGAATACCACCGATCACTTCCAGATGTCCGACGTCGAATGGGATCCGAGCGGCAGATACGTTATGACTGGAGTGTCATTTTGGAAAACCAAAGTCGATACTGGTTAGTAAACGTTTGATATAATTTGTTGTATTCAATGTTTTATAGGGAATTTAGTGGGTATTATTGCAAGAAAATTCCTGACTTATTGCTGTTGCAAGTTAAAAATTACAATTGCAATAGTTAGTCACTCAGGATACATAATTATTGAGCTTGGTTTGTTTTTGGAAAATAAGAGTTTGTTCGTTCTTCAATACGTTGCTCATTACATTTTATTTCACTTATAAAATGCGTGGACCGACAAAAGTATCCGGAATATCTGATTTAAATTACTTGCACTTATTATTTTTAACTATATCAAGTTTCTGCATGTAGTTCTTAGTTAGCATGCAAAAAGAGAGATTCCTCAATCAGTTTGGTTGTAGCAGCTGATTGAATCAGTTCATCTCAGTAGTACTCTGCGAATTTTGAAGTACTCAAGTCTCATATTTTGGGTTTTAAATGGAATTTCGTGAATGGTACTTCTTTGTCAGCGTGTAAAAATTCGATTGCCGTCCTTATTGGAAACTGCAGCTTGAATGTACGAATTTTTTTCTAGGTTATTGGATTTGGTCGTTCCAAGGTAAGATCCTGAAGCGCATCAACATGGAGAAATTCGCTCAGTTCCTTTGGCGTCCGAGACCTTCCACTCTTCTCACCGATGAGAAACAGAAGGAGATCAAGAAGAACCTGAAGAAGTATTATCCGCAATTCGAGAGCAAAGATCGCATGCGACAGTCGAAGGCTTCCAAGGAATTGATCGAAAAACGGGCCGCCCTCATGGAGAAGTTCGCCGTTTACAGGGATTCCCGTATTCAGGAGTACATGGACAGCAAGGCTAGACGTTTGCAACTTAGAAACAGTAAGTTTGTTTGTTCACCTAATGATGTATATGCGCAGAATCGTTTCTTATCATTTGACGTACCGTACCTATAATTTCATGCCAATCATAATAGATGGCGCCGTGGTAAATTGGTTACCGCTCGCCGCTGTTCTCGCAGCGATAGGAGTTATAGGCGGCTGTGATATTGGGGTAGAGCAAGATCATACTTCACAGGATCATTTCTGTAGTATATCTTCACATACTCTCTACTCAATTGTAGAGTTGTCACAACCATGATGACGAGTTAGAGTTTCGTGTCTTGAGCGTGAGGCGAACATTTTACGAGACCGTTTTTGGATTCGTGAAATTGTTGACGATGATCGTTCACTCGCTGATTTATCGGCGTGTTACGGACACGAAACAGTCCGAGTGGTTCTTTTTGTCAATGAAAACATAAATACATATTCCAATATACTCAAATTCAGCTTAGTTGAATACACCACGTGTTTTTTCGCGCACAACATTATAAAAGAGGCTGGGCTCAGCCGATGTTTTCGATGCAAATAGCAAATAATGAATTACAAATAAACCCCGACTCGACCTTCGCTGTTATCGGGTATACTGTGGATGGTTCGCAGGTCATACTTTTGGGGTAAAACCACGCCTATCTCTTTAGTTTCGTCTGTGCGCATTTTTACAGCTGTATTCAACTGAGCTGAATTTGAGTATACTATTTATATTTTAAGTTTTTTTTATTTTGATCTCTTATAAATTATTTTATACGAACATTCTCCTAAGGAGGAATTGTATGTATGTCAAAGATATTGTAAACCTGATACCCATTTGTTTGTTTTTTTGAAATAATCGATAAACAATGAACGAAAATTAAAACATATAATTCTGTTTTAGATGTCGATACTGATGAGTTAGATGCTGATTCGGACAACGTTGAAGAGGAAATAGTTGAATTCTTTGTAAAGGAAGAAATCACGGTGGTCGATTAGTTCATTTGTGAGTAAATGGTGTTTCGCCCTTTGTACATTAACGTCGAAAATTACAACTCAGTACGTATAAAGGGCGTTTTTATTGAAAGTGAATAAGAGACTGTATTTTGTTTGAATTACACTTTTCTCGTTGAATTGTTACGATAATATCGAGGTTTTATATTTTTGACACGCCGCTTTGCCATCTCTTCTATAATATGTACGTTGTTATCAAACTCCTTCTGGTTAGACAAATAAAATATTTCATAATGAATGTAAATTTTTTAGAATCTTTCTACAATACCCCTTGTTATCTCGTTTAGTACTTATAGTTCTGGACCACTTTTAACTATAGCTATAACTACTTCGTTTATAAAATATTTTATTGACCCTGTATATTATCAACCACCCTGTATATTATCAACAGCTATCTAGAAAAATAAGGATTTTACCTAAACCTAAAATTATTACAAATGAGTGTGATTTATTTTACATTCCTAATTACAGAATAATATTTGATTGGCTCTGATTAATTAATAAAATGATTAAAGAAGCGACTTTAGTCATATTTGATTGAATTGACAATGGTCTGTCCTTTTTAGGTCACTTTTGAAAGGTATTTGGGCAAAATTTGTTCGGAAACTTTTTTTATGAAATTTTGAGTTATATTTAAATTGAATCGTGTAATTGAAATGTAAAACTTGTTACTAGAAATTAAAAAAAAAAACCCAAAATCATGTGAAAATAGGTGTAACAATTTATAATTCAACAGTAAATTCGTTTCTCGTTACATACGTTAAAAACGTATTGAATCAGAATGATTAACAGGTTAATTTTTCTCTTGGTCTTCTTGGTGTTGTACATACTTTCCAGTTGCGAGCACTGCCAATGTTTGTTGTCCCTCATAACGGTAAGTACTTATTAAAGCAGTACCCCCTTTCCCTAAACACTTTTCTCGTTTACTTTAAACTTTAAGATTTACCGTCATGGAGCAAGATCTCCCATCCGTTTGTACAAAAACGACCCCTACATCAACATGTCCAAAGAATTATGGCCGGAGGGCTTAGGCCAGTTGACGAATGTAAGTCAAAGTATCGCAATTCATTTCCAATATACAGGGGTTAATTGGAATCCAACAGCTTGGAAAAATGCAGCAATACCAACTGGGCCAATGGCTACGCAGTAACTACAAACACTTCATTCCGGAAAACTACGACAGATCGTTCATCCAAGTGCATTCGTCGAACAAAGACCGCTGCCTGATGTCCGCAGCGACCAATTTAGCCGGGTTATTTCCCCCGAAGCGGGACCAAATCTGGAACAAAAAGCTGCAATGGCAGCCCGCCCCCATTCACACCCTGCCCGAGTCCCAGGACGCGATCTTGGCCATCGGCAAACCCTGCCCCCGGTTCGCGAAACTCCTGGAGGATTTCATGCGGAATTTCCCCTTGCACCAGAATTTCCTGCACGAAACGCAACACATGCAGGAGTACATTGAGAAGAACGTGGGCGCCGAGATGAGCCTGGATGATTTGAAGTCATTCCACGACACGCTGTTCGTGGAGAGAAGCATGGGGTTGACGTTGCCCAAGTGGACCCACAAGGTGTTTCCGGAGCGCACCATACAGTATATAACCTATTCGTTCGTTTTGCCCACTTACACTCCCCAGCTCGCTAGGCTGATGGCCGGTAAATGAGATGTTGTTTTCACAGTAAAGATATATCACAAAATGGGTATTTAGGGACATTTGCTTTGCTGTATTTTGGTTTTTTTGACATATTTGACTCTTAAGGAGCTTAAGAGGGTATCCTTGGTCAATTTTTCTAGATAGATAACCTCTCGCTATGGTCGTACATGGGTATGGTATGGGTGCAACTGATGCAGCGATAATATTTACAATTGGCTCTGTTTTATGGTGAATTAGAATACACTAAACTGTTCATATGTCCCCAAAGATAATCTCTAGTCTAGTCTAGAGGTCTAGTCTAGTCTAGTCTAGTCTCTAGTCTAGAGGTGTTAGGTCTAGCGTTTTCAGTGGCAAGGGAACATGACCTTCTCTTCCACTACTAGAATAACTTGTAGTAGACAAATAAAGAAATATTTACTGCTCATAATTCTTTAAGTATTGACTTTAGGACAAAATAAGTATATAAGGTATTTCAGACTTTAAATTGACCATACAAGGAATACCCTCCTAAGCTAAGTAGTCCATTCAGTCACGGGACAACCTGTATTTTTTATTGCATATAAACATTTTTATAAATGTCCTGCTTTCTACATTTTTAAGGTCCCCTAATTAATAAAATTACGGATTTCTTTGAAAACGTACTAGCCGATCCGGCGAATAATCCCAAGTATCTGATGCTATCAGCGCACGACAAGACCATGATCTATTTGTTGAACGCACTGGAAATATACGATAATGTCTGGGTCGAATACGCTTCCGCCATCAATTTTGAATTATACAGCTGTCGGGAGAAGACGTTCATTAACGTTAAATTTAAGAATAGCACCGGCCATATTAGTTTGACTATAAAACATTGCGAGAACGATTGCGAATTCGAGCGATTCAAGAAAATTACGACGCACTTGCGGATCAACCCGCAAGCTTGGAGCAACGAATGCCACAATGGCTGAGAGAAGTTATTAAAATAAATTGTTATGAAAATAAAGCTTTTGCACAACACAGCGTTTTGAATTTAATAGTAAAAAATCAAAGAAATAGTTAGCGAAATTTTCGAATTTACATGTATACCAACCTAAAACAATGAAATAAAATGCGGATTCTAGTACACAAAGATTGTGAATCTATTACACTTTTGTTTTATTTATATGTATATGAATAAAGCTTTCATGAGTGAACTTCTTATTTCTAAAAATTAATTTCAAATTAGAAATCTTAAATAGTACCTGACTCTCATTATAAAAACTTCTCATTAATTTAAATTTATTCTTTGATTGTCATAATTGTCAATACTGTCATCGTGCTGTCAATGTCACTAGCAGGGCTGCCATTTTTCGTCCTTTCTGTTTCTGTCAAAGTATCAGGTTGGTTGGTTGGAATTTTTATCTCCTTTTTTCTATTAACAATATAGACCATCCTATATTTTAATACAAATTTTATTAAACAACAAGGTAATAATAATCGTTACTAATTCTAATTTTTTTCTTTTAGACTCGATTTACAAAAATGTCGGATGTCGAAGTGTAAGTACAACTTAACCTAAAAATATGTCGGAAACATTGTGTATTCGATATGTATAATGGCATGTTCTCCTGAAAATACGTTTCTTAAAAGCCATTTACATACGTTTATGCTAATTAAACAAATTTCGTTCTTGCTCCTTTTAAAATTCGCTAAAAAATTCGTTTGTAATCTTCCAGTGATGATGCACCCCCAGTTGCACCCGTGGCTACCGGAGGTCCGATGGACGTCAACCAAGCCTTGCAAGACGTCCTTAAAACGGCCCTCATCCACGACGGAGTAGTCCACGGTCTGCACGAGGCTGCTAAAGCTTTGGACAAACGACAAGCCGTACTGTGCGTACTCGCCGAAAATTGCGACGAACCCTTGTACAAAAAACTAGTGTCAGCTTTGTGTTCTGAGCACCAGATCCCCCTTATCAAAGTCGACAATAACAAGAAATTAGGCGAGTGGTCGGGGCTGTGTAAAATCGACAACACTGGCAAGGCTCGTAAAGTTGTTGGATGTTCGTGCGTTGTTATTAGGGTAAGTGTTAAAACAAATCAACCATTTTTTATTTACCATTACATTCATGTTTAAATTGAACAAACAGAAAAGCTTTTATTGAAAGAGCAATAATGAATAACTAGTAGATTTTTTGTGATGAATTTTTGGCGGCTCCCTCTTCTGAGGTTACCCAAATAAATAATATTGTGCTGATATTCGCCAACTGATTGTTTTAAAATATTTTTGTCTATACAATACTGAGGTAAAATAGATATTTATTTTTTATACGTTTTTTTAGGATTATGGAGAGGAATCGCCTGCATTAGATGTTCTTAAAGATTACCTTAAGAATGATAAATAATTTTTTTAACAATAAAACGTAAAAGTTAAAAAAAAAGAAAGTTTTATTGCCTAATTTCAAGTCCGATTAAAATTTCCAATAATGGTAAATTTATTCAAATGAGTGAAACTGCTATTAAAAAAAATGAAAATACATGTACACAATAATATAAAAATTATTTATCCCGCCTAAGAGTTTACGGAGGAATTGTTCGTTGAACAATCTGTACTGTGTTCTTTCCAATGATCCACTTGACACTGTCTACCGCAGTACCAAACTTGATGGCAACGAGAACAACGTTGTATCGCCTCCTTACCGCAAGAGGCGCATTTTGCATCTTGTTTAGCTTCGAGTTTCTCCAGCAGTTCCGTATTGTAGGCCTCACATAATCTGAAATGTCAAATTTAAAAGCAATCGAAGAAATACTTCACCTATATCTATTATTGAGGAAAGAGGAAGGGGGTAGTTCCCATTTCCCAAAAATTAACGCTACCCAACTTCTTACTAGTAAGAACATTTCTATTCCCTATAAGAATTGGAAAAAATAAAATCCCGTACTTTCCAGCCAGTTCGTGCAAAGTTTCTCTATCCGTTGGAAAGACATGCGGCAATTGCTTCTTAGCTAGTTTTTTCCATCTCCCTTCGGTTTGCTTCAGTATGGACTCCTTGATGTCCAGGACGGTTTCGATGAGCAGAGGCTTGGGAGCCGAGGACGGATTTTCCATAACGCTCAATCGGCACAGCCAGTGCTTGAGCTCTATGAGAGGCGAGAGCTGGTCCAGGAGCGTAGGGGTCATCATGGACGTTAATTTCATTAATTGAGCTCGATGTCTGTCGGTGAACGAGTAGTACTTGGGACATTCCGGGTCTAATATAAGTTGGCGTATCGTCAACCATACCTTCGAATAAATTAGGTGGTTTTTAATTATCATTAATTTTAGTCGCCATATCTTACTTGCGCTTCTTGTTGGCCCAATTGCTCCCTGTCCCAATCCCTCCATTTGCCGCCGGAGTAAATTTTATCGCCTCTAATCCAAGGCGCCTTCGTCAAAATCTCCGTAAACAGAATAGGAACGTCGTAGTCCCCAAAAATCTTCGACTTCACCCCGACCGGCAGGCTGTCCAAGTTCTCGGATATGTACCTCACCAACGTCAATGATTTCATCCCGATTTCGAACACCAAATTGTTCTTCTGCCGGCTGATCTCCTTCTCGGACTTCTCGTGCAACTCCTGCTCCTTGTACTCGACGACCAGCAGCTGGGAGACGTTGCTGCAGGAGTACTCGAGCAAATCGGAGGCGGCGTCGTCGAGAGCCTCGCAGCAATTCGGGTGGAAGAGGACGAGCTCCAAGAGGGAGACGCACACGGCCTCGTGGTACATGATTGAGTAGGCGACGATGGTGGTCTCCGGCTGGGGTTCGAGCTTCATCAGTTGCGGCAGGATTTTCTGCTTCCAGATGCTGATCAGGATAGCTTCGTGGACCAGAATTGGAACCTGGAGGATAACTTTTGAATAAATGGATTTGAGAGAAGAGTCACTATTACACCTGTTTGCTCTTTGTGGATTCTTAGAGTTTTAATTTGGATTGATAAAAAGGACTTACTTTACCGAAACAAACTAGGGTTTCTTTCACGCGTTCCTCTTTCAAAGCCGAAGCTTCGACGAGGGCCTCTTGGTTCAGCTTCTGCATCCTCTGGTGCCATTCTATCCATCTTAAAAACAAAGCGCTTTAGTAGGGGTACTACCATTTTACTCATTATAACATATTACTGTGGTGAGCCTAAACATTCCATGTTCTGCGCCTTCATTGTATCTACGTACATTTCTATTTCATTTGGTAATAATACGTACTCCATCTTCGCGATAAAAGTTGGATATTGATCAAACTTTTTCGAATTGTTTGTTGACAAGTTATTGATGATTAATGAAATTGACAAGAATAAGGAATATTTGATTTTTTAATTAATTAAACTTTATAATTTGTTAATTTTTAAAATATATATTATTGACTGTTTACTAACATTGTAAAAGACAATAACGAAATATGGCCTGTGCTTTTGTAGGCACCCAGACAGTTGACGTAATCGCCACCACTGTGAATGCGCCTTACAGAATTACTGTCAAATGTCAAGTTAAATTTAAAAATCAAAACTTAACCTACAAAAAATTTCAGAAAAACATCTCAGAAACTCCAGTGAAAATGGAAGAAAATAAAGAATCACAAGAAAGCGATACTCAAAACTTACCAACGTTATTCAAAGAAGGATTAGACAACTACAATAACATCATTAACAGTGATCAGCCCATGAATAGCAATGAATTGCAGGTATTAACCCTTAAATAGAGCAAATTAATTTTCCCCTTACACCCACGGTTTTAGACTAAAATAAAGCGCACGATGAAGACCTTCGAACAGGCCACCAGATTAGTCTCCATATCAGATTTGTTCAGCTCAAATGAAGGCATCGAGGAGGTGTCAACCAATAACCTTCAGTATTTTCTTTTGCCAGCACTGTTGGGTTCGTTGTCTCTAAAATTAACTACGGGGGAACGAAAGGATATAGTCGATGTGGCCGAAATTTATTTTAAAGATTTTTTGAAGAGATGCAATGAGTATGGTATCAGTAATTATCAATTCAAAGAGAAGGATAAAAGTATCGACGAAGCAAGAAACAAAACTGAATTAGAGAAGCTAGAAACATCGGTTAATACCAGAGCTAATAAAATACAAAGGTAACACAAACAAGGGTCATACATGTTATATTTTCAATGCAATAATTTATAAATTTATCTATTCAAATGTAATCTTGGCATAGCTTCTAATAGATATACAATTTAGATTCAAAGAACAAAGGGAACTGAAAGCAAACTTGGAAGATTTGAAGAAAAATATCGAAAACGAACACGTAGACGAAGAAATAAAACGAAAGTATTTTCTGACAATGATAAAATTATTCATTTACGAATCCATCGATGAACTGAATAGCATAGACATGGAAAAGCCTATTCTGGAGCACATGGCTAGTATGACGAAGGAGGAAAAAGCCCAACCTAAAAGACCTCCTCCTCCTCCTTTGAAACCCATTATTATTACAAAAGATCAAATACAAAAAACTGTATTCGGTGCCGGGTATCCATCATTACCTGTAATGACTGTAAGCATATTGAAACCCTCACACCCCAGCAATTTGTATAATATAATTATAATCTTCTAGGTGCAAGAATTTTATGAAAAAAGAGTCGAAGACGGAATATTTCCCGATCCAAACAAGCCAAAAAAAGCTCCGTCTACTCTACAAGAAGCAGCTTTGGCGGGCGTATCGCTGTACGAAGAGGACAAAGAAGAAGAACACAAAGATAAGCTCATTGATGACGACGACGACGAGAACATCGCAAGGATGAGAGCTAAGGACGAGTACAAGGACGACCACAGAAGGGGATGGGGTAACAGGATGAACAGGAGTTAGATTTCAATGCATATTACGAATAAAAATTGATCCTCATCGAATTTTTCTACGTTTTCTAATTTATTATTATATTTATTCTCTTTGTGTTGTGGCGAATACTTTGCGGCTAATCGCTGCGTTCTTTGTGATGAGATGTTTGTTTCATTGACAATTTATCTCTTCTTACTATTTTGAAATTAATTACATAATTAACAATTATATTTACTAATATATTTTGTTCTTCGTCCTTAATTATTTCTACAGGTGTGTTATGTATTTATTAACAGTAAAACTTCGAACCTAAAATAGTAATAACAATACCGCCTGTAGAATTTTGTGATGGGATCATTTTTATGCTAATAAATAAATAAAGTATTGGAACATTTTTATTCTGCGCATTATAATTAAAATAGTAATTCACAAGCCAAATGTGTAGAAGACATATGTATTAACAAAAGTTATGTATGATTGAGTTGCTAGTGAATCGAAAATTACGTTCTTCTAAAACACTATCTGCTCATCGAATTGCACCGTATGCCTTCTTTTATTCCGTTCGTATCTGTTTATTCTGTTAACAGGTAGCAATATTATTCCACTAGAGAATATAACGGCTCCTGCTAGCATAAAACAATACCTACAAAATTACTCATTTCTATTTGCTAAATATGGTAAAATTTTTCCAATCTAGCTTTACCTGTACGTTCCATAAGCAGCCACCAGATTAGCCGACAACGGTACTCCCACGAAAACCGCGACGCCGTAGAACAGGATGCTAATTCCGAAGCTGTTGGTCAAATTCTCCAATCCGACAATATCAACCAACAACACCGTACGCAACGTACTGAAGCTGGCTTAAACTAACTCAATGAAAAACTAGCGCGCTTCGCCGGCGAGAAATACCAACCTACACAGAAGCCGAACGTTACCACCATCACGACGTAGGAGATCAAGGCGCGCGCGTACGCCGCCGCCAGCACGGCGAAGCCGCCCAGCAAAAGCGTGAACCAAGTCAGCACCATCGCGTCGATCTTGGGCGATGTGGACATCGTTCCGCAGAATATTCTCCCTGCCATGTTCGCTACGCCCAGCGCTGTCAGGAGTTGCGTAGGCCAGGGCTCTTTGAATTTCAATTCGCGTGCTGCAATATTTTTTGAATCACTACATGAAGCGGTTCCAGCTTGATATCTCTATAGTCATCTAGCCGCTAACATTTGTAAGCTGCTTATATTTCATTTACCTCTTTCTACTATAAAGATGAAGGGTATATAGAGGCCCATCATGGTGAGAAATCCGCTGAGCGTGATCAGGCAGAAAGCTATAGACTTGAAGAGTTTGAAGTCAAACATGGTTACCAATACTCTTAGTATTGACTCCGGGCAGCATTTGCATTTATTTTGCTCTGTAATATCTTTGTACGAAATCACTCTGGAAACAGACATGTGATAGCTCTGTAAAAATGACGGTTCAGTCAATAAAATTCTTGTGAATACTTATTAACTTAAGGAACTTACGATATTCCTTATTAGTCTCGATGCCGGTTGGGAAAATTGTACGGGAATGGTTATCCTCGATCTTCCGTAATTGTACTCCGGCAACGTGGCTAAGGAGCCTTGGAACAGAATGTCGTCTCGATAGAGGGGTCTATTTATGTGTTCTACCGTGCCGAATATGTTCCTCTTGCGGCAGCATTTGCTTCTACACCTAGTGGATGCATACGGAGGTGTGACTTTGCATCCTATTCTGAGTAGAAAAGTTCACAAGGCATTACACGCTTACATACGAATTTAATTGTGTTTATGTTTGATCACCGAATTACAGTTGGTGGAGTAATTCGTGTGAATTTGGGTGAAATTGAATGGTATTCGTTGTGTCCAACTTACTTTCGGTTTTGGTTGTTTCGGCAAATCCTGAAGCACGATATAAATATGCAGGTCGGGTGCTGATGGGAGTCCAGCGATTCATCGTCCCTGTAAGCAGAACCGTCATCGTCAGCCGATAATTCTCTGAACATACTTTCAGATCTGCTGGTTTCTGGTAGAATGGCTGCAAAAGAGAATCAATTCAAAGATTGGTCTTGGTTAAATCGAAGAGAATATCGATAAAAAAGATTCATAACAAGAACCTCAACTTCATTTTGAGCCGATGTAATGTAGCTAAAAATGAGTATTCTACAAAAGAATATGAGGCAAAATTTGGCCATTCATACCACATTTTTTACACGGGTTATACCCCTTAAAATGTTTTCTATCTTGCTTATAGCACCTTTGTAAGCTGAATTCTAAAACTAACAAACCGGACTCATCCTGGCCAGAACATCGTCCCTTTAAAATTCAGACATAATACATCCATAAAGCTTGCTACTTTTAGCATCTGAATAATTTTTTACCTAGGAATTTGAACGGCTCGTCCGGTTTCCTGGCGTGAGATTCCAAATTAGCAGCGTAATCGGCAATAGTGGGATAAACGGCATTATGGTAGTTATCGAATATCCTTTTAATTCCCATGCCCGACTCGTTAGGTTCCAGAAGGTAAGAGTTCGAATCGTCTGTCTTGAGCTGAAAAGGCGTCTGTTCCAGCAGCTTTGTAGGAGCGAGCGGTTTGTAAGCTATAATAAGCAACGTTAAGAAGAGAAACGATGCTGAAAATAACGAATTTTAGTATTCAAATGGTGCAGCAACGATTAAACTTAACCAGCGATTATCCTGAATTTCCATCTCCAATCCAGTATTTTGGGCTCGAAGACGGTGAAGAGCGTGGGCAGCACCATCAGCCCTACGGAGGAGCCGGTCACGGAAATCGACGTGGCTAGTGCTCGGTACCTTTCGAAGTAGAAACCCACGATCAACAAAGCCGACGTGTAGATGAAATTGAAAGCCACTCCCATGCAACCGCCGATGAGGATGGTGAATATGAAAAAATCCTCCGAGTAGCTCGCGCTGACGAATATTCCCGCCGCTGCCAGGCCTCCCAGCATCCCCACGAAGCGAAACCCGTACCGGTTGCACAGTGCGCATGATATAGGCCCTGGAACCCAAAACAGTTCTTTCGTGATCGACTAAAACTCGGAATTTTAGAATACCGGTCACGTAATAGAACCCGTCCAGATAGGAGCTGATCACTGCAACGTCCGCTGGATGGACGTGGAACTCTTTGCTGAGCTCGCTCAGGAAGATTCCGAACGTATAACCGATCCCATCGATTAGAAAATAGGCTATAAACGAGACCGCTACAATTACCCAACCGTATCCACCATCCGGCGGGATGACTATGTAATGCTCTAGGTTGTGGAGATCGGCTACAGGAAGATTTACTGATCTATAAAAGAGAAACAAAGGTAAGTACAGGGAAACCTACACAAAGTGTGATGTTGTTCATATTATCTTAAATAGATTTTTGCCTACCTGGTGTCTCTTCTGATAGCTGTACGCGATTTGGATTTGGGCAGGCGGCCCAATTGCGATACGGGTATGGATCTGTTCGAGCGCATTCTGGTTAATTTATTTTATGTAAAATTTAATACTTTTCTAAAAATCAACTGGGTCGTGTCAAAGTCAATATGACTTGTGCAATATATTAGCAGGGTATCAATCAATGGATCACCAATCACTTTATTGTCGGCAATTTTTATTTTGACAAAGAGGTTACCTAAAAGAAGGAGATTATAAAATGTAAGGCATGAAAAAAGTGATAAATCGAACTTAATAAACCAAATTCCAAGAATTTAGAGGTTCAAAAAGTACTCAATATGAAAAATAATTCTTTATAGAAAATAAAACGTACAGAAAATGTTTAAAATTCGCGTAAAAAATATTACCACACAAAAATAATCGTAAAATATATTATTTCTTCATTGATTGCCGGATCTGCATGTGGTAACAAATATTTTCCTGTTCGTACAAGTAAATAAAACGATTCGACTTTTACGTGGGTATTTGCTTTCCGATGAATGATGGGTTGGAAAGTTTTTAATAAATACTGTAATAAAAATCAATTCCACTTCTCAATCTGTGGAATGACTTCATTCTTACTGACCGTCATTACTTTAAATAGCTCAGTAAAAGTAAACAGTAACCCTATATTTCTCAAATCGACCGGCTCCATTAGCATCCGAATGAAGCTACATATAAAAATACCCATCACATGAATCATAATCGTTAATTTTAACAAAAGGAACAGAGTAGTTCCCAGAACTGTATATAACTCGTTTTTTTATAGTACGTCTGTGTTCTTTCGTTCTAGTTAGTTAGATCTTATTTCCTTGTTTTTTTTTTAATTAGTGTTAATTGCGTTTTCTTATTATTTAATAATTTGCAGTAAACACTCTTATGAAGAGAGCAATGCACTTGCATTAGCTTTGTATGATCTATTATTAGTAACTACTTGCAATTATTGTTATTCCGAGTGGTAAATAAATATTATACTTAATTTAAGGAAGATAAATTGGGGTAGACTTGGAGAGTGAAGCATGAAATTTAGAGCAAAGTAATCTGTAAAAAAACATCTTTCAAAGAATTACAAAATGTATGAAATTTCTCATGATTACGTATAATTCATACTGTCGCAGATATTATGCTAATGCCTACAAAATAAATGGATTGGAATTAAATCGAATTAATTATATTGAATAGGATTATTTCGTCGATACTGAGATTTTCGAGTGCGTTTTGCGTAACAAAATCCTTTGCAGTTACGCTCACACCTTTTACTTGTCAAATCGCGGTATTAACTATTATGTGTTCGGTTTAGTAACGACTCATTCGTTAGATTCAGAGATAATAAAAATGCGCAAAATGAGTTTAAGCAAGACACAGGTGCAGCCGGCATCGCCTGATATTGTGCCGTTTCTTAATGATCTACTGTTTGTGAGGAGAACTTTACTCAAACAGTCTTGCAAAAGTATCGTAAAATTTGAAAATTAAGACAGGTGTATGTATACCAAATTAGTCTCTACTAACATTACTAGGATTATTTTAGGCATGCTAGGTTTTGGTCAGGATTTTGAGATCCGATTAATTTTGGAATGCTGAATTATTCTTGATTCGTCAATGAACTTTGCCAAATTTATTTAAATACTACTTAAATAGTTGGTGTTTATACTAAGAATCATATTTGTTAATTAAAACTGCTTAAGCAGCTAAATATATACTTAGTTTTGGCTACAATTAGTTATATCTAGTCCTTCTAAAAATAAGAAAATCAAAAAAATAAATATTAAGAAAGAATATTTTGCATACCACATCATTAATGCTAACGAGGATATTACTCAATGAAACAGATAAACGTAATAAATAATAAACTGATACATATAAAATATTTACAACTGCATAAAAAACCAATTTATAGCTTCCCCTACTCACTCCAATCATTTTTAAAATAAAGCGGCCTTAATAATAATAATAATAGTAATATCTAATATATTATGTATTTCTCTCTGTCATGCGGCTTATCAGTAATCGCATTCAAATATTAACAATTTCACAAGATACATTCTTTATATGAATGTCGATTCAGAAATTAATAGTTTTACGTTGCATTGTTCGAAGAACGATTGGATAATGACAACGCAGAGCTAACGTTTTTATTGCATAGATAAATATGCACACATACCGGCCATGCTCGTTTGCTGGCACAAGTGCGAATGTGTGAATTACACAATCATCGGCTAAATGATACCGTTGTTCTTGCAACATGCATAAGGATTTTGATCGTTTTTTTTGTTTCGTTTCTCACAGTTAATGCAGAGCTGTTACAAAAATAGTGGTTACACGATTTGGTCAGGTTCTATGCACTTATTCGAAAACTGAATTCGAAAACTAATTGTAGGTAAAGTCAAATGTTAATTACGAGATATAAAGGAAGATAAAGGTGTTGTATTGAACGGAATGGATTTATGCAGGTGTTTAGATGCTATTGTTAGTGAAACAAAAGATTCTTTTATCCGGAAAACGTGAACAAAATTATTTTTTATTGTATAGTAATTTCGATTATTCAAGTGGCGTATTCATGGGCAATATTACAGATTTTCAAATTCATGGGGAATTCCTGACAAAAAATTTACATGAAGCAGCATATTCCTTAATTTTTTTTTAGATTTCTCAGCCCCTTCGTGTACGACATTAACAAGCTTCCTGTCTAGTACGCACATAAAATTCGTTGACGATAAATGTATTGTGGGAATTGATATGAACCTCGGTAAAGAGGAGGTCACAAAAATATCTAATCAAGGCGATCAATTTTCTTCGGATCAAATAAAATTACGCCCCTTGACAGATGGCGAGTCAAATGCGTTTTTTCACTTCTTGATCGTTCTTTTTGTTAGTTACTAAGCGACTTTTAACATTCGATCATCCACACATTTGTTCTTCGTTTACAACAGATTATTTTACTCCTTAACCGACTAAGAATGATATTGTTTTAAGAGAAATTTAGTTTAATAAGATATTTTGTAGTAAAAATACAACACAATAAATACCCTTGTAAACGCTGCATGGTTTTGCTAAATTTTGAATAGAGTATTCTATTAGCATTTTGGAGAATCTTATCACCAAATTGCCAATTACAACTCCATAAATATTGCCCTGTATTTATTTGTATGGTGACGTCGCGCCACTGTTGTTTTATAGTATTGAAATGTCCCCGACCCGGTTTATCGTAAAGGACCTTGTTATTGAATCCCAAACACATTGTGGTATAGTGAACACTCACTCGGCCAAGTTATACTTGACCTAACCCAAAGCAATCAACAAATTTTATTGGTTTTTTCTTTTACGTTTATCGACGGGTTTTCTTTGCTTTTTACCGATCGCAGTCCGCATAGTCCCGTTAATGGGACGTGATTTATTGGTCTAGTTAGCTTACAATGCGCTGATGCTCTTGACTGGTAGGTATTGCTGCAATACGTCCTGTGTATTGTTATCATTTCGTGATAAAGAGTTGTTTTATTTTACAGAATTCCGTCCTTTTGAATTTCTTAATGAAGTAATGGAAGGATGAAATATAGGAACCTTAAGATGAGGAAATACCTTCAAATAATATTGATTTATTGATGAATCCATTCCAGATAGTAATCGGTACATAATATATTTTATGAGGACATTTCCATTTAGAAATGACTGGCGAGCTTTTCGCTATTCTAAGCATAACCACTTGGGTGGTAAATAACAATCGATATTTCATTATCATTCTTATCATTCATGTTTGTGCGGCTACAAAGAAAGTAAACTTGCGTCCGTAAACATCCTTTTATTCCTTTACAAGACTTTGTATTCTCCATAAAATTTCAAAGTTTACCAGTGTTGCCCGGCTTTGCGGAAATCGATTTGCCATTGCAATAAAGCTATTTCTTTGCTGGAATCTGGAACCTAATGGTTTATAAATCTTTGAGTAGTCTTTTTTTATATTGATAATGATATCGTGTTGTATCTCCTGTTTGGCGATAGAATAGCTTGGAAACAAAGAATATAAAAGGAAAATTCAGATCAAATAAAACTGGATTCGACTAACACACATAAATAAAATCATACAAGTAGATACCCAAAAAAATGGTTATTTGTATGAAAAACTCATAAAACAATCCATATAACTTCCTTGATAAACCCAAAAAAGTGACTCAACAATTCCTCATTAATTTATTTTCCCTGCTGGGTCTCTATGAACCCGCACTAGCTAGCTCCTGGGGAATTATCAGATTATCATGGAAACCTCTAACATCGATCAAACTTCAGCTACATTGTCAGTCTGAATCCGACGTAACTTCGAAAATGCCGCTCGACGATTTAAGTAAACTAGTGGACCACAGTGACCCAAGGAACATCCCTTCTACTGAAACTCTTTTATCAAAATACAACATACCGATCACCCATTTCGACTTCGACTACGTCAAGACTTGCAACGATGGCAGAGAGTTGGAGAAGATGTTGCAAATATTGCGATCAGGCGAAGAAGGATATTACCCGGGTATGTAATTAATAATTCCATGCGAGAGCTCGCTTGAAAATGTGTCTTTAGACCTGGCTAAATGCACCGAAGATCGTCTGCGCGTTGTGAAGCCCAAGAGCAAGCATTTAAAGGAACAAGTTCGAGTGCTGAGGAAAAACGAACTAAATAAAGAAGAAGTTAATGAAATCAACAGCGACTTGGAGCATTTCGTGTCTGATGTCAACAAGAAGGACAAGGAACTGGACAGCAGAAAATGCAAGAAAACCTTTTGCGATGTGGAGGTTAGGCGTTGCAAAACGGAAATTGTCGAGGAAAATAACAAAGTCAACGATAAAAGAATAGCAGCGACAGGTTCGAATACTTCTTCATTTTCGTGTATTGTTTGTAAACAGTTTCATAGATTACAGTTCGTGGGATAAATACGACCCGGACACGGAGTTGTTGAAAATGGACATCGAAGACGAGAAGGAGAAAAAGACCGCCTTGGAAGAGAAGGAAAAGAAGGAGAAGGAACTCAAGCAACTCAAGGAGAAGTCTGGGAAAACGAAAGCGAAAAAATCCGTAACTTTCAATCAATTCGCCACTGAAGCAGAAGCAATTTTCCATTCGGAGAGGGAACGGGAGAAAGGGAACGAATTTTTCAGAGCTGGGGATTTCGAGGATGCTCTTCACTGCTACTCCAACAGCATTCGCATGAAAACTTCCGTTAATAACCTCAACAACAGAGCTGTTACTTACCTTAAATTGAAGAAATACGAGGAAGCTCTTAAGGATTGCAACAAGGTAATTCGAACTGCCAATTATACTCTATCGAATCTATTAACTGTAATATTATTTGGAGGTTCTGACGATCGATAAGGAAAACATTAAAGCCAACATCAGGAAGGCGGAAGCTTTGAAAAAGCTCCAAAGGTACGAAGAAGCTATGGATGCCATTGAATTGGCCATACAGAAAGATCCGAACAATCCTGCCTCTCAGGAACTGGCTGATGCTATCAGGAAAAAATGTTGCAGGGAAGTACAAAATACTAGAATGAAGATAATTGAAATTGAAGAGTAATATGTGTATCACAGGATATAATTCTGATTGTATTTCATAATTTTGTTATAAAAGTAACACCTGCAGGTCTGGCGAGAAATATTTCTTTAAATAGAAAGTTATGAAGGTAATAAAAAAGATTTTTGTACGTAAAAGTGTTTTTTAATTTGTAAATTCATGGAAAAATGTAGAGTCAAGAAAAGATCTGCAAAAAATCATAAAAAGGGTTGCAAAAAAAGGTTGCAACAAAATTGAGCAATCAACCCTGAAGCTTTTAAGCTACTTTAAGTATGTAGGGTACAGCGCCCTTAATTTAAAATTAATAGCAAATGTTTAGAAATAAATTTATCACGTAAATAAGGTAACATATGTGTAGTGAAAAATAATCGATGATTAGAAAAGAGGCCAACAACCTTTTATCGGCTTCGAAAATATCCATCAGGCTTCAACCATGTTCTGAATAATCTTAATCACGGAACCATTGGTAACATTATCTTAATGTCTAAATTGGGCAACAAAACGATCTTAAATTAGTCTAAACAAAGATGGTGCATTGACCCTGACCTTTCCTTTTGTTATTTTTTCATTCGTTTGGACTGGTTTTGCAACTGTTAGTTTTTCTGGAGGCACCTTTCTGGTTTGCACTTTAATTTATTTTGGTTTATTTTTAGATGCCACTTGACAATATTTTATTGGCGCATTATTTAAATGTCGTAGTAATTAATTCAAATTTGATAGTAAATGCAAATGGTGAAACTGTTCATTTAATCTCCGTTGGAAAAGGAATCAAGTGGTTATTAATAAATGCAAAAAAACGCAAATAAAATTGTGATCATCTTAAAATTATATTTATATTAGGTTTGTTCCTACAACAGTCAGAAATAGTCAGTGGTCGTCAGGAGTCTGCGCAGTAATAATTTAGGCGTTCCAACAAACTCCACAGACATCTCTGATTCTGACTTGGTTAACAATTTATTGTTCCAACAGTTTAAGGGACTGGTTTTGTGACAGTCAGAAAAATTTGCTGATAGTACAGAGATTTAGAATCCGGCGCAAGCGCATTTTTAATTTGGGTTTAATTTGTATTTCTGAATATAGGTTATGTTGTTTGTTGTTTTTGTTTGATATTTGGTGAATATATGTAATAAATGCAATGACTGTTCCATCAAGAAATCGGAAAGTTGATTACACCATTCAATCATAAACCGCGCATGCGAAATAGAAGAGTCAGAAACTTACTGGTAACAAATCAGTGACTTTTTGTAGGAACAAACCTATTATTTTTTGCATATTTTAGTGCAGGAATTTTTGGGGAATAATGTGTTATATTGGAAAATTTATACAGGACGTATGAGGAATTAAAAATTTTACACATCTTTGATTTTTAAAATTTAGTGTAATGCCAGAGAAGTTACTTTGAAACTTCTTTGTTCAAAAATAAACGGTATACATATATTTTTTTTGATAATCGTATATCAAATAAATTTTCATATGTCCTTAATAAAAAAAAGTATTTTAAAATTAATTGAGATACTTAATCTTCCAGCTGGGAAATTCTAGTCTAACTTCTAAGGTTGAAACCTAAAGTTCCTGTGCTATACTATATTTCATGATAACTTCCTCTCGTAATTATCTAGCAACTCATCAGCATACTCGAGACAATAATCCTAGAAAAAATTATCTATTAACTCTTACAATTTATTTTTCAAATACGAAGTGACTATAATTTATTATACATTTTTTTTGAAGTTGGCAGTAAAAATCAAACATTTGCAAATGTTGCAAAATCCTAATTTTATGTATAGCAATTTAAATGATATTGGCAAAAATTGCAAAATGCCTTGCAATTTTAATAGGACTTACCTACCAAACTTTTAAACCGTAAGGCTTTTATATTACAATCACGCGCTCTTTTTCTGTCACCATTTCCAAGATAAATCGCCATAATCAGAAATACACATTTCATAATTGCCTTGTTTTGTTTTCTTGTCAGTAAATGTTAAATGTTATTTGTTGTACTTTGAACGATTTCTACAATATGTACTGTTGTTGCTTCAGAATCGGTTTCCTTAAAAATTTGCTTTGTCTACTTCTTTTGCATTGTTCGCAGCGGCGCAACCTAAGACAATTATTCCCCATATCCAATCGATACGCTACTTCCTCGTGCTTGTTTATCTAATACTGTTATGTTGTTAGCTTGTAGAATATGTAAAAATTATTATATGGCAAGCGGAGCCGGATAAGCAGCTCTTGGATGAAAAAAAGTATTTTTAAATACGCGATAGAAATGCAAGCAGGAATTTATGTAATTACACCAATTATTCAATATTACCGTTGAAATAATAAAATGTCACAACCACAAAAATGCTTCAAATTTATAAAAAAGCTTAGATATTAGAAGGGATATAATATAAAAAATCGAAAAATTTCTTGGACGATATGAATTTTGAAGCAAAAATAAACTGCTATAAAATTAAATTCAAATAAGTTTTTTTAAAGTAATTCGATACTAATTAATTTTTAAAGGTTATTAAAAAATTCATTACAAATAGCGTATTTCCAAATCACACTTAAGTACTAACTATATTCTAAATTGTATTTCAATTAAAATAAGTAATTAATCATTCAAATACTAGCTGTGCTTTGGAGGCAAACTGGTAGGTTAGGAAAATCGGATGTTTGAAAATTGAGTAATATGTCAATTAGATTTAGAATTTGTTTTGACTTTAATCTTAAATGTTATGTGATGTTGCAAATGTTTAATGAGTTTCCTATAACACTTGCCAATTTTCATTGAGTAAACCATAAATTTTTTATCTAACAAGTTGAATTTACTTACTTGTGTTATTTTTAGAGTAATTTTAATCGCTCTATTTCCATTATTCAACAATATAATTTACTTTACATCGAATTTCTGGCAACTTGTCCTTGTTCCAATAAATCTACTTTATCATAGAGACAAATTAATCAAGTAAAATTGAATTATCCAGTCGACTACTCAATTTAGTGTACAGGAAAACCCTTCTTACTTAGGACAATGTAACACAATCGTAAAAAGAACTTGGGGTTTATATCTGATTCGTGCCCGACATATCAACACCACTTGAATCTTTGTATCATCCCCTCAGGAAATGAATTCTGGGTCACAAAAAAAGCCGTCCCCATTCTTTATCTAACATCGAAGCCAGAAAACCGGGACAAAAAAAAAGGAAGGGAAAGGGAACATAAAGGACGGCCTTTGTTGGAACAACTTGCTAGTACTCCTGCACTAATGATCATTAACGATGATAAGATAGTAATGATACATGTTTTTAGCAATCTCTAATAATGGAAAGCAAAACTTATCTTCCCTATTTATTATCTACAGCAATCTGAAAAAATATATAAATAGATTCGTTGGTGGTTTTGTAAAATACATTTTGTCAGAATGAGGATTATTAAGAGTTCACAAAGTGAAATAAACTTTTACCTAAATTTTATTTTAATTGTTCAAGTTTACCACTGCTATTAACTAATCCTAAGGTAATAGATTTGTAATGGTTTGCCACTGTTCACGACAAAAGTCGTAAAATTTTTCGGGTAGAATTACCTTTTGGAAAATGAATGGAAGTCATGCCATAAATATTTGTCAAAAAGGATTATTGAAATTTAATTTTTATTGGTTAATTTTTAACAACTTTATGATAACAATAATAGTACAGATGACAAACAGTTGAATAATATGAAATACTCTAAAATCTCTATAAGTTTCCTCATTATTTACCTAAGTAAATAAGTAATAAGCTAATTGTTGACTTAATATTTTGCATTAACTGCAGCAAAGTTTTTAATTTTGCCTTCATATCAGTGATAAATATTCTTTATAAGTCGTAATGAATTGCCCAGCCACTTGAACAAATTGCTCGGGTTTCTTAGAACTAGCGACAAATGATCTGCCTCTTGTTATTAAGAAAAACACGTAAAGCTCGCGATGGCTGGCTACCAACAACAGGTAATTAAAAATGTTTTCTTAAATTATTGTAATTTTCTCAGCAAAGTGTAACAAGTTTCGGTGCCAATGCCCTGATGATGCAGCACGTCCGAACGCATTTACGTCGAAATGCAGTGGTGCACTTAGTTTCTTTTTAAAATTAATGGATTTTAGCAAAAAAATCTTCTTCCTTAATTTTTGTGCTCTAGTTTAGCTTGCATCGTTCATTAAGAAGTATTACTACAGCGAATTAGGGTAATGGCTAAGTTTATTGTCTTAAAAAGCAAACTCCTCAGAACCTAATTGCCCGTTCATTAAATATTTTTCTGGTGGAAAATTCTGTCTGTATAACTTTTTAGGAAGAAACAATAAAAGTTGGTTTTACACGCTGGCACTGCTGGTGATGCTTACGTATTATTTATATCGGTGAGTTCTTTTATTGTTTAATTAGCGGTAATTGTTATTTTCCTAGTTATGGAACTATTAATAGAGCATTTCTTTTCCTCATTTTTAATTAATAATTAAGACTAGTGTGTGGAACGGAAGTTAAAAACATCATAAAATGCCCTACGGTTGTTCCAAAAGCTCAAACATTTGCAATTTATTAATGTTCCACTCGATGAAAATACAATCGGAAACGATTAGATTCTTTTTCACTTCGTAAATTTTTATACTTAACATCCAAAAGCAAATCCTCTTTTATTAGAGTCTAAAAATAAGCTGATCCAAGTTACATCAATCTTTTACGTCGTTTTTAAACAAAATCTTGCTCAATTAAAAGCAATTTTTGTACTATCAAATATCACCACGAAATGAAATGTTTTTATGATTTCCTTGTAAATTATTGCAAATAAACCCGTATCAGTTTCATGCACATTAGATAGGCGATTGTAATAAATTTGGCGAAGAAGAATCGTATCATTCGCATGTCGCAATTTCAAATACAAAAATCATCAGTACATAAAAACGCGACCCTCTTTTGAAAATAACATGACGGGGTCGCCAAATAATCTTATGTAACGAAGAAATGAAGAAATTTCATTGATTAAATTAAGTTTTATGTAATAATAATGTAATAAAAATTGTTTACACATTTCGGAACAAAACTTTCAAAATAGTCTTGTGTCATGAAGTAGAAAAAGAAAAATTCTTATAAAGGGGAGTATTTGATAAGTTGATAACTTATGGCTTGTGTAATATAAAACTATAAATAATTCGACAATACAGATTAATTACTGTTGTTCTTATTCATGACAAAATACCTAAGAGTTTGCTGCAGCGCGCAAAATGTGAAGTGCATTTTTAATTTTTATTTTGGCCCGAGACAATGAGGTGGGTTTAACATTCACATGTTTCGAATTTTAATTTAGAACCCACTATTTGTTTCGAATAATATAATATTTTTTAGCAACATTGCGTATGTATTCTTGCATTAATTTACATAATATGTTGGCACTTTTATTAAATAAACGCCCTGATTTATCTATACCAAAACGCCATATGCGTAGTATCAAGCATTCCATGTTTTCTCAGAATTATTTGATTGAACAATTTTTTCTATTCCATTGACTCACGCACTACTATTGGGGTCTCCTGATAATAAATATAATTAATGTTTAGATAGCGTGTTTTCGTGTTTATTTTGCGGGTTATTTGTATGCAGTTAGAATTCAATATAATATTGCGTAATTAATGAAAATATTTGATAATTTCGCACATCACAGGAACTGATGTTGAAAAATAATGTAACAGTAAGAATTAATACATTCTAGTAAATGCTTGTATTGATTAATGATAAAAAACCAAAGATTATGCAGTGAGCATGAATTCATTAGATTGTATATGAAAATTAGAAATACCAAACAGTGATACGCATAAAAGGAATGTTTTATACACTTTAGTAACTTGTTTTAAAGAGAGTGAAATGAAACATCCAGTATAGCTGAATATCAATAAATGGATATATGGATAGTATGGATCAAATGAAAGGAATTAATTCATTATTTCGTACCTATACATTTTGACGTTGAGGTATGTCAATTTATAATTAAAATTTGATGTGTTTCGAGATTTTCTATAAATATGTAACCAAAATAATAAATTTATTCCTTTCATTTGAACCATGATATCCTGATATAAAAATATATCACAGGGAGATGCTAATTTATTAATAATTTACCACAAATAGTTCACTATCTTATACATTTCCTTTCATTTGAAAGTCCTTATAAGGTGCTTTATAATTCGGTATTAAATTTATCGAATAAATAAACTAAAACTAGGGGCAGTTCTACTAGGTACATATTATTTGAAGTAATTCCTATTTGATCCTATTTCCACATAATTAGGCATTTTGCTTATTGTCACAACATCCTCATCCTTTGCCCGGTATCTATTATTTCATGTTTCGAGTTGTTGCGACAACGAGCAGCAACATTAGGAAACGTGACGATAGTCACAACTTAAACAAATTGGAGTTTACACCGATAATTTCTAACCGCATTATTTGCTTATCAACTGTGCTTTAATTACATTAAAAAAAGCCGAATATTTTCGGTTGTGCAATATTTTTTTGAAACGTATTGTATATCGCAAATAAGGAGCTCATTAAAAAATTATTTTATCTGCATGTCATGTCACAACATTGTTGTTTATCTATTCCTTAACAATGTGTATAATTACTTGGAAAAATAATTTTACAATTTAATAATATATCGATTAAACCACTTTGTCAATTATCCACTGTTAGAGAAGTTCACCTTAATTTACATAGAGTCTATTTAATATTTTAAATCAGCTCTGAACGCACTTTGCATCGGAATAAATTCCCCTCACAAAAAAAAACTAAACCACCCCGAAGAGTCTTGGGATTGAATGAAAAGTTTACCTGAGAATCACATGTTCGTAGGATAACGTATAAAGTGCTTCGACGTATACCTTCCACCACCCCTATAAAACAAATCATCTCGAAAGCCGGCTCAAGGTGTGCAAGAGGGTGGACAAAGACAGCAAGGTGTTACATATACCTTTGTAGGTACAAAAAAGCTAAAGAAAATTAAGAACGCAGAGAGCAGATGCGAAGAACATTACGACATATTTTCGGACTCTTCTAATGAATACAAATAAAAGGACCTGAGTAAGACATCTGCCTTTGCCTTTGTTATGAAGCGGTGTGTTTTCTTGAAAATTGTTATAAAGGGTTTTTACTAACTAAGGTGTTATAAATATTTGTTACAGAAAATTATAGGTGAAGTTAGCTCATGAGATGTGGGTCATAAAAGAGTTTATGGACAAATCTTAAAAAAATATTTATTATAATCACTGGATTAATTCAAGAAATGTTCTTATTGAAACGACTAATTTACTCATTCAAATTATCAATAATGATGTTTCTTAATGTTATATCTACTTATTTGAATTTGAATCGACATAGATCTAACTTCGCTATGTATGTAAATAAAACTTCGTCAAAATTATAAATTATAATTAATTCGACTAGATCCAGTTCGCGATATTATGAAATAAATTATCAAATGCAAAATCGCTTTGTACTCGCGCGTACACTTGAAATTTTCGATTAGACACCTCTACGTTGAAACGTTTGCAAAGTTCTGGAGCCGCTTTAAAATTCAAATAGGGCCATTTGCATTGTAAATTGCCTTTCCCGAGGGCCTCCCGTACGTATGCCGACGTGATTTATTTAATTTCTGAAAAACTTTTATCGAAAAATTAATTATTTGCTTATCAGTTGCCGGGGATATTACTTTTACTTCTGTTATTAAAATATAATCTTCGGTCGAGGGACAAGGACGATTATAAGGAAGGGCAAATAGAATTGGTAAAAATTTCTTGTTTATTAATGTTAATTATGCTCTATTTTTTTCTCTTCGAATTAAATTCATTTGGTTAATAATGGCTCATAAATGTCTTTACTGAAAAATAATTAAAATATATTGGGGTCTCCTATCGCTAAGGGTTGCACAGTGTGGGGGTGAGTGTTATTTAAAAAGTCAATTTTGGTCAACTTATCAGGTCTGGAGCCGCGTTTAAAATTCGTAGAGGCCTCTACCAATTTACCAGTAAATCTATTTTAGGATATATGTAACTAGGTGAATCTCAAAAAAGTTTCTTGCTACCATTTAAAAAAACTAAATTAATAATTAGCTTTTACAAATCATATTGATAATGCCATCGAGTTTATAGAGCAGCAATCGAATCAACTGGGCTAATGAAGCCCAGTTCCAAAGAGAGCTGTATCGAAGGGGTAAGAGCACAATCGGGCGGAAGGCGGGGGAGTCCCGGCAAACTTTTACCTCTAGATTCGGAAAGCGCCGGCGAAAAAGCTCAGGTAGACGGCCGAAAGCTCTACCAAAAACGCGCTTGCGCTCCCCCTACTCGACCTTTCGCTTCTTCCACATCGCGAACGATTTCGTATTTCGAACGCGACGAAAATGTTGTCAGTGGCGCGATGACGACGTTGTTGTGCGCACGATATGTCCGCTTGCCTTGAGTAGCGACATCGCGGTGTGCTCGTTTTTCAGTGGTTTGTTGTGCAATTTTTTCGTTTCAAGGATTTATTTTTACCTTTTAGGAGTTCCAAGCAAGGTTAGCGCTTATGGTTTTTCGCTTCGCATAGCGTTTCGTCAATGACATTGTTTTTTTTTTAATTCAATTTTTTTTTCGGCCTTTCGATAACTTTACTTGCATTGTGATCGAGGATTTTGTAATTGCGCGAGCTATTTGATCGATCGCGTTGCGAAATTGTTTAATTGCACTCATTTATTGTTTTACTAACCGTCTTGAATTTTTATGTGTTAACAGTCGATATATCCAATTTGTAATAAAATTCGTGTACATATTTATATTTTTGTTTCCAAAAATCGCATTGGAATAACAAAAATATTTTTTGTGTGTTTAATTATCAATTTTTGCATTTTTATCTGCGAATTTCAATTTTCATATTTACCATAATTTTTTTGATAAATGTTTGTTTTCCTCTTTGTGGTAGTCTGAGTGAGGTCTGCTTTTGGTTTGCATTACGAAAAAACGTAAATATTGCGCCAGATTACTTTTTTAGCGCACTGATTCACTACCAGCGAACGATACACATTTTCAACTGTGACGTAAATTCATTGATAAATAGTTTAGTCGACCGCTTTAATTAATCATCTACTAAAATAAAGAAAGGTCAATTTTCACGTGTTGAATTTAAAACATCAAATTTACATTCTATTATAATCGAACGATCATATTCTTCCACATACAATAATCGCATATATTTTCGAAATTTCTTACAAGTGAATAAAACTTCGTCATTTCACTCATTTTACTTTTACGTTTCCAGAAACGTGATTCAACTAAATAGTACAACTTTTTCGAAAAACACTATTAATCATTTCCGCTATACCCATGCTAATACCTTATGGTAATTCCATACTAATAACAGATTAAATTTTTATAATGTTACGCCGATTAAATGAAGTCACCTGTTAAACTTCGGAAAACCAGCTTTATCGCATTTCGAATAGTTGCATGTTTATTTACATGCTGCACTTCATCAGACATTTCGAAATGGGATTTGAACTTTGCGAAAACACCGATGCATTTCAAAATTGTTTATTTTATTTATAGGGCTAATAACGTTGCAGAAAGTAATTTGTTTAATTCCCTCGTTCCAAAGAGCGTTTAATTAAAATAAGAGTTATACGAGTTTTGCAATACGTTGAAATGTTGCAGCATGACTTATCAAAAGAGCTTTGACGTATTTAATCTTAAAGGGTTTGAACTTGGTACTTGTAAACACAATCATTGAAATCTGCTCGAGTAGTATAATAACACTTGTAATTTGAGTTCAGAGCAGTTACTAGTTTTTCGTAGGGATTAAATTTATTTTTACATAAAAAAACTACACGAATATATGAAACGCCGTGTATGCATTCGATGTGATCAATTCAACAAACATTGTGAAATACATTTTTCAATAGATTCATTACATTTGCACTTTAAACTTATAAATTTATCCTCGGCTATTTACAATGTGATATATTCCTTGTGTATCTACTGGATAATAGTTTTATTGAAAAATTCATTTGCGCGTTTTAAATTCTGTATACGTGCCGGGTTGTTTTCCGACCTTTAGATCAATCTATAACGATATGATGGAAAATTCGATTGGGAAAATTTATTTATATTCAAATTTAACTTATTTGATAAATTTCACATTAAGAAATCTGCTTTATATAAGATAAAATAAGAGTGCATATCTTGTCCCCCCTGACTTTTCAATATGATTTACTGTAAAAATCATGCACCGAAACAATATTAAAGTAGGTACCCGAATACAGCAACCTCAAATTAATAAAATAATGAGTTCTATTATTATGGTTAACAGTAAAGGTATTTAATTCATAACGGTACTGGCAAAAATCAACTTGAAATATTACCTACTGTTCATTAACTTTTCATAAAAAAATACAAAGTTAAGTTTCTCAATAACTCGTACCTATTACGTTATTATAGGCAGCTATTGGTTAATCTCGGTTACTGTTATTTTTTAGTGATTGTTATTTCAATTATGCATTTTTCAATGGAATTAAAAAATCACGCCCATGAAATTGAAATGCGCCTGTACACGAAAGGTCAAATTCCCCTTAACGTTTCAATTTTAATACATCATAGTAGGCAATTGGATCTACTTACCTGCTGATCGGCTATTTCCTACCTGAATAACTCTAAATTTACTTAGAATATTGGGAAAAAGGATCATGATAGGTGTGAATGCGAGGATCATGAATATGTAGAATGTAAATAGGATAATTTGAAGTTACATAGATTATTTTATAGCTAATAAATATTACATAGATAAATTCAGTTACAAAAAACTGTCAATGAGCTGTCAATGACAGCTGTCAATGTCAAATATCACTTCAAAAGAAAGGCCACTTGATTAAAGACTATTAAAAAAATATCAAGCATAAGTTAATGTATCTGTCTTTTGTTTGCTCATACTAGCAATATTTTCATTTGCAGGATAATCCCCCAACTCGCGAAAGTGTTTTTCTTCAGTTCCCGTCGCGATAAACAGTGATCCCATTAATATTTATACCTCCCGATCGAAATGCAGAACGTTCGAATCCACGAACTCCAAGCGGGTTCGCGTCGCGGAATCGACAAGATCACGGAAGCGCCGCCGTCGGCAGGCGATCCGGTGAAGTTGCGGGCGCTGCGACCGCGCGACATCGAATGCCGCGTGCCGAGGGTGAATCCGGACAGGAGCCGGCACGTGCCGCTGGGGCCCAACAGCAGCGAGAGGCTCCTGCAGAATTCGATCATCGCGGATAAGTATCAGTTGTTCGAGCAAGTGGAAGGCAGCTCGCTGTTCAGGTGCGCTGACATCGCCACCAAGGAGGAGTTCGTTTGTAAGGTAAGAAATTGTATATTGTACTTTTTAATAAAATGTAGATAACTTTGATATTTATAGGTTATTTAGGTTTGACAGATGTCAAACCACCTGTCAATTTCCTAACGGCCAATTTCAAATTTGCAATTTTTAAACTACTCATTTCAAAACTGTCAATGCCCAAACTGTCAATTTCCAATCTGTCAGTTTTCAAATTGTCTATTTAGTTTAACTGTCATTATTTTAATGTTTAATCCAGTCGATTTTGCCCTTCGATGATAGTATGATATCAAATTCGTTGAAGTAATATCTTAAAATAATTTAAACGAATGCATTTTACCATCATGTCAAACTATTTTAATAAGATTAATTGAGTGCATAAAGAAATCTACTTTTAAACAACACAAGCAATTTTTACTCGATGCAATTATGAATCACTCTGTAATAAATCTATTGTTGTCAAAATGTCAACATTCCTGTCTTGAAGAAGAACAATATCTTCTATGTTATCGCTAAAAATGCGATAACTCGAATCCAAGAACAATTTCTTGGCATTTATCAATAAGTTCGATAACATTGTTTGTCTTACAACATCCTGTAAGGTGTTAGTATCTGCATCGTATCCACAAACAAGTAAACAAACACAGCATAAGAACTCCAGTTATGTTTACGAGATTTTATGAGGGCGCTTCCAATTGTTCTGGGATTTATTCAAGAAATTTGCTATTTGCTGGTAAAATTATCTTTATTGCAGTCTATATTGAAATGAATCAAAACATTAATTTAATATTTATTTAATTAGGAGGAGTATTTGTGAGGTTTACTCCTTAATGTGTTTATTATATTTTTATTTCATCCTTGGGCATCTATTTATTATTTATTCATAATTCACTCATTGATGATGAGGTTCCGGAGACCGGAGGTTACCATAATTGTGACCTTAAAGTTAGTATGAATAGTTTGGTATTAGGTAACCTCCAAGATGCTACTACATTGAACAAATATTAATTTTCCATTTGCATGTATAACATCACCTGGCCTTACGGTTGGTTGTTTTATTAAATAAAATAATTAGGTACACTATACAAATGAATTTAGAGTAATTTTTTAATAACTAATATACATAATTTACTTTATCTATAAGTAGTGATTTTTAATATTTGCCACTACAAGGATTCAAGCATAATTTACCAATTTGATTTAAAAAGAAAAAAATATACCTTTTTAAAATTCTGTTTCTGAAAATTATCATATTATGAACCGGATGAAATTCTAGAAAAACTTGTTTCAATATTATTAAAAAAGCATTAGAACTGATTTTCATATTAAATACGCCATACCTACTGACATAAACTAATATAACTGCCACAACAATTACTTATACATAAGTGTGATCGAAATAATTCGTACCTAATATTACGATGCTCAATAGTTGATTTTTCCTACTGCTAATCCGTATAGAAATCAATATTTTCATATCTACCAATAAACAATTCCATAAATTTTCTAATAAAAATGTTATTATAGACGAAATCATTTCATCCCTATAGGGTGCATAAATGTTCGCCGTTTTCCCCGGAATTTCCCACAGACGAATTAATCGGCAGAAATTCTAGATACTAGCGAAAGGTCAAAGGGCTGATAAACCCTATTTATAGCGAATGGTTCCCAGCGAAATCTCGCGTAACAAACCTGTTTCGTCCATTCGCTGGACCACGCGAAACCAGTTACATAGAAAAATAGTTTATTTTATAGCGCTCCGCTCAGGGGTGGGTTAGGGCGACTCAAATTTATGCACTATGCAGAAATTGGAAATAAAGTTTGAATTATAGGAGGATCTTTGAAAGCTTGAGAAAGTCTTTTAATTTATTCCTGTAAAATGTCCTCCCTTGGTTTCGTGGGTTTTATTTATCAAATATAGGGGTGGATTGCATCTAGATTTTTCTAGATAAAAGGGTTAGATGCATTGTTGGGAATTCAAGGTGATGATGAATGGTACATGGTCTAGTCAAGCTGGTGCTTTACGCGGTAGGTCAGTTCTGTATTATGTTATATGCAATTAATTGTGAAAAAGTTTGTAATATCTACTCAAATTTATAATCATAAAAACATATTAATCATTGAAAAACAATAGTATCTAACTAAAAGTAGAAGTAGGTACCTATACCGATTTTTAAATATTTTTGAAAAATCTTGAGTTGATTTATATATGGTAAATAAATGTTCCTACAGCAAATGCGAAGAAAAAATTATCTTATACTTCATTGAAAATTAATCTAAAAATTAATAAGTAAATACTCCAAAGTGTCGAAATAACTGCGCGATAAATAGGCTTTATTTTCAAATCGATACGAGATAATTACATAGGTGTTCGATTTACATGTAATATATGTAATAAAAATCAGTCAATCAATCGAAGTAGGATTTAAAGGAATTTAACGTCCTGTTGAAATATTACATCGCGCATTAATCATCAATTTCGAGGTAGATTGATCACAATCTTATAAAATTTAATCCACATTTGAAATCAAACGAAACAAACTGATGTTGCTCCTGGCTTGTCCTCCGCTACTGTGCGCAATTACATTATATTATCTGTAGATCTATACCATTTAACAAGTAATATTTAACAAGTAAATAAAAACCGAAAATTACAATTTTGTGACGCAAAACGGCATATAAAGTATCTGCTGACTACGTGTTAAATATCAAAGGTGTCACCTTGCCGAATTAGCAATCCCTGGAAGTAATTTAATATTGCGAAAAAATAAATTATGCTATTTTTATTTGCGCATTGGAATTATCAAGTTATATCGATTTGCTTTGTACAACGCAATCAATACCTGTTCCGTTGGAATTAAAAATAAAAAAAAACTTCCGTATTTACATGTAATGTGTTTCTGCATAAGTCGCTAAACTATTCCAAGATTATTACATTCGAATATAGTTAGTTTGTAAATAATACAGCCGGTTTTTAATTGTTGCTAATTATATTAGGAATAAAAAAATTGTTGACATCAGAAATAGTATTATAAAACTAAAGTATTGTTCTTTTACACAAAAAAGAGGACATTATGAAGACGCATGTTCCCCACATGCAATTATTTCGTTCATTAATTGGGCACAACTCGCATTAAACGAAATCACGTTTCGAAAACCATCGTAGCAAATTACGTTTTGCTCAATCTTTGAAATTATCGAATCAACGGCGTACGTAAATGTGTCCCGAACTTCCCATATTCCAACAACATAATAGACGTTTTACAATAAAGACCTTGTCAGTTTTTCGCATTACAATAATATTACAAATAGACGCGGGTAAAGGAAATGTCAGAAAGGTCGTGCTCATATTGATATTACCATCTCACGAAAGCATTTACATGTTGTTGGCAATTAGATATTTCACAAATTTACGACATACACAAGGGGCGTAGCACTTAATTGTGACTATTTCGAGATAGTTTAATACCAAACGATTGAAAAGTCATGATTTTAAGGCGTGAAACTGCTGGTTAAGTCAGGTTGATTTTGCAAAAGAAATGTTTTTGATTTTACATTTTGCAAGATACATCAACTTTCATGGATGATTATTTAGTGTAAAACAATAAAATTCGCATTGCTTCGTCAGAAATTGGTTTAGTAATCTCCTGCTAATCATCTATTATTGGATATACCTTTTTTTCTGTAGAGTTTCCTCAGTCGAATAAACACTAATACATTACCCACAGTTAATAATTCTGATGAATGTGGGTGTATCAGTATAATCAATCATAGATTACTAATAGAGCACTTTTTCATTATTTTTCTACTGGTGAGTGGAAACGTAGAGCAATTGATGGAAAAGTCCTGTACTCGGTTAGTATCTAATCGATTCAATTTTTTTATTGATCAACACAAGTTTTGAAATTATTATAGCATATTTCACGACATTTAAGTGCTGTTTCTCAAATAACAGATAATCCAAATTAAATTCGAACTTATGATTTGTTAACTTGTCTTTTTTTGATTAATTGTGTAATAACTTCATTTCTTACGTGTGTGTATACTCATTGGATTTTTATTTATAAAAGTGAATTATTTCTGTTTGTAAACGAATAAATTCTTCTTGTAACGATGTCAATAGACAATAAAAGTACTTTACCTTGTACACGGTTACATCATGAAATTGAGCAACGTAATTTGTAACCTTAAATTAAATATTAATACAATCTGCACTTGGTTACATTATTAAGTGTTTAGTTGTGTGTCGTGTAAATTCAGTCGTCAGGCGGAATAGCCCAAATTGATTAGAACGATAATAAGGATACGAGCAATTTTGATAAGGATTTGAAGAAGTTGAGTTTCGAAGTTTTCTAAAAAGGAAGTTGGCATTCATCATGCATCGTCTGACCTCTATATTGTTATCAATAAAGGAAGCTTTGTGACTCTTTGCGCTAATAATAACATTAACCACACTGCCTTGGGAATACCAGCATCGATTATAACTTAAATTTATTTATGTCTGTGTTTATTTTGCGGTTACACACATCTCTAGGTAATACCAGTGGTCCGCCAATTCGTGTTTATACAAGACTTGTTGAAACTAGCTTCAGCGTGATATAGCAAAAAACCATACCGTTAATATCCTAATAAATTCTTAATGTCTAGTCTGACCAGCACGCATCAATCTGTTTGACACCATTTTCAAAATTCCCAATACCACCTCAATTATTTATGTACTAGGCAAACTAATAAAACTTGTTTTTTTATTAAATTTCACCATTAATATTCAATCGTCCGCATAGTAAATGATTGCAAAAAATAATGACGTATACACGAGGGGAAATGAAGATGCAACCCAATTTATTAAATTATTCAGACGAAGATTATTCGCCGCTATTAAAATGTACCGTTAAAAATAATTTTATTAGACTTCTTAAATTGGAAACAGACCAACCTGTTTTATCTAATAAATCTATTGCCAAACTGTTAATCCTTATTAATTGGATTAGTTCGAGCTATAAGCTCGAGTTGAATTGAACTATAATTTAATTGATATTTTTTTGGTACAAGTCTCTTCAAACTGTCTCTGCAAACTTCCTTTCTTCCTAATCCCATTAAACATATCAATACACCAAAAGCCTCGCTTTGTTTACGGAATTCGAACAATTACGGCGTTTCGCCCAATTTCTGATCCCTCCGGTGCTCCTCCATTCAAGACGAAATTCAATTCACCCTCGAGACGATCAAGTGCGTTTTATTTACTCATTTTCGTTGTCGAGATCGACCCCCGAGACGTCGGAGAAATTTTCCCAAGGGGCATTCGGCGTAATGGTTTCTTTCCAGGGTGACAAATGAGCATGGCGGGGGGTTCGGGCGTTCGAAGGGGCCGCCGTGTTGTATTCGCAAGGTGAATTAATGAAGGGTGTATTCAAATTAACCGCAGGCCGGATAATGGTGCATTAAAATAAATGTTTGGGTTCGGGGGCAAATGTGCGTAAAAAGGTTTTTTTTTTGCAACGGTGAATAATTGGATTGTTTCCCGATTGAGATGCGGGGCTATTAAGGCTTTGTGTTCGGCATTTTTTTAATTTAATTCGAATGGGTAAACGGAGATGAGCGATTGCTCAATTACCCGCAGGGTGACATTTTAATTAATGAATCTAACGAAATTTGTATAGATAAAGCAATAACCAGTTTATCTTATTTCAATTTCCACATAAGTGGCTCGTTCAGTGTTTCCTGTTGCATTATAATATTCTATAATAAACCGTTAAAAGTGTTTGTTTCCTGGCAAAAGAAGCGAATCTACCAAACATGCTGCAATTACACAAACGCTGGACCTACGTTTAAAAATAAATTAACATTTTCAAAAATTCAGTGGATTTACGTCACAATAAGTGATGGAACCTGTTTTATATACACTATTGCGTTTCGAATATTTGCATTAAATTTACTTAATTAAACATCAAAACTGGATGCAAATGTACAGACTTTGGTTATCACTTTGGGTTGAATTTTACGTCACAAATGTCGGCGTTTAATTTATATTATTAAACCTTTATTATTATTATAAATATCCTGATTAACGAGAAAATATGTATATAAAATAGTTAAATGAATTACAATAAAATATACGATGATGGCAATTACAAAATGTTCGGGATAACCTGTATAAATAAATGATTAGAATAAACCTCACTTGTTCACCTAGAGAACTTCAAAAGAGTTATAAAAATTCACCTTGATTATTGTACCGCAACCTTTAAGCAAAAAGCCTTGGCTGTATACAAATCTGATCCCAATATACATATTTTTATTCATTCTGTATAGTTATTAAATGTGCCGTTCGTGCATATTAGCATAGAAAATAATTACCGGTAAGTCATGCGTTTATCGATAAATATAAAAAAGTCGGATAAAAGGCATAGCCAGTTTGCGCTTCGAGATATTTTCTTTCGAAATCGCTCTCGTAGGTTAGGCTCGAGATGTTGCCATATAAGGTTCAACTAATACCGATAACGTAATAACAAATGTATTATTAGATCACAGTTTGCTTTAGAAATTATTTAACTAGTCGCTATGTCGACAATTCCAAGAAGGAATTTTAAATTTCAATATTAATTATATTGTCAGTAGGAGTGAACTGCAACCAGCCAGCGATATGGACGAAAATGTCACAATACTATTGAATTTATAATGTGGAATTACGCAAGGCAATGGTTTTGGAATAGTTATGTTACAGTGGGAAATGTAATTATCATTTCTAGATCAATTTGCTCAATGCTAATATCTATTACTACAAAGATAAAACATGCTTTATTACAGCCAACTTAAGACTAGAAGGAGTTTAAATAAACCCGTATTGACTTAGGTCAAATATCAAATAAATTAGCTTTTAAAAATCGCAGGTAAAAATAGTATTACACATCGTTTAAATTCTCATTGCAGATAGTATCGCGCGAGAGCCATTCCCTGATATCGGCCCACTACAAGCTGGACTTCCACCAGCGGATCTCGTCGATTCGCGAGGTGATAGCGAGGAACCGCTACCTGTACCTGATCTTCCCGAAAGCGCACGGCGACCTGCACTCGTACGTCAGGACGAGGAAGCGCCTGCGAGAGGCCGAGGCGAAGCGGCTCTTCCGCCAGATCGCCGAGACCGTGCAGGTTTGTCACGAGAACGGCATCGTACTTAGAGATTTGAAATTGAGGAAGTTCGTCTTCTCCGACCCACAACGGTGAGTTTATTTCTGTCTATTATAAGGGTATCTTAGACTCGATTTTAAGAATTGTATAAGTGCTCTTCTATACATCTTTCTATAAGTAAAAAAACAGTAGCGTTGCTGGGAAGAAGATAAGTTTTTAGGTTTAATTGCTCTGTGCTCGATCCTTAGGAATGAAAGCTTGTTTACATACATTTTCGAAGCGAAAACAGAGTCACTTTAAAGACCAAAAAAAGTGTTATAATTGGGCATTGTGTTCGTTTTCACCTCGTTAATTCCCATTATTTTTGAACTGATTTTTTTTCTCATCCGCATTTTATAACGCTTTCGTTGAACACATGAAGAGCCTAATTTTATTACAAAGCAAATTGAGAACTCTTTAGCTCTTCGACTTTCTTTTAGTTCTTGCATTCTAAAGAATGAAATTAATTACATAGGTGACTGTAGTGACTAAGTTTTATAGTGAAAATTCTAGTATTATGATCATGAATGAGCGTAAACATATTTACATTGAATTAAGAGCAATCAATAGGTCCTATAAAATCTTGCTACGTATTAGCTTGACCTCTCGATATAATTAATTACTACGTCGTTGTAAATAATTTAGCCGGATTCGGAACCCGCCCATACGCAACGAAAAGATTAGAATCGACGAAATGCGACCTTTAAACTTGACCTCCGCCAAAAAATTTTTGACAGCGGCGTTTAACGCGCTCGGCGGCGCTGTCCGAAATTCGAAGTGGCACCCGTCCAAGTTCTTGCCGCGTTATTTTAGTCAAGGATCCGACGGAATTGCATCACTTCCAAGCTCATTATCGATTTCCCAATAGGCGCTCGCCGGCGATCGTTCGATCTCCGATCGCTCGGTCTCTCTTCGCCCTGCCGGACCGCCTCTCGGTCTATCTTCGGCTGTTGGGAAATTCTGTTTCTCAAAAGAGCTTTGCTCTGCCGCAACGATTACATTGCCTGCATTACATTACGTTACATTACATGCGTCAAGTGTAGTGGGTTTTGTAACTCGCATATCTGGGCTGGGGTCCTCGAATCACGTGTGTTTGTGTATGTACGGTTTGATACAATTAGTCCATGTGTTAAGAATTCATTTAGAGCTATTTATAATTGAGTCATCGTTTTTTTTTGTTCCTTGAAATTAATTTGCAATCGTTAGATATGGATCTTGACAAATCTACTTACTTTTAACATTTCAAATTCAATGAAAATTATACACACGAGTATGAATTCTTTAATACCTCTTGTAAATTAATTAGATTGGTTATTTATGTTTTTTTTAATTTTTTATCAATATTGCGTATCTCATCTCTTATCTAAGTATAATAAAAATAATAATCGATATCTATAAAAGTGTTACGTGAAATTACCTGTGGAATCAACGTGACTCCTATCGAAAATAACCATGAAACAAAACAATTTGTTTTTCCACGGTTACACCGACAAGGTTAGATTTCGAAATCAACCATCAGGCTCCAACTTATAATGCTTAATTTATTCGGCATGTGAATCAGATGGTTTCCTCTCGCATTATTTATTATGTTAATACGTTATCTGTTTCACGGGAAGGTTTGTTTTTAGTAAATAAGCAAATCGACTCGTGTCTTGTTATTAATGAAATCAATTTGCGAAGAAAATGGAGATATTCGTAGTCTTTACGTAACTTCTTATAAGCATGAAAAAATGGTCGATTCACTACTACGGATAGTTTGCGATTAATTTCAAATTTTTAACACGTTAATTATAAATAGATTATTCAGTTGATAAACTTGTTACAAAAATTTGAAAGCGCAGCCAAACTAATTTAAGATTAATATGTTTAGTCGATTAAATTTCAAGGAACTAATTTTCTTTTCCCCGCAATCTTTCCGGACTAACGTACACAAAGTTTCATTTTAATACACCTTCTAAGATTTCAAAACCACGTAAAATGTCTGGGATAGTCCGACTTTTCATCGCTCGTTGAGCAACCGAAATGTTTTCGCGAAACCTTTGACTCGAAAAATCCAACACACTTGCACAGCCGTATTTTGCAACACAATACGCCGAGATGAAAATGAGCCAACTCCAAACGAATTTGCTAATATCTGAACTAAGCTCGACTTGAAATATGAAGCAATTGCCACTATATTTATAAACTCGACACTCAATTTCAAAACTTTGCCTAGTTATCGGTAGGCCATAAAATCCGTCTTTTCTGCAACGAACAAGCACAAGGGCGTAGTCGAATTTTTCCCATCGCGGGAGCAAATTAATCAGCGTGCTCTAATAAAATCGACTGAAGTTTCGCAATCATAAGTAATAGTAATTTAATAAACTACATAAACAGCGACAAATTAACTACTTAACGAGAAAATATTATGAGATCTTGCAATAAGTTTTTTGAAATTAGTTTTCTAGTAACCGTTTCTTGAACTCTCTCGGCTTATTTTTTCTGCCCGCGGCGATTTTTTCGCTAATTTTTTTGGCAAGAGCATCCGATGCCCGTTTTAATTTACTTTCTCTCTAACGGCGTTTAAATTTAGATCGAAACGCGAACAATATGGCAAGCCATCGATCTTTTTTCGCACGTTCGCGAATTTAGACCGGATACGCTTAAATTTGACGGATCTATTTTCGAAAAAGAATTTTCCTACGTCACGCCGGCTAGACGAAAACAGACTTCCTGCGATGGTAAAATGTTCGCGTTGTCGCTTTTTTTCATTCGAAACCTCCCGGCATTTGCAACCGGATATCGTTATTAGGGTTAGGTAAGGCACTAGCTCGATTCTGATTGATTGATTGGTTTATCTTTTGTTGCGGCGAGAGGAATAAATAGGCAGGAAATGAATCGCTATTGTTCGTTAGCGATGTAAGGTCGAAAGTTTTTAAAAAATTCGTTTTCGTGGCGCAACGTCTAACCAGAAAGCCAGCGAGCACGAACGAAAACTGCCCGATTAATTGCCTATGCCAAAATGAAATTCACGGTTTCGATAATGCATTGTGGAGTTTTTCGAGGCGAAGTAAATCGTTACGTTATACTTTCTCCGGCTAGTTTACGGTTTTACATCCGTACCTGTCTGTGCAGGTAAGAACACGAAAATCTAGTCGCAAATAAGAACTTAATTTCCCGTTATTGTCGAAGACCGGCATCATGCGGAGCCGAAACTAGCACGGTAAAGGACACTCGGATTATAAAGGATATGTTTTGACATCCGGTTTATCGCAGCTGGGCGTTTAGTCTTCCGGCAGGTTAGCAAAGGATAATAATAGGATAAAAAGCTACCGAATGTTGCACTTTATTGTCCTAGGCACAAAGCATAGGATATTGCAATCAGTCACAAATGTAGGTAGGTAGGGAATTTTGAATAGACGAAAGCACGAAATTCGATTCCCTTCATTAAAACTGGAAATATAGAAGACCTTCGATTAATCGACAACTCGTTGAAAATACATTTAAAATCGTCAAGATTGTCCAATTAAAAATCTTTCGAAAAGGTTTCAAAAATAAAATAAATTGGCACTGATTTCCGGGTTATCTAACTAGATAAACTAACTTATGAATACAATATACTACTATGAATTAAATAGAGCAGATAGTTGTTTGGTTCTGACATGAAAATAGTTTATCTTTTTACGTCTACTCGTATATAAAAAACTATAACCTTTATTTGAAGAGCACTCGAATATCTTCTCGAACTTAGTTTTAATAGATCCGAGCTGGCAGATAAAAGAGTTACAAAATAAAAGTGTTGCATCAATATTTGTAGTTATTAAACTTGTTTTTCGAATGCGGCGTTTCCCAATCGCATCTGGTGCTTCGACAGAAATTAATTCCGTCGATAAAAGCGACGATATTTTCGACAAAAACCCGGTAAAACTCCCGGCGTTTCACGGTCGAGGCGAACACGAACCGCGCCTTCGGAATTCCTCCAGAAGTTATCTCGAACGATCGTCCTTCCGGGCATCCGCTCCGGTCCAATTACACAGCCGGCCCATTCGCGTCTTCTATCCGGATCTTCGATCTGCGAAAGGGCGTCGGTCGTCGGTGACTGACGTTTGACTCTTCATCTGCTTCCTCTCGGTTCCAGCGGTTTTTGTTCGGAAAGGATGCACGTACGGCACACGCCAGGAAGCGACCGAAAAAGGATCTTGTTCTGCGATCCGCGCCACCTACATCCTGTCGCGATGGCTGGCTAGGCGAAATAAAAGAAAGGCGTACGAACGCTCGCGAACGTTGTTTTGTTTAGCGATACTTGATATTCCGGTGTCGGAAGGTCATTCGTTCCGCTTAGATTTAGAAGGTATAAACGCAATCCGATGCAGAGATGGGCTTAGGTTGTTTAGAACAATTGGTCATTGCTCTAGTGGGAATTTTTTTCTTTGAATTTTGGGATACAGCTCTTACTCAATCTTGGGCCACCTTGACAAGTTTTATAATCATTATCTACAGGAAGTAATCTAACCGCTAATGTATTCAATTTGAGTTAATTATACGATTCCTAAAAATCGCTAACAATATAATTAACAAAATAATAACTGATTTTTAATTAGTGATAATTAGATTAAAACCGGTGCTGGATGTTTAGCGGAAAAAACGTAAAAATGGTGGATTGTTTTTCATCGTGCGCTATCCCGTTACCGTGTACGTAAATTGTTTGTTAATGCATGCGTATTGAATTCCAATTTGTTTGTTAAAAACAGGAAAAAACCAATGCTAGAAACGAGAATTATACGGCGGCCGTAAAATTATGTAATTGAATATAATTCGCATGGTCTACGTAAACATCCGTTTTCGCATTTTAAAATCAGACATGAAATCACGAATTCTCGAGTATTTTCGCTTGAAATTCCAACACATCGTAATTAATTTTACACGTTTGTTACAACTTTTACGTGTAATGGTAAAACTGTAATACTATAAGCAACACGAGTGTAATTTTAATTTATTTTTTTCGTTTATATTACGGTACAGTAATGGTGCAGGAATTTTCGCGCAGAATCAAGCAATTTGAAGAAACTCGTAA